ACCCGAGTCAAAAAAATATGTAAAATATGCAATGGGTGGTCGCACTGTTTCCGATTCATACTGACGGCGTTTCCATACAGGCAACTCTCCTACCAATGCTGGCACTTTCCCGCACAATGCCCCATACGGGCTTCTTACGTGGGAAATTGATAGAAATACACACCTCGACTTCAACCACAGCAGAAACTCGCTTGACCCTCTTGCTTCCTGGTCACTTTCTCCTTCCTGGATATATTCTGACTAACTTCTTCACCATCTGAACCTTTTGACAACAAGATATATAGTCTCTAATTTTTTTGGTGATACATATTCATATTCGCTGCTGCTGCAGTCACTGTCTTAACTAATATCCCCACTAGGTGGAAATCGGATTCTCCAATCCTTCTTCTCATCCATTTTTTACTATATAAATTACTTCTACTATTAAAGAATTTGTAGAAATTTCTATATTTTACTTCAGCCAGTCAGAAGCAAAGCTTGAACATAATATTATCAGGTTTTGAGAAAAAGACAATTATTTAAGACATAAGTAATTAAACATCGCTACATATAAATCTCGGTAACAGAGTTACACATACTCAAAATATATTAAATTAGCTTCGTATTTCTGCTCTATACTTTCAAGTGTCTTGGTTTATGCACGACACCTTGTACTGCATGACATGGATGGATGTGACGATTTAGTGACAGTTGGGAAATCTAGCGTCAGCAGTAAACAATAAATTGTTCGGCAAAACTCTTTTTACTAAATCAAAGTACAAATTTAAAGCTATCATGGAATGAAATAAACTCAATGTCACGAAAACGACCCCGTCGTCGTTAAGTGAATAAAATTTACTAGAAAATGAAATTAGTAACTTTTAGGTTCTGTTGAAAAAACAAGCGATCCAAGAATATTTGCAGGCGACCCAGTTTTGGGTCGCGACCTATAGGTTGGAAAACACTGCTTTAAGATTTATTGTCTACACTCAAAACCAATACTGTTGCATCTTACAGTCCGGAAGTGTATGTACCAATATGGAGATAACTAATTTTGTTCGCCTACTTTAAATCAAGTTGTATAAAGGGACTGAAACCTATGGGCAGGGGGTATATTCAATTGGCTAACACAGACAGTCTTATGGCCTAACCTTAACCTAGTACATACACTACGACTACGAGAGTAACATTATTTTTACGCCAAGCGACCCGATATTACAGTATTATAACCAAAATTTTACCCATTCAATCTAATTCACGGGACGCTTTTTGATGACACATGGGAACATCTTTATATTATTGTTCATACAATTCAAACTTGAACATTTGTTTCTAAAGTTTTCAAATTTTTATGAAACTAACCGATAAAAACTGCACGATGTAGCAGACTTCAGAATTAACAATTAAAATATGGGTAGCCCATGCATAATTGGGAAGTTGCTCAAAACAAGAGAGCTATGCTCAAATATATGGACACGTAGAATAAAACGAAATATCGTCACGCTAATAACCGAATTGCGTAAGTGATTTTTGGCGATTTTGAGTTTTTTTTTTATTATATAGGTATTTATGTAATGCTGCGCACCTGTCTGTTACCTCAGATTTTATTTTAAGAATTCCGAAACCCATAAAAATGGAAATTTAGTATGACATGCACATTTGTGCAATAGTTTCGTCATAATGAATTATCATTGTTACCGCTGGACTATTGTGACGTCACAAAGGCAAAATAACCTCGGCGAAGTTTTTCGAGTTTTTGCATCTCGGATTCTAGCTTAGCGCGTATTATTTTGAATTTATACTACAGTATAGGAAGACGTAGGGATACCATATTTTTGTGACTTCAAATCGGGACGCCTCAAAAGACAACGACCCCTTAGCTGTGATTTTGTAACTTCACATTTTCCGATTTTACTACATAGGCCTACATTCCTAATGAGCTGTCCCGGCTGTCTTTATTGACCTTATTGTTATCAAAATTTTATGCGCATATTCTCTGTCCAAATATCGGGTTCAGTTTGAAAAATAGGAAGGAATTGACGTTAACGATAACGGTAAAAATAATTCGAATTTAGACTAAAAAGTATTGGTTTTACATGCGATACGTCTGCCATCAATGGGAATCAGCGGGAAACGAACGCATTCACCTTCAGTAAGCGGGCTAGCGATGCACAGAAACAACAGTAACGAAAACATGTTTGTGTGTTATGCTGCAAAAGCGGGACTTTTGGCTGACTTATCGGGACGGCGGGACAAAACGCTGAAAAGCGGGACTGTCCCGCCTAAAGCGGGACGTATGGTGAGCCTAGGAAGACGTGCACTTGTGATATTCACTGTCCGAGTCCAATTTACCTTGGTTGGCTTTTATATTGGGTGCATTGCTGTTTTATTCTTTATATTTAATCTTAGTATTATTTCGGTGGGTGTGCAGAACGTGTTATATTGATGAAATATATGCTTTTAAACATAAAAAATAATGTAATTGAAACTGATTAGCTATTTTGGGGATTAGACATTGTAGATACTGAGAATTACATTTGTTTTTGGAATGTTTAGTTTTCAGGACTGGTGCATATAGTAGAGTTGCAAAATTGCGTATGTCCCCAAGTCATAGACACATTTCTGCCTAAGTCACAGTGCGCCATTATGACGTCACTTAACTGCGTCATACAAATTAACTTGAATCCGGCTACGATCGAAAATTGAACCATGGCCAATTATTGACTCTCAATGGCATAACAATATCATTAGGAAGTTTTTTACGTTTTTCTCAAAACTGCTAAAATGACTTACGCAATTCGGTTATTAGCGTGACGATATATTATCATCACTTCACCGAAAACCATAGAGTACCGTATCCTGCACAAAGCTGAACAGTGAAACAGCTAACTTACATGGCTATGGTAACCGACTTACTAGTACCGGTACCCAGTACGACACAGTTTACCAGTTTCTTTCAAAAAAGCCTCCATATTAAAATACATTAATTACAATAACTGTGACTGCAAGCCCCACTTTTAAGAGATTGTTTGGGCTTTCAAATCGGTAAAGCGGCACTGTTACAGGTCTGCAGGTACAGGGATTTTCCAGTTTCTTTCGCGATTCTGTCTCAACTTGATTAAGATACCAACTGATTCGAGAGACCACGGTATCATAACAGTGATAGTGCCAGCACAAAAACAAATCAATTACTTGTCAAGAAAACGAATCGCACAGTGCTACCAGGAACATTTGAAATAAATGAAAGTAAAAGCCTCCCGGAAAAAAATCAATCTTCAACCCCCGGGAAAATTTTTAAAGCAATTGGTCCAGTATTCGAAGAGAAAAGCGATTTTATGGTGACGGAGAAGAATATGAACAAGAACAACAACATATTATCAAAACGATCCATAGGTCCACTCACGTGTCCAATAATGAAAGAAAAAATTTTATTGAGGAAAAGAGAAGCTGATCATGTAGTGACAATATTAACATATTAAAATTTAAACGAAATTTCAACCATCTCTTTGGTGCTCAACCAGCAGTCGCAAGTTGGCCAACAGCGCTGAAAGCAATATATATATATATATTTATCATTATTATGTGGAGTTGGATTTTCAAAAATATCGGAATTTTCAGTTTCAAAGGTGAAGCGTTCGGGTGTCAAGAATTTTCAAAAGAAACTAAATGATCATTAGTTAGCCAGGATTTTTTTTCCAAAATATGAAGAATCTTGTATTTATCAAAGTAGAGGGCCACAGTTCGAGTCAAAATCTGTGTCGAACGCATTCGTTTTTTTTTTCAATAAAACAAACTTGGAAGTTTCTTCTCCACAGCAGGAGTCTGCAACCTGCGGCCCACAAGATAAAATTGTGCGGCCCGCGGAGAAGTGCCAAATTTTAATAGTGTGCGGCCCTCGTGCGAGTAATTTCCGTTGCGTTGCAAAGCCTATACCTGCTAGTGCAAAGCGAACAACGCATGTAATAAAATCAATAAAAAATATTTTTGTACCTGCAACTACTAGAAACTCTATGATAAATAAAAATGTGGCCCGCCGTTTCACCCAGTCATTTGTATTTGGCCCTCCTGTATTAAAGGTTGCACATCCCTGCTCTACAGTGTCGTGCATGGTGTGAAGGTAGTATTTAATTTGGACCAGTGTAGATATTTGCCTACAAAGTTACAGTTAATAGGCTGTAACTTTAACAATAGCAACTGATTTATTGTGATGTGTTGCTGCTTTCCCATTTCCACATATATCATCAACGTGGGCACGACTCAAACTGCTACATATTTTCTTAACATTTAGTTGGCACTATTTACTTGGGCTGTAATTTGGTTTAAAATGCGTTGAATGAAAACACACATAAGTTTATGAGGTATATTGAGATCAGTTTTTGAATATTTCTTTTATTCACATTTATTGTAGTTAATATTTGACCATGCTCGAATTGGGTTTAATAGTATTTTCCCTTAGATGTTTTCCTCATTAAGAAGTGGACTACGAATTAGAAGAACATAAATTCCTTATCTATGACGGTCGACGCCCAAAAAGCATCCAATCTATGCCCATTGTTATAGCATTGTTTAAATAAGATACTGTTGAAACAAGGGTTTTGACCTCGTTTACATGTTAATGCTTGTAACGCACACACGATATTATTTGCTATAATAAATTATTGTAATAAAGTTTTGATCCCTCTGACGTAATACCAAACACACACCGGTTAAGACAGCATTAAAATACTTCATGCTTCTAAAAATGCATCAAATTGTTGAATTTTATAGTAATATGGCTTAGAAAAGTCAAGCTTCAGTGAATTATGAAAAATACCCGTAGGAATTGGGAATAATATGGAAATATGAATCAGCATATCTATCGTATACTCTTGATCTTCTATCACGTTGTTGATAGCATCAGCTAAGAAGAGAAAAATAAGAGTTACATGCAGATGGTAGTAAGCGCGCCACATTTCAACACTCATAATAGAAGTCATATAGCATGCATACACTGCGCATAACTTCATTGCTGTTATCGACTAGAGTGGAAAACATTGTATATAAGACGACATAGATATGAACGTCGCTATCCGATTGCTAGCTATTATTTTCGGCTTAATTGTATCAATAAGGGCTGCCCCGATCCTTGTTAATGCGGGGCCGGCAAGAAGAGAACACCACAAACTATTACTCATATCGTTTGACGCTCTCAAGTAAGTGAAGTGATACATTCATTACTTGCTATTATGAAATGATTTTTAGCCATTTATCTTTTCAACCTAATAGTGTATCTTTTCTAGACCATGTGAAGGTAAATAAATATTAAATTGTGCAATATTTTTTAAAATTGTTTTCGTTTTGGGATATTTGAGAGTTTTCAATTATAAGAGGAAATGTCGTGTTCATTTTATATTTGATTCAATAGATGGAGCTACTTCGATCGTGCAAAAGAAATGCCTGGTTTCAAATTCTTGTCGGAAAACGGAGTTCGCGCGGAATATATGAAACCTGCATTTCCTTCTCACACGTCTCCATGCCACACTACGATTGCAACAGGTAATTTTCTTTGTACCGTATGTGTTAAGTTAACACATTATGGTATACAGCTATAGAATACGCATAACCCAAGTTATTCCATAAAGTAATGTACTTCATGCTCCGACTCACGGCTTTTAAAGCTGGTTAAAAAGTTGAATCTCGGTTGCCAGCTCTCTCCCTCTGTGTTGGATACTGCATTTGGTGCAACGCCCATCAAGTCTCTTCCCTTCAACGATCTCAGCATTCAGATTTCCTATGAAATGCTTACTAGAATACTGCTATCGTGATTTTAAGAAACATTTTCAGAATCTATGATCACCTTCGGAATTTGCGCGCTTTAGGTATAGCATATTCAGGTATATATTCATTATTCACGATATTACGTTTCTTATCAAGGTCTATATCCTGAAAGTCACGGCGTTGTTCATAACTGTGTTTACGATCATCACAATGACAGCACAGGGCAAACCGACTTCTACGGAGCTTTAGCTGTGAATGATTGGTGGGACAATGGCCAGGAACCGATTTGGATAACAGCATCATCACAGGTAAAAGGTCGCGATGGATTACTTTACCTGTACCTTAGAGAAAAAAGCTTTTGCAAACATCTTAATCGCGACATCCAGATGTTTCATAGAAGGGTAGTTTAGTTTTACCCATCTGCACAAATAGTGTGTCATTTTGTCTCATTTCTGTAGAGTCACGACTTCTCTTTTGTTTGTCGATCTAAGTCTGGTATACACCATATAACCGGCGAAAGCCTATAGCTGTATGAACGAACGCGATTGGTGTAGGGAATTCCAACCGCCCTGAGCGTTACGACGGTTTGGTAGCACGTAGCTTAACGGTCCTCTCACGCACGACTAATGTAATCTACGGCGACCGTACATTTGAACCCATATATACATTTGTACCGGTATATCCGCGGGTTCAATCTATATGCGGGTGCTAAAATCCATGGGTTAGGGTTAGTATGGGTTCGAATATCCGTAAAAAAAAATTTCCATAGGTGCAATTGTCGTGGGTTTAAATTACGGGTGCAAATGTACGTGGGTGCAAATGTAATGGGACCGTAATCTACAATTTATTCTGGGTACCATTGGCGAAATTGAACCAAAGTTGCAACAAGTCAAATTCTCATTTATTTAGTATTAAAATTGCATTTTCAATTCTTTCTCTTCAGGGCTTGAAAAGCGGAGGATACATGTATCCGGGAAGTAACGCCACCAATGACGGTCGAACTGCGACAAGATCAATTCTTGAATTAAGAACGACGTCTTACAACGAGGAAGCTTGGCGGAAACGAATTGATGACGTCATGTCATGGTTTAGTGACGATGATTTTGATTTTATCGCCCTCTATTTTGAACAGGTACTGTGACACTGCCATCATTGTTATTAACGGGTTTGTAAAAAAAACTTGTTTCGAATATGTGCAGTAAATGAAAGATTCCTCCAAAATCACGTAAGCTATATATACTTGAACTTTTCAACATCACTCTATCAGTATAATAATGCAACGCAACCTCTCAACGTCTCAAGGGTAGGCTGAGCTGAGAACCTACATAGATGAATGATTCTGAATAAATTACAGTAGAAATAAAACTTGGATTGATATACCTTACTTTTATTAAAATTTGTGCAGCCAGATGTCGATAGTCATTTATGGGGGCCTGACTCTGACAGAGTTGATGATGTGACGTTACCTATGGTTGATCGCACGATACAATATTTATTCAACCAAAGTTACAACTATGGTTTATTTGATGACTTGAATATTATAATTACAAGGTCAGTAAATGTAACGCAGGGGAATTGAGATTTTTTTAATTTCATTGATATATAATATCAGCAATAGCGAATAATTACATGTTTAATGTACATAGGAATCTGGTCTTCCCTTTCATGATTTATTCGATGCAATGTAGGCGGTAACAGGGTTTGATCTTGATACTATTGTCACCTTGACTAAACTTACATAGGGCAAAAAATTCTCCTGGCTGTCATTGGTTGGATATTTAATATATATTCTACCGAGGTCAATTCACTTTTACTGCTTTCAGTGATCACGGGATGTTGAATGTCAATACCAGCGCTCGCGGTGACGATACAATTTCTCTGATGAGATATGTAGATCCAAGTTGGGTTTCGTTTCAACTCAGCTATGGACCATTGGGTCTGATAGAACCTGTTCCAGAGAATAAAACCGCTGTGTATGAAGGACTGAAAGGTAAATGTAAATTAGCTACGGCATATTAATTCATTTGAAAAAACTGCCACTAAGTATCGAATATGTCGAAGCGTTTTTCCATCACCAAAAAATTTGCTATTTTGTGGTATGGTGCGCTAGCACGTAGTATTTCCCCATCGAGACTGAGTCTGCCATATTTTCGGCAAACTCGGGGCTCAGCTGAGGTTTTAATAGCACACGTGTGACTTGTTACGGCGCTGGGACTTGATTTTGCTACGAAGCATTTGAATGAACCGATAACATATACCTTCTTGGAGATAAATAGGAAACTCCCATTGATCCATTTTTTTGTTTGTGGAAATTCCAGTTGGCATCCAAGAATATACATTGGGTATCGCAATGATTGTACTAGAAGATATTCGAACTTACATGCACATAGTATATTATACTGTAGTGGGGATCCAAATTTCCAATTTGTGCTACCAAATGATATATAAAGACAAACGTTAATTATTTTTCTCAGCTGGCAGTAATCGAATGGAAGTTTATTACAAAGAAGAGATCCCGGAAAGATATCACTATAAAAACAACGATAGAGTCCCGTCCATTGTGATAACGGCACATCATGGATACGATGTGTACAGGGTTGGTCGCTTGAAGAATAATGTATTTATTTTTCGAATGGCGCGTAGAGTAGTCTGTTGCCCATTTATGTCTATATGCAAATGTATTTTGACTGACAACCAGACGAGAGGCAATGGTTCGTCGTATGATTTAATCTCCAACTTTCCTTTCCCATTGGATTAATGAGAAAAATCCTATTTCAATGAGAATTTCGTCATATTGAATAGGCCGGTGATTTTCAACTGCGAATCAATTTCATCGATTTCGGATTTGTTATCGTGAAATATGCCAATCAGAAAATAATGTGTAACAACAATTTGACGCTAACACCTGAAGGCCTTTCTTGGAACATTGATTGAAAATTATTGAACTAGACTATTATATCTACAGGGTTCCATTACATTTGAACCCACGTACATTTGAACCCATGACAATTGCACCTGTATGCTATTGCACCAATGGAATTTTTTTTTGTTTTTCGGATAGTTGAACCCATACTAACCCTAACCCATGGGTTTTAGCACCCGCATATAGATTAAACCCGTGGATATACACATGGGTTCAAATGTACGTGGGTTCAAATGTACGGTCACCTATCTACAGATATAAGGCGCATTGAATCGGGACAACACTCGAACTGTCTATTAGTAGCATACTAGTTCTAACAATACAACCTACTTCTATTGTTTTACTAATTTGTTATATATATTTGCAATGCAAATTTGATCCTTAAATTTGAAATGCCCATTATGCTAACAAAGAATCACTTTAACTTTGCAGTATTTTCCCGGAGCTCATCCTAACCGTGGTGATCATGGTTTTGACAATGATTTCGAGGATATGAGAACGTCATATTTTAGCATAGGGCCATCTTTCAAGGTAAATTTGTATCTTTTGTTAAATCGGTCATCATATTTGTATCAGCTAACAAATGACTATGATATTGTGAACCTTTTTTATACCAGTAAAATGTTTCATACGCCGTGATACTTTCATTTACGTGGTACTCAAGGATCACACACTGTCTGTAAAACTCCTAACTCGTCGTCTTCGCATATTACTAGTTGACTCGATACGTTGAAAAAACTTAAGATAAACAGAACAGATTGTATATATCAATTATAGATATGTTTAATTGATTCATGACATTATCTTTGTTCAATTTGAACTTTTAGAAAGGCGTTACTGTCGATGGGTTTGAATCTGTGAATATTTATCCGCTCATGTGTCACTTACTCGGACTAACACCTGCACCAAACAACGGATCACTTGAAGTTCTGTACCCAACCCTGGCATCCGATCCTGTCACATCAACGCAGAGTGATATGACAACAAGCGGAGGCGTATCAACTGTACATTATAACACAGTTATTTTTTTCTCATCGCTACTTTCTGTCCATATATTTTCATTTATATAAACAACACTATGTCAGTTCGAAAGAAATAATTTAGACTCCTACAAATTGGTGTATAATTCCATTGGAGACCGTTGTACCGTTTTTCTTTGTCCGAATATTTTCATTTAAATAAATCACACTATATCAATTCTAGTAGAAATATTCAGACTCCTATTTCAAATTGAATTACAATTACATTAAGATCATTATCCGAGGTTATCGTTCATGTTATGCAACCAGAAGATGGCGCTGGTAACCGTATTGGGCGAGTGTCCTAACTAACCCGATACCAGGATTTTGTCTGTAAACTTTTTTTTATTGCATTTATATAAATCAATCACACAATATCAGTTTTACTAGAAATATTCAGACTTCTATTCCAAATTGACCTAGAATTACATTAAAGATCATTATCCGAGGTTACCGTTCATGTTAGGCAACCCAGATGATGGCGCTTATAACTGTATCGAGCGAGTGTCATAACTGACCAGATATCAAAGAGGATTTCGTCTGTAAACTTTTTTTATCGTAAATGTCATTTATAATTGTAATAAAAAATAATTTTCAAGTGTAATGAAGCTTGTTTGTGTAAGCACAACATTGGTGACTTCTCGAGCACATTCGCATCTGCTAGAACTTGAACAACTCGTTTGAATCTTACCTTTTCTATTGTTTTTGAATCCTTTTATGTCTAACAAGGAATCGACAACGTTCAACAGTGGCTCGCCAAATGGTCGATCCCTTCGAAAATATCAAAGTAGAACAAAATTACTAGCGGTCGGGCCAATTCAATCGAGATGATTCCATAATTTCCACCAATCTTGAAATCATCTTTCTTTTGGGATTTCATAATGGTGACAATCTTATGGTCTGATATAATCTCAAATATTTATCTACCCCTGAATATATTACCGTAGTTATACCGTGAATTTCTATACAGTATGAAAGTTATACTCTCGAGAAAACAGTAGTCCGAAACTAAACTTCACGATCTTTTTAATTAGATATCAGATCCTTGGGTGTCGGTACTCGATATCCAGCTTTGGTTCCCCGTGGCTTCCCCTCCTCAGTTAAAATGCGTGATTATTTTTTTTTTCGTATTTTGCGTAAAAGTGACATTTTAACTGGTTGGAAAAAATAAACTAGACTATGGCTTAGAAAAGTCAAGCTTTAGTGAATTGTGAAAAATACCCGTAGGAATTGGGTATAATATTGGAATATGAATCAGCCTATCTATCGTATACTCTTGAGCTTCTATCACGTTGTTGGTAGCATCAGCTAAGAAGAGAAAAATAAGAGTTACATGAAAATGGTAGTAAGCGCGCCACATTTTAACACTCTTAATAAAAGTTATATTTATAGCATGCAGACACTGCGCATAACTTCATTGCTGTTCTCGATTGGAGTGGAAAACATTGAATAAAAGACGACATAAATATGAACGTCGCTATCCGATTTCTAGCTATTATTTTCGGTCTAATTGTATCAATAAGGGCCGCCCCAATCCTTGTCAATGCGGGACCGGCAAGAAGAGAACACCACAAATTATTACTCATATCGTTTGACTGTCTCAAGTAAGTGAAGTAATATATTCATTACTAGCTATTATGAAAAGATTTTTGTCCATTTATCTTTTCCTCCTAATAGTGTTGCTCCTAATATATCTTTTCGAAACCAATATGTGTTATGTGAAGGTAAAACAAATATTAAATTGTGCAATATTTTTCGAAATTGTTTTCGTTTTGAGAGTTTTCAATTGTATGAGGAAATGTCGTGTTCATTTTATATTTTATTCAATAGATGGAGCTACTTTGATCGCACAAAAGAAATGCCTGGTTTCAAATTCTTGTCAGAAAATGGAGTTCGCGCAGAATATATGAAACCTGCATTTCCTTCTCACACGTCTCCGTGCCACACCACGATTGCAACAGGTAATTTTCTTTGTACTATAGGTATTAGGTTAACACATCATGGTATACAGCTATAGAATACGCCTAACCCAAGTTATTCCATAAAGCAATATACTTCATGCTCCGACTCATGGCTTCTCCAGCTAGCTAAAAAGTTAAATCTCGGTTGCCAGCCCTCTCCCTCTGTGTTGGATACTGCATTTGGTGCAACGCCATCAGTCTCTTCACTCCAACAATCATGGCATTCAGGTTTCTGATCAATTTCGCGTGCTCACTAGAATAATGCGATTGTGTTTTTATTGTTTAAGATAGCGACAATAATGACTTTGAGATCCATTCCAGGGTCTGTGATTACCTCCAAGATTTGCGCGCTTTAAATATAGCATCTTAAGTTACGATCTTTATCAAGGTCTATATCCTGAAAGTCACGGCGTTGTTCATAACTGTGTATACGATCAGCACAATGACAGCACAGGGCAAACCGACTTCTACGGAGCTTTAGCTGTGAATGATTGGTGGGACAATGGCCAGGAACCGATTTGGATAACAGCATCTTCACAGGTAAAAGGTTGCAATAGATTACTTTACTTGTACATTAGGGAAAAAAACTTTCGTAAACATCCTAATCTAGACATCCAGATGTTGCACAGCGAGAACTTATGTACATTATACACAAGATAGTTTAGTTTTAATTAACCATCTGCACAAATAATAAGCCATTTTGTCTCATTTTCTTAGAGTCACGGCTTCTCTTCTCTTTGCAGATCTAGGTCTGACATAGGAATATATAACCGGTGAAAGCGTCTAGCTGTATGAACGCGATCGGTATAGGAAATAGCAAACGGCATGCGCATTATCACGGTTTGGTAGTACGTAGATTAACGGTCGTCTCAGAAGTTGAACCAAAATTGCAACAAGGCGATTCATCATTTACTTAGTATTAAAATGGCTAAGTTTGTTGTCTATTTTTACCCTTCTAGGGTTTGAAAAGCGGAGGATACATGTATCCAGGAAGTAACGCTACTAATGACGGTCGAACTGCGACAAGATCAATTCTCGAATTAAGAACGACGTCTTACAACGAGGAAGCTTGGCGGAAACGAATTGATGACGTCATGTCATGGTTCAGTGACGACGATTTTGATTTCATCGCCCTCTATTTTGAACAGGTACGGTGAGTCGGTGACATTATCATCGGCGTTATGTCAATGCCAATTCTAGGACAATAGGTACTAGGGATGGGACGAGTCCAGCATTACAGAGATTCGATGAATCCGAGTAATAGGACAATGACTCGAATCGAATCCTTCGAGTCCGTGACGTCACAATGTAAAAGTAGAAAAACACGTTTTTGACCATACTACAGCAGCACGCGCTCACAAACATACGGCGTAGCTCATATTTTTTGCCTAATGGTTCCGCAAATAGCTGTTGAATCAATTTTAAAATATATTTTTCCTCTTTTTTGGCGGCCATAGTACAAACGTAAACGTGGGTCAATGTGCGCCTTAGCTGTGAACTGGATTCCAGCCCACCACCTTGCGTCAATTCTGGACTGCTATTTAGAAATTTTTACATGTCAATATGAAAAATAAAAGCTTTTGACTACAATGCTTTCCCATAATTCCAGATATTTCTAGCCTAAATTTACTATGTCGCGTGTGCAAATGGCAGAGAGATGCCACTCGTCGTCAATACAGTGCTTGTATTTTAGCAGTTTCTGTAAACGTTTCAAAACGCTCCATGCTTTCCATTGCTCCCTTTTTAGAGAAAAGATTGTACGTAATAAAGTCGATTTAAAAGAGGTATTAATGAAATTCATTTTTGGGTTGATCCTGCGCATGTTTCATACTTATTTACGCGAATCGAAAACTCAAAAATATTGCACATATTATTTTATTGTGTACCACATGTATACCAAAAAGGATAGATAGTTTGAAGGCGACTGGCGCATCATTGTTATAAGCTATCAATAGTTTTTAACTTGCGTTATATTATCTGAATATCTGTCGTCGTTTTTATTAGGTGTGTTTATAATACACACGAGTGATATTGTTACATATCTAACCTTGAATTTCAACTAGTTGAGGTATGTAGTGAGATTTCTAGGGGTAAAAGTACATACAAAGGCGTAAATTAGTAAAAACAGAATTGATTATAGACTCGGTAAAAACGACATGGACTCGAAATCGAATCCGAGTCCGGATCCGAATCCCGGCCCATCCCTAATAGGTACACAAGTAAACCTCTTTGTGAACAAGAAAGCTGTAGGGTATTCATGCGTTTTATTTCAAATCTGATTTAATTCAGTATTGAAGATTTTCCTCGACGTCATGGGACATTGATTTCCCCAATAATAGCAAAAAGACATTATGGTTTGTCAAAAACTTGTTTTTAATATGCGAAGTAAATGAAAGATCAATAACATGATCTCTTTCAACGAAATAGTAAGTATATTTGTGAGCTTTCGTTAGATCATGGTCTATCGAAAGCTCACAAATATACTTACTATTTCGTTGAAAGAGATCATGTTATTTTTACTTTTCACTTTAATACTTTCTCGTTCAAGCATCCTTGTGGTGAGTGCCACATACGGATCCGAAGTAGAAAGTAATCAAGGAGAAAGAACCTGCAGTTCAATACACATTATCCAAGTTCCCCTAGTAAATGAAAGATGTCTTTAAAATCTAGATAACACTGGGGGATTCTCAGTTTGGTTGATACCAATGACAATGAATCAAATAAGCTACTTGAACTCATCATCACCCCGTCAGTATGATAATAATCGATAATGCAACGCACCCTCCCATGGGTTATGCTGAGTGGAAAATCTAGATGAATGATTTTGAATAAAATTGAATAAAAAGTAGGCCCATAGTTCTACAACACCAGTTTTGCTTCTGATGAACTATTATCATCGTTTATTGATATATATACCTTACTTTCTTTATGCAACTTATGCAGCCAGATATCGATAGTCATGCATTCGGGCCTGACTCTGACAGAGTTGACGATGTGACGTTGCCTTTGGTTGATCGCACGATACAATATTTATTCAACCAAAGTGACAACTATGGTTTATTTGATGACTTGAATATTATAATTACAAGGTCAGTAAACGTAACGCAGGGGAATTGAGAATTTTTCAATTTTATTGATATATAATAGCAGCAATAGCAAATAATTCCATGTTTAATATACTTAGGCACTTTTCAATTTTATTGATATATATATAATAGCAGCAGAATTTTTCAATTTTATTGATATATAATAGCAGCTATAGCAAATAATTTCATGTTTAATATACTTAGGCATCTGGCTTTCCTTTCATACTTCATTCAATACAATGTAGGCGGTAACAGTGTTTGATCTTTATACTATTGTCACCATGACTAAATTTATATAGGGCGGAAAATTCTCCTGGCTGTAATTGGTTGGATATTTATTAGGTATTCTGCCGACGTCAATCCACTTTTTCACTGTTTTCAGTGATCACGGGATGTTGAATGTCAATACCAGCGCTCGTGATAACGATACAATTTCTCTGATGAGATATGTGGATCCAAGTTGGGTTTCGTTTCAATTCAGCTATGGACCATTGGGTCTGATAGAACCAGTTCCAGAAAATAAAACCGCTGTGTATGAAGGACTGAAAGGTAAATGTAAACTAGCTACTTCATACGTATTAATTCATTTGAAAAAAAACATCACTGGGTATCGAATATCTGTATAGTATAACAAGTGTTTTTCCGTCACGCCCAATTTGGCTATTCTGGAGTATAGTGGGCCACCACGTGGTATTTCCCAGTTTAGCTTTAGTCCGACATCTTTTCAGCAAACAGTGTGCCCACTGCCCACTTAGGGCCTCACTGGTACCTATGTGAATTATTACGGCCATGGGACCTAATTTTAATACGAAGCATTTTGAATGATCAGAAAACAGATTTCTTCTTCGAGATAAATAGGCAACTCCCATTGATTCATTTCTGTTTGTGGAAATTCCAGTTGGCATCCAGAAAGATTCAATGAATATCGCAATGATAGTATTAGTCGCCATTCGAACTTACCTCCACATACCGTAGTATGTATATATGAGATCCAAATTTCCAATTCGTATTATCAAATGACGAAGACAAACGCCAAATATATGTTTCTCAGCTGGCAGTAATCGAATGGAAGTTTATTATAAAGAAGAGATCCCGGAAAGATATCACTATAAAAACAACGATAGAGTCCCATCCATTGTGATAACGGCACATCATGGATACGAGGTATACGAGGTGAGGAACTTAGATAACTATGTTACTTTTTCGAATGGCTCGCAGGGTAGTCTTTTGCCAATTTGTGTGTGAGTCTATTCATCTGGACTGACAACCAGGCGAGAAGTAGTGATCAAGCTCCAAATTTCCTTTCCTACGGAATAAATCTTACAAATGAGAATGTCGTCATTTTGACTACGCCGGTGATTTTCAACCGCGGAACACCGCGGAACAACATCATCGATTTCTGATTTGTTATCGTGAAATATGATAATCAGAAAATAATCTGTAACAACAATTTGACGCTAAACACCACCTCTTGAAACACCGGTTGAAAATCACTGAACTAGACTATCATATCCTTATATGTAACATGCATTGAATAGGAAAGAACACTCGAACTGTCTATTAGTAGCCTACCAGTTCTAACAATACAACCTACTTTTATTGTTTAAATAATTCGTTATACTGTATATATATTTGCAATGCAAATTTATTCTCAAATTTGAAATGCTCATTATGCTAACAAAGAATCATTTAACTTTGCAGTATTTTCCCGGAGTTCATACTTACCGTGGTAATCATGGGTATGACAATGATTTCGAGGATATGAGAACGTCATATTTTAGCATAGGACCATCTTTCAAGGTAAATTTTTACCCTTTGTTAAATCGGTCATTATATTTGTAACAGCTAACAAATGTATATGATATTGCGGACCTTTTACACCAGTAAAACGTTTCATACACAATGATATTTCTATTTACGCGATACTCAAGGATCACTCGTTGTCTGTAAAACTACTAACGCTAACCCGTCGTCTTCGCATATTACTAGTTAACTCCATACTTCGAAAAGATTTTATAAACAGAACATATTGTATATATATCAATCATATATATATATATGTTCAATCGATTCACGACATCACCTTTGTTCAATTTGAACTTTTAGAAAGGCGTTACTGTCGATGGGTTTGAATCTGTGAATATTTATCCGCTCATGTGTCACTTACTCGGGCTAACACCTGCACCAAACAACGGATCACTTGAAGTTTTGTACCCAACCCTGGCATCCGATCCTGTCACATCAACGCAGAGTGAAATGACAACAAGCGGAGGCGTATCAATCGTACATTATAACACAGTTATTTTTTTATTATCGCTTTTTTCTGCCCATATATTTACATTTATATAAACAACACTATATTAGTTCCATAGAAATAATTTGGACTCCTACAAATTGTCATAGAAATACATTGAAGACTGCTGTACCGTTTTCTCAGTCCGAATATTTTCATTTATATAAATCAATCACACTATATCAATTCTAATATAAATATTCAGACTCCTATTTCAAATTGGCCTAGAATTACATTAAAGATCATTATCCGAGGTTACTGTTCATGTTAGGCAACCTAGACGATTGCGCTTATAACTGTATTAAGCGGGTGTTATAACTGACCAGATACCAATGAGGATTTCGTCTGTAAGCTTTTTTTATCGTAAATGTCATTTATAGTTGTAATAAAAAGTAGTTTTCAAGTGTAATGGAGCTTGTTTGTGTAAGCACAACATGGGTGACTTCTCGAGCACGTTCGCATCGACTAGAGCAGGGGTCGGGAACCTTTTTGGTCAAGAGAGCCATAAAATATACATATTTTCAATTGCATTTCCGTGCGAGTCATATAACATTTCTTCACTTAATCAGGCCTGAAATGTTCACTCAAAAGTCAACACATACAATGTCTATATACATTTAATGTGATTTCTTATGCTGCATGTAGTCGCTACGGGCCTTGAACGGTTGCAGCATGCAGCCCAAGTTGAAATCTACGATACTCATCACCCGTTTTTCGTTTAGGCATCTCCGTAGTGTTTTTAAAACTCTATCGCTCTGTGATGTCACAATATATGTTTCAGAATCCCCTTGTTTGTCACAATGCCTGTCTGGTAATTATCTTACATGACATGTGCTGGACGCGCGTTCTCAAACGTATTGGGAATTTCATGCCAAATTTGGCTATGAAAGAGTTTGTATTCTCGTAACAATAGTAAGCTTAGTCTTTAGTTTTTCCGAGAGCCATATGCCGTCACCAAAAGAGCCATATATGGCTCGCGAGCCATGGGTTCCCGACCCCTGGACTAGAGCTTGAAAAACTCGTTTGAATCTTACATTTTCCATTGTTTTCTGTCTGACAAGGAATGGACAACGTTTTTTTTATATTGGAGTCATGTTGTGATCAAAAGGTTGGAGGTTAGACAATAAGTGGCGTCTGGAAAACTTTATTGTTCAACATAATCAAGATGAGGTTTACGTAATTTGGGCAAGCAAGCGACACTATTGTGCAAAATCTCATGCTAGTTACGATAGCAGTGCGGACGAAATACGGGCTGGAAGTATTCATGGAAATGTGTACTCGAAGAAAAAATATTTCGCAAATCAGATATTACTTTCTCGTTCAAGAGTGGCTCGCCAAATGGTTGATTCTTTCGAAAATACCAAAATTACTAGCGGTCGGGCCAATCCAATCGAGATGATTCCATAATTTTACACCAATCTTAAAATCATCTTCTTTGGCATTTTGTAATGGTGACAATCTTACAGTCGGACATAATCTCAAATATTTATCTACCCCCGAATCTATTATGTGGTTATTTCTAAACAGTATAAAAGTTACTCTCCAGAAAACAGTAGTCCGAAACTAAACTTTACTATCTTTTTAATTAGATATCAGATCTCTGGGTGACGATACTCGATAACCAGCTTCGGTTCCTCGCAGCCTCCCTCCCACAGTTAAAATGTGTGATTATGTTTTCTCTTTGTATTTTATGTGGAAGTGACTTTTTAACTGGTTGGAAAAAATAAACTCGACTTGCAAGCAGTCATCAACGCTGCGGCGCTGAACAAGACGAATCTCAGGAATTAGCTTACAGATGAGCACTTGCAAGCTCAACTTGAACTTGCTAAAGACTAGTGAGTTGCTCGATGGCCCGGCCCTGAAGAGTCGCCGTAATTTTACGTTTTGGCCCATCGCGATAAACAATTTACGCCTGGAAATATGGTAGAGTTATCGCCGACCTACCTCTAAGTCCTGACAATCCAAGAGGTTTGTCCGTTACCGGTATTATTGGAGACAACAGTTCGGGACTACAGACAGATATTTGCAATGAAACTTTTATGACTTGATATTACTAAGTAAATATCTTACAGTAAAAAAAAAAAGATCCAACATGGTCGGCAAAACTTATCACTGATAGTAAATATACGGCTTAAATTTTTGTATCGGCCAAACGTGATTCAGTGATAATAGTTTAAAATAATGAAAGTAAGCGTGCATAGCAAAAAAAAGCAAAAAGAACATGGGAATCGGAACATGAGAAGCTGAAATTTCGATCATTATAGTCATCAGATCATTATAGTCATCAGATAACCTTACTTACACAAAAACGAAAAAAGTGCCAGATAAAGATGCTGGGCAAACTTTATTCAATCCAACCAGGAGTTGACTTACTGTTTGCTTTCATTCTAAGATGATGGCAGTGGAACAAGTATAAACTGAATAAAGTGCGCCAGTCTTGTTTGGTCCGGGATAACATTTGAAAGTTTTGAGAACAATGTAGTTCTGAAGTCAAATCGAAAAATGAAATCCCCATTTCCCCTCCTGATTGTGAGATCGCATGTTGCATACGAATAAAATAAGGAGAGATAATGCAAACAATTATTGAAGAAAACGTATACCACAAAAGCATAAAAACCAGAAATAAACCTTTTGGGAAGAATTAAAAATGGCTATAAAAGTCAACATGAAAAACATCCAATATACCCGATACCCAGTTAGTTTTCATTCAAAATTACACCAACAAAAAGTACAGATTGTACACAAGGTGCTAAGGATAGAATATGAAATTGAATGATAGTTAACTATCATAAATCAGCACTTTTCAAAAATGGGTGAAGTGGTGAAAGATTGTAAACAAAACATGTTGAATTGCAGATTTGTGACCCGGATAGTATTGCTACAATTCCTTATATAAGTCGAATATAGTGAGTCCATTTTCACCTATCAATATCTTAAATATCGCCAAGATTCTATTCCACAGTGGCTAATCACCTATAGTTTAGTTGTGGTTCCATTTGTTAAAACATTGAGTACAGATTATCTTCTTCATATTGCATATCGTAATCACCAACAGTGTCATCTGATATTCGATTATCATCTGTATGGGAAAAGCAAGATTGTGGTATTTATAATATTAGTATCGTGACTTCGCGCAAGTTATACTAAATTTAAACCTCAGTTACTATTGCAGGAAATCATGCCCAGGGTGTAAAATATCAGACAGGCTGAGATGGCTCAAAAAATTATGGTTGTTTTTAAACTACTATTCTACATACTTAAACACTGTCACCAACCAGCAATTACCCAATGGCAGGCAGCAAGGAGTCCAGGATTCCTCTCACGCATAATGAGAACCCACGCAGAGTAATCAGCATTGCCTTATCAATTTGTTCATTTTAAGATAATTTCAGGTAAATAGATTCAAAGGTTGGATTTTTGTTTGATTTTCATATTATTTTATTAGGTAGCTGTCAAAATGCAGGAGCAAATCTCCAAAAATGAGAAAATCAACTATTGATATTCGAAACACAATTTAAAATAAACCATTGTTAGTACCATCGTCGTCATCATCATCGTCAAATGTGTCATCATCTGAACTCGGGAAATTCCCCTGAAATATGAAAAACGGGTATCACTTATAAACACTAAATGGTTGGACTTGAAGATATTAAATCCACAACCTAATGACCTTGGCTCCGTGTTTACCACCTCCCCCCAGGGTAAAATTAATTGAGTAAGTCACTGTTGTTTTCTTTTGAAATTTTTAAGATTTCATTTATACCATTCAAACTCATGTTTCAGACAAATCTACTTCTCGAAGTTTTCACAAAACTACGCAAAATTCTTATGTCCACGAATCTAGCTATGCTCTTTCTACCAATCAGAAGTAAATTCTTTCTGAATAGCATCAAAAGGCGGCAAAGTCTTCAAAGATTCCAAACCTCATCATTGTTTTCATCATCATCGTCGTCGTCATCATCATCCTCATCGTCTTCATCCCATGCTCTTAGTACAGGATTCAATCTATCAACTGCACTTTCTAATGCAGTAGCATCTCTTCTCCATAACTACAAACATAAAGAAAACGAGATTAGGTAAAATATTTCTCCATAAAAATAGGGGAAAAAAATCAACAGTTCCATACAAGATTTTAAGCTGCATTCTATCCTTACAATCATTAAAGAAACCACTTTTTACCACTAATATTTTCATAAGAAGAATTTGCCCAAAGTATGGTGAGTGGCACTCACTCAGAAGTAAAGGATATTCAATTCTGAAGCACTTTTATAAGCACCAGTGTAATGTTAATCTCTACTGAAACTATACAGGTTCAACATGACACATCAGGCACCAACAAATGCTGATTGATGTGGAACTCCCAAGCAGGTAAAGCCGACATGACCAGGTAAATAAATAGCTATGAGATAATGAATTCTTCGTCAAGTTAAAGAAATATTTGGCATGAAAAATTCTTATCTCCAGATAGGTAAACTGACTAGTTCTCTCATAGTCAGAGCGTAAAACGATTAAAATCATCCATTTTTAATTGAATTTGGACCATTCAAATCTTTGTTTGCGATTATCATGTATTAAATACTACCAAAATTATAAAAATTACCCCGAATCCAATGTCATCATCATCATGCTCATCATCAGACATTCCAGCAGGTCGAGCATGAAGAACAATGTTACTTCGATTTGTTTTGCCATCTGCCAATAATTTTGACAAGGGCAAACCAACTTTCATGTCCTAATCAAATTATAATGAATGAAATAAATAAATAAAATACAGAAAGAATAAACCTGTTTTCTATTAGTTAAGTTTTGAACCTTATTTTAGGTTTTGATAGCTTGTTGGACTCGTTAGGATACTGAGTACACAATATTCTTAAAGCGACTTTCATATAGGCGGAATACTCAAATATATCATGTCCAGGTGATTCACTTAGATGGTTTCGACATTCAACTATTTTAAATTAGTCATGCCAGATGAACAACTAAAATGCCAATTAGCAGCAACTTTAGAAAATCATAAAAATTGATCAAACAAATAAAATTGAAAGGATAAATGTTAAGTCTTGTCTGATAAAAGTAAACAACAAAATATGAAGTGCTTGATATTGAAGCATTACTATTTTTTGTATGTAGGACTGCCGAAACAAAGTCACATACTTAGAAAGATTACAAATAGAAGCTTCAGTTGACGTCTAATGCAACTGATGAGAACAATTAAAAATACACGCCAACCTGGGCAGAAAAGGTTAGAATAGATTTCAACTGAGTTCCAATTTTGGAAAAATATTCTTCCATTTGTATGAGATCAGAATCGCTTAAATTTGCCAGAGCATTGTCGATATCGGCAACACCAAGAAGGGTTTTGTCTGCAAGAGAGAATATATAAACATTATTATGAAAGAAGAGAATGATTCCATACCAGTAAGCTAACAAGATAGATTGCTAATTCCAAAATAATTTATTTTCTACTACTTTTCTACTTCTACTGTCTACTTGATAATTAACTGGTAACTAGTAATGCCTAAATCCAAGAAATCCAGTTTAAATGAAATTAAAACTATAAAATAATGGTTTATCAACAAAATTCACCATTTTTCTCTTAAGACATGAGTAACATATAAATTTATGAAAAATAAACAATTTTTTCCTGAAGATCAAATTCATGCTCATGTTAATGTTTATCAACAAAGATATCATATAATTTTTTTGGCGCTCCAGAAGTAAGTGCACCAAGATGGCGCACAACCACCCTAACCTGGCGCCATCTTGGTACACATACTTCGGGAGCACCATTTTTTACATGTATATATTCCAGAAGGAAAAAAAAGTCAGGGAAAACGACTCAATCATATGGCAGACCACAGTCCAAGGCTTTTTAAATTCATTTAATTTATACATGTTAAAACTGCTTTTGATACCTACAGCTAAAAAGGAGCTACAAACTTCAAATTATCGTATTATATTCACCTAGAAATTCCTGTAGTTTGAGAGTGTTGTTTTCTAGTACTTGAGAATGAAGTTCCATAGTTTTCATCCTTTCTGTATCGACCGAATAATAACTGAAAATGTTGCTGTATGCCAGTGCCTGAAAAATGGCAGCTAGTAAGAACTGACAACCAATAGATACATTTGATAAAATGGATGTCTGTGTGGTAGGAAATTATATGTGCGAATATGTCTGTGTCTAGTATTTGAACTGCACAGGCCTGATGCAGTCACAGAGTTCAACTTTGAATTTTATAAGTTTAGAGTCGAGCACAATACAATTACAATGTTAGCCCGCCATTGGGCCATGTCTGCCATTGGAGTCAAAATTAGTGTCAAATCAAAGAGTCAGAACTGAAGGTTCAGATTTACCAAAGAATAGAGCTTTTCAGTATAAACTGAAATGACACCAAGTTAAGCCGAATGTCTAACAGTATCTAAAAAAGCGAATAAACTATTTTTTCGAATTTGGAGAAACTGCTGGAGTCAAAATTGATATTTTGTTAAACCAAAGTCAGGAGTTGTTTTTTCAATGGAGTCAGATAGAACTAGAAGAATTAAATTTTTTAACCACAAGAACTTTTAACAAGAAGATTTGTGATGAGTGATCTACACATATTTATAACATGCGGTACACTGCAGTAAAAAATCCCTCAGCTCTTACCTTTCTTGCTTTCACTAAAATGATGCAAACTCTGATTGCACGAGTGAGTTTGACTGGTGAAACCATTGTTGCATCCACTGACATCATTCGTTTAACGATACCAAGTGGAAACATCTAAATCCAAAATAAGATTGTACTGTTTAATTGCTTTTATATAAACACATTGTCTTAAAGGTAGATTACATGGAAAAGAATTGGAAAAGTTGTGTTTATTAAAGAACAAATTACCAAATTGACCATTAAATAGGGTTACCATATTTCACGGACCATAACCCAGATCAGGATAAATGGGGCACTGCCAATAAATCTTTATTAATAGTTAATACATAAGACGCACCGCACTATAAGACACAACGGTTTTCATGAGGTTGAAGACAACATTTTTTTTATAAAACAATAGTAGCCTACCTAATGGTTTGACTGTAGGCAATAAAGCATAAAGCACTACCTGATCCATACATAAGAAATACGATCGAAAGTGTGGAAATAAATGAAGTGGAACAGAAATAAATACACTTCTTGTCAGTTGTAGGGCAGAATTTTTTTGTAAAGAATGATGGATAATTCGGAATAATTTACTTTTTTAGAATATTTTTGAACATCAAAATAGAATTAGTAAATAGTAAATCTTTATTCTATTGAGACAGAGATCTGGCAAGCTAAATGATGCAACTGAACTCTAGACTGCATAAAATCATAATTAATGTTCAATGGACAAGCAATGTCTTCCTTCAATGACCAAGAAAAATACTAAGAAAAATCCTTGACAAAGATGTTTAGAAAACAACATAATCAATTTGAAGCTATCAAAAGTTGTTGGCAAGAATATAGAATAGCTTAGCATTGTTTAATGGTGCTGGAGTCAGATCTGAAGTCACAGTTCCAATTATCTGAAGTAGGGATCGGGAGATTCTTGAAAATCCTCATGAGTTGAAGTCATGACTTGCTGTTTCCCCAGTGTAATATATTAATTTCATTATTTAATAAAAACAGTTATACAATAAGAAATGTTACCGTTGCTTTATGATGAAATTGACATCTCTTATTATGGTCTTGAAATTTCAATCCTGCTTGTGCCATCTTGCTTACTTTAGCTGAGCATTTATAGTAATCCCGATGTGTTGGTCGCCATGGTTTCAGACATCTCCAACAAAAATCATGGCTGCATTTGAGACACTTCATGCTAGAATGAAAAATTTTGTAGAAATAAAATATATCCTGGTTTTGACACATCTTGATAATTTGTCTTATTAAGAATTATTGTTGTCACACTGTCTTTGGGTTAGGAACAAGCTTGCTATCACACAGTCGACAACAAGCAGGTCCATGTAAGAGAGAGGGAGAGAGTAGATTTAATTTGCCAAACTGGAATGTATATGTATATAAACATCAAAATATATCATTGACTGTGGATGACTGGGTCGTGACGATACCAGTTAAAACAGAGTCTGGTACCACCTAGTTGCTTATCGCCTTATGTTAGTCTTTGGTATTGGACCTACTTATCAACTTTTCTATCTATGGGAAAAATGCTATTCCAGAACTCTAGCAATGTTCAAATTGCAACATTAATTCTGAACACCAAGATAAATCAATTTGAAAAACATGAGGATTGGAACAAATAAAAAATAAGCATACTGTAAACATCCATCGTCTTTTTCAATATTAGCTTGGCAGTTTGGACATCTTTTTGCAATAAGTCTTGCTAGATGTTTACTTCTTGCATCATCACCCATCCCTTCAAAATAACCTCCATCTTCCAACCATTGTGACATGTGACCACAACTTGCAGGATAATGTGACTGAAAACAAAAAATAATACAACTAAGAACATCGTCTTGTAGTAGTAATTTGATTTGGTTATTTAAAAATTCAGATGATATTCTGCTTTCCTATATTTTCAATTTCATACTGTTTCCACCGACAGTGTAACAGCAGGATAAACACACCAGAGCTATTAGGAGAAATTTCTTCACTTTTGACTTATAATTCGATATATTTCCAGGAGAGGATCTTGTTTTGTTCACATCAATTACTTCGGTCATGTCATGAATTAATTTTATCTTTCACTGTTTACTACTGTAACTACTTACCGCATCATTCAGCTGTAAAACTGCATTTTACAATTCCAAAAATAAATTGTTTAAATTTTTGTTTTGTTTAACTCCTTGAGCCAAACTCAATCATAGCAATATTTTTTGTCATGCCACAAAAGACAAATAATAAAAATCAGATGAAGGGAGCAAGTCTCAAATTACCTCAGAATAAGTGCAAGCGAAACAAGTTTCCCAACCACATGCTGAGCAAGTCCCGATGTTTTTCCATGAAGAACCTTTTCTCACAACCATATCACATCCTAGTGGGCAATGACACCAGGTTAATGATCTGTCACTTTCAACATAGGATCGCACAAGTACCATTTTGTACCTGAAGAATGAAAACTTAGAATTAGTAAAATACCAAAGTGTATATCATTAAAAAAGTATGAATTGAGAGGTTACCACACTTATCAAGCACGTTTAATTTTTGTAATACAAATCATGGCGAAGGGGGAGCAATTTCACTTCATTATCATCAACTTCAATAAAGCCATTCAATAAATGCGATACGCCAGCTTGTTTTGACGCTCATGGCGGAGTTGAATGTATGATATCTGTTCTTATTTTAACATTAATTTGAATAAGTTTGATCATTTACACCAGTTTTCAAATGTGGACAGATGAGATGAATTTATTTGGGAAATGGATTTATATAAAAAATGTGCATGAAATTTAATCATTACATGAAACAAAGAACTAACCATCTTTTGAACTTATAAACTCTCCCAAAATGAACTAATTCATATAAGTTACCGTTCATAAATATCCTTTTCGTCTTTGAATAGTCTTTCATATGTTTCCAGTGTTGGACGAGCATCGCATTTTTCAATAGGACACTGAGCATTTGATGCCTGATTTTCATCCAATTTTTGAGTTAGATAGGTTTTCCAGCAATCCTATAGAAAGTGAAAAAGTATAACAAACAACTGGTACAAATATATCACCATTTTATCCTACTTATCTTATTTCCATTTTTTGCGCTGCAGGATAATGTAAGGTGAAGACAACTTACTGAGTAATTACTGCGCACTAACAAAAATATATTTGTGTTTTGTTTAGATTTTTAACTTCCCTATACAAACATATTTCAATTAGAAATATTTTTGCACTAGTGTGCAGCAAAACTATTACATTATTTAGAACTATCATTATGATATAGCAATGCTAGAGGAAAGAATGGCATAGATCAGGGTTGTCCAACCTTTTTGGCGGAAGGGTCACTTTTAGTTTACGAATGATTCCGCGGGCCACTTGGTATGGTCATGGTAGTTATGTTCTAGTTTTCATTACACCGGCTACAGATTAATGAAAAACAGCCTGTCACCAAAACTATAATAACAATGAAAATACGAAGATACAGTAAAGTCAAAAGTTTTTACCATCTATAGAAATTATGAAAGTATGAACTGATTTTATACAAAGTTATTAAGATTAGGTGCGATGGGCGATGTAGAAATGCGAAGTGAATTTTTTATACGAATGTTAAAAATTAGTGATATCACGGGGATTTGACATGGTTCATCCGTGAAAAAACTTGCTCGTATATGTAAGTGCTGCCAAATATTGAGGTCATGAAAACTGCCTCTTTTAGCTTTACAGAAAAAAAAGCGGTAAAACAGATTGAAATACACAGCAGACGATAAAAATGAAATTTAAATATCTCTTTCTCAGGCAATAACGCCCCGCAAAGAGACTTTAAAAAGATTCCGATAGCTCGTTGGTGCTTATCGCGCGTTTGAATGACGAGAAATTATTAATTTTTTTATTAGAGGTTTCAATAGTGGCTCAGATTTGTAAAAGACATCGGGCTTCGAATAATACAGCGCGGGCCACTCAAAAATCTTCGGCGGGCCACGGGTTGGACGAACGTGGCATAGATGGTTGTCAAAAGACACAAAATCCCTTTTGATTAGTTTCAAAGAATTTAAATAGATAGTAACTAAATTATTAAGCAAATATTGGCATCATATTCAGATATCTAACTGAAGTTCAGATAATGAGGCGCCTTTTTTTTTGTTTTGTTCAGAAACTTGGCATAAAACAAAGGTTTAAAAAATCTTAAAAACATATATTTATTATTACTAAGAAAAGAAGCATTTACCATAAATAGTAGAATAAAATTGATATGATAACAACTTACAACACAGCATTGATGATCACATTGTAATGCGAGTGAATTTGAAGATGTGAGTTCGTTAGTACAAATAGGACAACAATTATCAGAAGATTCACTTTTTGCAGTACTAGCAGATGCTGCAGCAGCACCTTGTTCAGAGAGATCACCCTCTTTTTCATCCGATTCTTTTTCTTCATTTGTGATTCCAATTGCTCTCAATGTTGCAGACTTATTACTTACATAATGCTAAAATATCAGAAGGATTTACATGTTTATCCCGGGGAATAGGAAAGCCGATAAAGGTGGCTTAATCATATGGCGAACCGCAGCATCTTGTCTGGTTACCAGTTCATGTCAGGTAGAAGATTAGTTAGCCAATTATTTATTTCAGATACATGGACTCAATGGAGTAAGGAACCCCCAGGTTAAGCTGTGAACCCGTGAAAGATAATTAGAGATGCGGTGGCGAGCATATTCCTGATGCTTAGCACGATGCGCCACATCGCCGAGCCAAAATACAATGAAAAACTTAAAAAATATAAGAAAACGAATTCATCATTTCATGTTTGGCGGAACGCTGCGTTACACACTATAATTGGTCATGTTCAAAGCATTAGGTTTGGGAAACATAAACTATTTCAAATTGTTCTGTTATTATTATTGGTATCTTTTTATTTTTATTCTGTATTTAATGAATATACCTCTATCAAATCTTGAACCCTCCAATCCATTTGTAGTAATAATGCTTCCACGATACTCTTGTCACAGGAAAGTACTTGAGAAATTCTTGTGATAGATTTTTCAATTGTAGTATATATCTGGAAAATAAAATTAGAGATATGGCATAATCTCTCATTTTTTCATGCTGTTTTTGCACACCTTCACTCTTTTCAAAGCTCTGTAAAAGAAGCTAAATTTCAAATAAAATAACATGTAACCCCCAGAGCCTAATATGTATAAATAAATGCTGGCAATATGCGTCACATGAATTTAAAAAAATTGATTTATAGGAAATGTGCTCTTTGTATTAGGCTTGAACAGTAGTTCTCAATGTGGGAGATGTGACAATTTTTGTAGTAGCGTGGAGTTAATTAAAAATAAAAATATTTGTTTGATTTGATCTTGCCCGCTTTTATTTTGAATATTTACATTCCATCCACATATTTTCAACATGTTTTTCGAATAAAACATACTTTCGCCTTACTATCTGTTATTTGTAGCTTATAGCAGCTTAAAAAGCTTAAGAACCCCTGTTTCAAAAGCAAACGTATCCAGTCTCTGATACCACGAATTCATTAAAATACTATGGAAAGACTCCAAATTCCAAAGATTCCAAATGATTTAACAGAATTAAAACCCTTTTAATTCGGAAAAAAAAAGTACATTAAAAATCAGAAATACCTCTTCTTTTGTGAGTGATTGGCATGATCTTTGTAAAGTGATGATTGCTGGATTCTCAGACATTCCATGAACAAGATGCCATGATAATAAGTCTTTGAATGGATAAACTATATCTTGAGGTGCTGGTGTTAATGGAATGACTGGAAATAAATGAACACAAACTTGTTAGGAATTAATAAAGATATGGATCTAACATAAACATAAATTGCAACAAGAGAACTATTAACTGCATGTAATCATCTGACGGCGAGGTTTAATGTCGAAGCCATAAGTAGGAATCATCTAAAAACATTATCAAGCGACATTTCCAATGAAGTATACAGAGATTCATTGCCAGGTCCACAGAAACTTACATCTGCGCGAAACTACACATATTACATGAGCTATTTTATGAGTCGAAGTTTGAATATCTGCTGTGAAACAAAGTTATTTTTACATAATTAATAGACTGTATAAGAGAAATACTTTATGATACACAAATGTTTCAGAGGACTTTCGTCATACCTCTGGAACAGCTCCACCGAACCCCAGGGGTTCAATCAAACCCAGGTTAAGAAAAACTGATCTATCTCTTCAAGTAAACATGGCGAGGTGTCGTCTATCTGGAAAAATTCGCTAAAAAGTTCAATTAGATATGCTACACACCAGAATTATCAGATTCCTTTCTATTTTTAGGAATTGCTCCAGATTTTGGTCGAGTTGATGCGGGAGATGACGTAGGATGGGGAATCGGGATAGAAGTCGAAGATGAATTAGTAGCTGTCTCCCATTCATCATCATCATCATCATCAGATTCTTGAATTCCATCTGCACTAATTTCTAAAAATAAAAATAATAGAATTTGAATGAAAATCAACTCAAAAACACAATCCTAAATAATTCGGACATATGAAATAGACAACTTATATTACACGCAGATGACAGATAAGTTAAATAAACATGATGGATAACGATAATTCATCAAATCAGCAAAGTGGAAAATGTAGTTGCATATTGATTTACTACAAAGAAACCTTAAGCCCAGGGTTGCTGAGTGAGGCAAAATTTACGATCGACTTTGATTCAGAAAAAATTTGATTCGGAACCTCGGGTCATAAAAAAATTTAGGTTCAGACCCGGGTTATAAAAAAATTGTGACTTCATATCCAGCTCCAACCGCAAGCCAAAATCAAATTTTGATAACGAAGACTTAAGCTTAAGCAAGCCTCATTTGACAAATTGTTACAAATGATTAGCAATTGTTTGAGTCAAATGTTTTACTATTTCGAATACATTATGAGAAAATATTCTCGAATATGAAATATCGAATTCATTCTAAATTTGGGCACGCTCATGTGCAATATTATATAAATCACTATTTATTTATGTTGATCATATTTGAAATGACATGAACATAAGGGCCCATTGTTTACTTCGTGTTGTTCCTTAGCAGTTGAGGTATCGTACGTTCCACCTACTTGTCTGACGATTGGAACCTCATTTTTAAATTAAAATGTTCTAAATTGATCCCAATTTCAGAAATTTACCATATCGAAGATAATGAATTTTGAATGTATTCGAATATTCGATTCATTTCATCCATGCCTTTGACTATTATAACCATTGAAAGTACAAATTTCTAACTCCGACAAACTCGAAAATTTCCTAATCCACCTCCAGCAAGAACAAAGTAAACTTCGACTCTAAGATCACACCCCTGCTTTAGCAAACACATATTAATTTATACGGCTGGTAAAAAGTCAAAATTACAATAAATAAAATATTGTTGATGAAACACTTCATCAAAAAATACCAGCAAAATCTTAAATCGAATTTTCCATTTACCTCGTGTTACATCTATTACAGTTGCGTCTTGATTTACTTCTATGGCAGTCTCCTTCTCTTCATTCCTGAATTAACATTAGTAAACATGAGTTATGAGTGACTGTTAGTTCGTAAAAGACGTAGAGAAATCATAAAAAATGTTTCACTCACTTTGTAGCAGGTTCCTGTATTGCTTGTGTAATATCATTTTCAGCTTCACTTTCTTTTTCCATACATATAGTTGATGTTCTACTTCTTATAGGAGGTGATTTGGCAATGTATTCTAAGATTTGAGGATTTTCTGGATCTTGTTTTATAAATCCAAGATCGATCAAAAGATCACATCTCGCTCGTATCTGCGTGGTGAGAGGCGAAAAATATTAAAAACTACTAGATGCAAAATAATATATAGCAGCTGGTAGAGTGTAGACCAGGGGTGGCCAGGCCAGTCATAGATAATAGACTTGGTTACTGGGCTGCAGGCTCAAAACTCCAGTTTATTTACAACAGCTAGGCCAGCGATTGTATAATAATACGGAGCGCTCTTTATATAATGTTAGATATCTTATATAGTGCCTTGTTTGGAGCGAAATGAAAACATAATCGTCCAATAACAAAAATCGAGAAATTAGCATCAGAGATGTCGTAATTAGCAATTAGAATTACTATTATGAGTTTGCTATTAATGTGACAAGAATATTTGTCTCAAAATAATTAAATAATCAGACAAACCTCGGATGAGAGTGGTAGGAAATAATTAGAATTGTTTTCTTTAATGACATCATGAGTTTTTGCGTTTTCAATATCAGTTCCATCATAAAATATACCATCAATCGGTTCTCCTAAACATTGTCTTGTGACCTGTAGCAGAAAATAGAGATAAATAAAAGGAAAATTCAAACAACGAGAATGGCAATCTAACCAGCAATGCAAACATGTATGGTTAGTCCATACAGAATGCCATAAAGCCAATATCTGTTAACTATATTTTTTGCAAATTTATACGGTATTCTCTATTTTCTGTGATGATTCAAAGTCCACAATTTCTAGAATAGCATATTTGTGAGTGGGCACTCTGACTTAGTGGTTTAAGTGTTAGACTAAACTATGATGGCCTCGCAGAGTCTTGTGTAGAGCCAATGGCATAAACATATGTTGTGTAAAGAATATTAAATCCATACTTTTATATATATAATTCATTTGATACAATTCAGGTGATCCTATTAGTCATTTGATCATTGTATCTATCACTTTTCACATCTTGTTATTATATATGTCACATACTTCACCGAAGGTATAAAATGTTGGGACTTACATTGAACAGAAGAGCATCCATCTGACAAGACTGAGTTTGCTTGATACATTTAATAATAGCACAATCTATTATTGTATTTCGCTTCTCTGTTAATTCTTTTACATCGTCAAATTTATTGCAAATTTCGGTTTCATCGAAGCATACAACAAGATCTATAACTGTAGAAGAAAAAAATGGTGGGTAAAGGTTAAAAAGGGAATTCATGGAAGACTTGATTTATGAGGTATTTGCAGTCATAAAGCTGTTTGAGCTGACTCAACTCAAGCATATTTACAAGACAGTCGGCTGCAAAGGAAGCAAACTTAAGGAATTCAGATTTTAAATTGTCAACCTATACAGTGCAATTAGCAATAACCATTTTCCGTGGTTCAAAAGAGTTATTTCAAATAATGATCAAAATGGTGGACACTATGGCCTAATGATTAAAACATGAGTATGCTGGCATTGCATGTTAAATATCAGGTTCAAGTCAACAAAGCCCCTCAAAATGAAACAAAATGATGTTGCCAAAAAATAGTTGTTCTCAGAACAAGTTACCCATTTGTGCCAAAATTACCAATCCGCAGAAAATGAATCCAGATGCGTAACGTAGCAACATACTCATATCATAGTTTCAGCAAAACCAAATGTGCAACGATTCATATATAAATTTGCAATCATGTTGTTAATAACACTATCAATATAAAGATACCAGGATATGGACTCTAAAGCACCAACAAAACAGTTTGGTGTATAAATATACAAACCTGGTGTTTTCATTTTTGTTTTATTAGTGTCTACAAGCACAAAAGATGTTTCTGAAGCCGGCTTCAAAATATTGGCTTTCACTAATCCATCCAATGCTGATGACCAATGGTGTGGGAATGCTTGTTTCCAGGTTTCAATATTCACCTTAAACAGAATATTTTGATTATAATAGGCAGTGTAAATAACCACCAAAAGCAAAAAAAGCTATCATATAAAGGTACAATGGCCAGGTGCAGGAAGATATGTTTTATTGTAAAAAAGAAGACTTTTATCATCATAGATATTCGATAACTGCCAAGAATTTTGCGCATCTTTTCCCCTAGTCTTATATTACTTGGTTGGTATAGTTTTGAGCTTTACGTATGCAATACTTTGTCAGGAATGAAGCAATTACTTGATATAATGAAATTGGCTTGCACATACATTACCCAATAACATTTAAAATACTATGGGAAATATTTCAGGGTTTCGGAAGAGTTTGGGAGAGCAGATCAGTGGTTCACCATCTCTGGCCCAGAGTTATATAGTTATGTTGACCAATTACAAAAACAGTAAAACTAACCTCATTTTCACAGTCATAATTAAAATGCAGCAAAAGAAGCATTTGCGTTGTTGTAACTTTATAGACTTGCTTTGTTTTCATGTCCACAATTTCAGCCCATCCTTCTCCTGTCCAATGTAATGGTCCGGAATTGGATGAACCGCTCGGTGAGACAGCCCGCTGGTATGCTGAAATAATACAATTTAAGATTATCAAATAGAAAAATATGTTTAAAATATCTGTGCTTCTAACAGCTATCATTTTCTAAAATTTCTGACTGTAATTCACTGAGAGAAAAATCTTCTTTATATATCTAAGTGGGTGCGCTTGAGCTTGCTTTGAGCCCTAAAAAATCACAAGTGGGCAATGATATAAAAGCTTTTGAATATTAGCCGAAGCATATATTAAGAACAGGCAATCTACCAGTGGCTAGAGCAAGGGTGTGCAAGGACTACAATCATAATTTAACAAGCTCATTCCATACAAATTTCAATACCAACTATGTAGTGAATGCGGAATTGGTTAAAAGTAAAATTTATGGTAGCATCAGGCGGGCCAGATTGAATCACAAAAGGGCCAGATTTGGCTCACGGGCCGTGGTTTGCCCATGTTAGGGTTAGAGCGTTCAATACAATTATTTTGTAATCTTGGGTTAAAGATCTTGGGATTTGAACCAAATATCAACCATCTCACTCGGAGTGTAATCAATTGGGTGTGCGATTCAAAAATAATACGATTCTGAACTATCCAGAAATAGCTTCTAGAGGAAAACGCTTCTCAAAAGGTCCATGCAATTCAAATGCAAAAGTCGGCATTAACAAAAGATAAAGATTCCGATAAAACAAACTGACCTGATTGGAAAAACGTTTCATAATCATTGAGTAAAGTGATGAGATCGCTTTTCAATTGACATAATAAATCAGGAACAGCATGTTTCTTAGTTGCTTTCAATCTCCATGATACAGGACTTACAACCTGAGCACCCAGTAACCCATTCTTGTACAAACTGCAAAAAGAGGAATTAACAAAAAAAATTTGCATGTGAATACACATCGGCCAAAAGAATTATGCTAAAATTCAAACAAAGCCAACAAACACCATGTCTTGCATTGCACAGAGAACGAATTCGAAATACTTCAAATGAAAAAATAGGTTGTCTCAAGTTGAGTCACTCACTGAATGAGTGTCTCACAAGCGATTAGTTGAGTACTAACAGTCCAAGTCATTTCCTTAGGATGACTCGAGTAACTTCGAGTTTTTCATAGATAGCGAATTAACCTCCCAAGACAGGGATAAAGTCAAGAAAACTACTCAACACTCCAGGAATTTGTCAGTGAAACACAACTTGAAATGTTACTTTACATATAGTTATCTATGCAACGAATGTTTAAATCTGGTACAAATTCACACGGATGCTAATAGCTTACTTGAGTTTCATCCAGTGTTTTTCCAATTGACTTTGAAGTAATAGTTTTTGTTGTTGTTCAATTTCATCTGAGCTCATTAGCAATGATATTGTATCAAACATTTCCATTCTGTGAGCTATGAATCCATTCCATAGATTCTATCAAATTAAATCCAATCAATGTTTCAGTTACACAAATCTTACTTATATATATAGGGTGTCCAAAAAATTTTCCCTGATTTTATAGTAATAAGTAATAACAATTGTAAGTTTAAATAGATTTTATTAGGCAAAATTTTTTGGACACCCGATACCCGATACAATCAGTTTTACATGGGACCCAGCAATAAATAATTAGGACTTATAACTTATCCATCAAATTCAGGGCAAATGTAATACATATCGAGAGAGAAAAAATCGCTCCATCAACATTGAATTACGATACAAAAAAGTTCAATAATGTAAACAAATTGAATCAACACATTGCGATCTTGTTTTGTGTCCATAAACTCTCCCAACTAAAGTGAATGTCTGAACCGCAAGTCATATGTTGCTTTCAACACCAAATAATAGATCCAATTATGCCAATTTTTAATTGTGGGTAGATAAGTAATTACAATAAATATACCTTTGAATGTGAGGCATCTTGTAGCATAAGGTTTGGCCGTCCATCAGGAAAACAAGCACAGATAGAATTTGAAATTTGTTTTTCAAAATCAATATTTTCAGAGTCATAATTGAGCAATCTTGATGCAAGAAGAGAACTGAGAAATAAAAGAATTGAATTTTGTTTAAATAGAATATTTATGTATTGAAGCTTCATTAATAACTATATTTTTTTCAAAATAATTTATCAATATTAAAACTAAAAAAAATCAAAACAGATTAAGCTTTAAAATGCATCAGTTGAAATCGTTTATTGATCATACGACCATACATGTATAGGTATATTATATTTAAAATGGTACTCTCGTAGTATGTGTACCAAGTCAGGGTTAGGTAATAATTTTATTCCAATTTTCCTTATTTTAGTTCTATTACGAGTCGGGGACTGTCTGTGTTAGCCAAGTGAATATACCCCTGCCCATAGGATTCAGTCCCTTCACACAATTTGATATGAAGTAGGAGAACAAAATTAGTTACCTCCATATTATTCTGGAGCGCCTTTAAAATAATGGAAGTACATACCAATACAAAGGTTCAAAGACACATCCCCAATCCAAGTTGTTTGATAGAAACAGGAATTGTGCAAGATGATCCAATAACTTCAAATCTTGTCGTGTTATTTGCAATGATTTGGATTTCATCATCAACTTGTGAATAGTAATAGCAACATTCCTACCGAACTGAAACAAAAAAAGATAAATGAATTAAGAAAACGAAATATATATTTTCAATAGTTTCAGTATACAAAAAGGTGAATATCACTTTCACCCTCCATTCATGAAAATTCTTGTGAGTGATAAATAGAGGCAACACTCTCCCTGAACCCAAAGTCGCAGAAAGTCATCCGAGTCCCGAGTAGAGTCCGAGACTAATCGCAGAGTTAAACCTCATTGGCTGGTTAGTGGATGGCTAGTCTAAATAATTCCAATTCAATGACTTGATTCATTTTGAGTGTTTAGTCTTTGATAAATGATTACTAGAGTCCAGTTTGAGTTAGGTCACACACGCCTCCTCAACACTGACACTGACTGATTATTATTGTGGTAAATCAATGTTACAACAACTAATATACACAAATATAACTTCATTGCTGATAATCAGGGTAAAGTTTATTGGTATGGTATGAATATATCATTAAAATAAGATATAAAGATATAATCATGGTATTACTGGGGGAAATGGTAGAAGATAAGGATGTGAGAGAAATTACCTCTTGAAGAATTCAAAGCTAAAAATTTCCAAAAAATCTTTAAAAAATACATAGGACAAAATTGCTATTTTAGGTATATCTAAACAAATGCTAAATTTGAAATATATTGACGGCAAATTATTTATTTTTCTTTCTCAAACTTGAAACCACAATCACAAATAAAACCCAAATATAATGAACTTACAGCAACAGTCTGCTCAATATCAAGCGACCCAATAGCTCCATTGATTCCTCTTATAAGTGCTGTCAGAAACTGAGCATGAGTTCCAAATAGTTCAGTAGTGCATTTCCTGAGACATTCATACTCTTTTGCAAGCACTGTGAATCGAAAACATGTATTCATACAAGTTATTATATATATCTTATTTTTTACAAAAATTTAAAAAGAATTTCAAGTTATTCTGCGATCGGGAACAAATATATTCATCGAATGATCAAAAACATTTGACTTGAGTCGAAACTTGTTGTTTACACATTAAATCTAGTAATGCCAGTTGAAAATTTCCAGGTAAGAGTCTGACTGAGTCTGACCAATACCATTAGCAGACAAAATTTCCAAAACCGGCTTATCTTGAATTACAAGCCATTCCAATAAGCCAAAAACTACACCTTATTAAGACAATAATTGTTATTCAAAATTTAACCAATTTTCAAACTGACCTTGCCAAAATTCCAATCCAGAGTCACCAATTGTTTCCAAATTTCCACCATTATTTGCAAGGCTTAAATTTTCATTAAAAAAATTTAGCATTCTGACAGTAACCACAGAGCACCATTTTTTGGCGATTGGGGTTAAACCAGGGTTCCAACTTGTGGATCCGGCAGTTGGGTCTAGCAATTCATCTGCGAACAATTCTTCAATTTCTTTGGTAGCGTTTTTCGATGCTGACGTGGCTTCGAATGTTGAAGATGTTTTGCTTCTTGATGTTCTTGCACTGTCATCATCTATAATAATAGAAGTGATAGAATATAAGGACATGATGATGGTATTGCAATTTTAATGAATTTTTCTCCATGTTAACCAAATTTGGGAATAAACTTGACCACGACTCGCAAGGTAGTCGCAACTAGATTTGAATAAATTATAGCATTCTAATGGTGACTAATTGTAATTAGTTTAAAATAAAATTTTGTTCCAATAACAAATCGCATAATTGCACTTGCAACAAATTTAGAAAATTATACATAAAATTCACTTAGTCGAATAATTAGAGATGCAGTATATGTCATTTAAAATATGATGACAAATACAGATATAAAAATTGTTCATGTTTGATTTCAGAATCATAATATTTGAAAAAATGTTTTAAAGAAAACTCATACTTAATGCTTTCCTATATGATATGGTATACAATTTTACACAAAGAGATTTGAAATAAAAGTAAAATGTATAAATTGTGGAGTATATCTTTAATTTGGTGTCTCAAAGTGTGAAAAACTCCGAATTCTTGATACTTGCATGTTGCATCCCACACAATTGATAACAGACCAAAACTGGTTGTTGCATTTTGACTTGTTGAAGTTATGACAAAAATCAAAAAATTATCCAATATCTAATAGTATTCTATTTCAGTCATTTTGAACAACTGTTGGGCGAAAATAAGCTCAATATAAAATATACGCTACTAATAAGTTATACCCAAATAACGTATAATAGGTAACTCAGCCTGACCCCCAACACCCCAACCTAAATTTTAGAAATTCCGACGAAAAAATATCCAACTTGCCTTTTGAAGACTTGGTCTGCATTTTCTGTTGCCATTCTTTAGCTCCATTTCCTGTATTCTGTGTTCTTCTAGAAGAATTTGGACCAGTTGGGTTTAGATCAACGAGAAGTCTAGTGAGGCGACGAAGACGTGATAAAAATTCTAGACGATCCATTTGAAACAATCCAAAATCTTCATCATGTGAATTGGCCATTTCCACATATTGGTATAATAGTTGAAAAATGAGAGAGGAAGCGAAATCTTCAGAGTTTGTTGTCGGTGAAAGTGAGTTGGAAGATTTATTCTCATCTGCTTTTGTATCAGAAATTCCAGCATCTAGGACAGCTAAATTATAAGTAAGTTATAACAGTATGAAGATAAGTTATTATTCAGATATATCAGGTTAGAGTATTCATATATCTCAGACTTTCTTACGAACTAGGACATAAAGGCTAACTTAACTCCTATGTATCTATATAAATATGAACTGATAACAAGCTTTGGTGATCATAGAAAAAATTATGTTGAATGTGAAATAGTATTATTAGCAGATCTAAATAAATTTCATAAAAACTAATCCAAGTAATCAAGAATTTGTGAAGATATGCCTCTCTTAATTTGGAAAATATATTTTACGGAGCACAAAACATTTGTTGACATGTTACAAAAAAATGAAACAAGTTTATATTTAAAATAAAATCATGTTTGGCAAATACATGATTCTGCATCTGTGAAATAGATTAAATCTTATAATGTGAGTGATTGAGTATCAGGCAAATTATCTTAGAGAATCATTTCACGTGCAATCCGCCATGTCAAATGAGGAGTAATGGTGATTCTCCTCATTTTACTATCCCTCAGCAAAATATAAACATCTTATATAATGTTATCTACCTGTCACTAGAGGATTAATAACAGCATTTCTAAACGCTTGTCCTATAACAAGTGATGACTCATCATTTGGAAGAAATAGATCTGCAAATTCTTGCTCATGTTGAATAGCTTGAATTATTCTGAATCGAAAAAATATATAGTGTAAAAAAATGAAGTTTATAGATTTATGCCATAAGCGAGTTTCTCAAAAGTATGAACAACATATTATGCATAGTATTTATTCAAATATTCATGCAGTCTAAAATTTCTCAATAATATATTTCGGATATTAATTGATCTACTATACAGCAAAATGAAGATACACATTATAGTTATTTCTCATAAACATCCTTACTGTAAACTAGATGTAAAATTAATACCAATTAATATTATCAGTTAGATAAAAAAGCAATATTGACAAAATGAAAAAATTGAAAAGCGTCAATGTATCCATATGAAAATTTGTCAAACAAGTGATATTTGTATGCACTGATATGGACAAATTCGACAAGTAATCAAATATTTCAAACAAAACTATTCATCAATTTGGCAGTATATTGATTCGAAACTAAAATTCTATTTCCTTACTTTGAAGATAAATTCAATATTCCATGAGTCATAATTTTTTGTTTCTTCGATACGGTTTCATCAATTTCTTCTTTTTTTGTGCAAGACGAAATCCATGCACGAGCTCGTACAAAATAAGCGAGACAAGTACGAATGCATAATTGTTGACGTAAAACTGGCCAGAAGGAAGGTTTTGGTCCAACAACTTCAAGTCCGTGAATTCGAGTGTCAATCCCACCCTGAATAAATAGTTTGTTATATACTGATTTTTTATTTTTTATTTCTTCATACCTAAAACTCGAACATAATGGTACAAAACTCTGCAATGGAGGTTTTCAAAGAGATTCACACTGTATCTGATTACCTAATATCACGAAGGTAGGCACGTAACGTACCTTCGACAGTTGATAGGGCAGATACTTTGTTACAGGACGAACTATGTCGGTTTTATTCCGATAAAAGCGCACCTCCCGAAGTGAAATTTAATTTGTAAGTATTTCACTTTGCCAAGGCTTTGATCCTTAATATAACTTTGAATTTTTGCTTGCTATAACATTTTCTGCTTTCCGTTTGATTAACCGAAAAGAAGTACAGGTTTTTGATATTCATACAAAATTGAGAGCATTGTTCTGCTGAAAATTTATATGATAGATCAGGGCTTCTCATTCACAATAAAAAACTTTACCTGTTGACATCGTCGTATACAAATCCTAATCACTGGCCAATATTTCTTTTCATTTTCCAATATGACAACTCTATTATCCGTTGTTGATACAGTCATTACATTCAATTGATGTGAAATATCAGAAGGTCTAGCTCCTCCCATGACAACAAATCTTGCTGGCATGTAGCTAGAATCATCTTGTGATACATGTACTGTGAGTTTTCTGAAATTAATATAATATATCAGTTTATTTCAAGCACAATGACAAACTTTCATTTTACTAGATTCAAATTAGGGAAGTTGGTATGTAACAAATCGAATATTCGAATAGATTAGATGTTTTAAAAGTTCCGAATTTTGTGATAATTTGGATTAGCTTCATTTGAAGCAGTGGTTCTCCAACAGTGGGGAATAGACATTTTTTGAGGGGACGTGAAGCTAATTAAAAATAAAAATACTTGTTAGATTTGATCTTGCCCGCCTTATTTTGGATATTTACATTTTAAAACTTTTCATTTATTTCATTATCTACATTCCTTCGAAGCATTTTTAGCATTTTTTTTTAATAAAACATACTTTCACCCTACTATCTGTAGCTTATTAATAGCTAGTTATTTTTGAGGTGGGGCGCGAGACTTGACAAAGTCAAAGAGAGGACAGGCTTTAAAAGTTTGACGACCACTGGAAACCAATTAAATCACTGTTTATCTGCAACTATTCTGCATTTACCAAACAAAATCATTGACTTATATGTGTTCTTGTTTTAACAATGACCCATTTAAAAAAAAATTGATATTCCATAGTTGAAAATATACTCTTAGAATGTCTTCAGAATAGTAGATCATTGGATCTATGGGAGTTTCTTCTAACTTTCGAGCAAGTACGTGACAACTCTCTTTGAGAGAACTCACTCAAAATCCTTTCCTTATTGAACAACGTTATTGTGTAAATTTGAGTATATTCTACCTTATCACAACTCCTTTCTTCATGAAAATATTGATCCAATGCGAGCCAGAACTTCCATTACTTTCCCAGTAAGTTTCAGGATTTCCATCAGTAAGTTTACTACATTGTCTGGGATTGGATGAAACTTCAATCTTTTCCCAACATTTGTCTTCTTTCACATCAAAATCGGAGCCTGAAACAAAATATATTCAATATCGACTATAAAACTAGGACAAAATTATGAAGATTCAGTGGTCAAAACAAGCGATGGCTATAGTCGATAGAGCAGTGGGCATCACAAAGGTATAGGGTAGTGTGGCGATCTCGGGCTTTTCGGCTTTCTTTTCAATCCCGGGATTATTTTAAATAAAAACCGAGGATTAAGCTCTTTCAGGTCGGAGATCACGCACCGGAAACAATGCTATCCGCCAAAAAAATTGGCAAAGTTTCAAAATGTTTAAAAGTCCATAAAGCCCATTACTAGGGCAGGGAATGGTTAACCGATTTCGGATGGTTAACGGTTGCGATTTTTTTTAACTGTTAACTGACGTCTCAGGTACAAATCATCTCTATAATGTACAATTCTTTCAAAACTGATTACGCCATCGCAAATTTAGCTCCTGTGGCGTTGAATTCAAAAGAATATCGCTAACTGTATTGGTAAGGACCCAATAAATGTGAAAAATCATTGAAGTACCAAGATTGCTGATTATGAAAATTTGACAATAATTAATTATGAATTAGTTTTCGGTCGAAATATGTTGTTCACGATTTATATATCTCAAAGTAGAATTTGCACATCCAAATCCAACACTTAAAATTCATCACATAAATGACATTTAATAACGGAATTGGGTTTTACTAAAATACTTCCATATGTCCTAACCACGCTGCATATCTCTTGGAGCAGAGCGTTCATGAAACTATCTTGATTCATGAATAATTTTGAGCGATACCGGTATAAGGTCACAAGAAATTGCTTTGTAACCCTTGTGACGTAATAAGCTAAAATTATAAATTATTATGTGAAACGTCACGCTGCGGTTAACCGTTTAATTTTACCCGGTTAACAGTCAAAGTGTTTTCTTTGATATTCCCAGCCCTACCCATTGCACATGCCCCTCACACACATAAATTCGTAGCCTGCGAAAATCCCATTTCAGATGGACAAAGAGAGATGTGGACTGCCTTCGATTTCAAATTCAAAAGCAACATGATTTTGGAAAAAATCTTCGTATATTGATCAAGATATCTACCAGTTTGGACACATTGTGAGTCGTCATAAAATTGTTGACTTGGCGACAAATATACTTCAAAGATTGTTCTGTACTAAAGAATCCGATCGAAAAACAATTAAAAGTGCTGAATATTTGATCCAAAAAGATAGCAGCCACGAAAAAAGCACTCAAATGACATTGGCACATGAGCTTCATGCTTTCGTTACAAGCAGGGAATCAGAAATTGTTTTAATGTTGACATTCTCGATGCTCTCATGTTTTTCCGTAAGTTTTATATTAAATAAACATCACTGCTTAAAATATTTGTGTGTGTTTCTTAATTCTATTAATCCTGGGATTAGATGTTGAAAACTTGGATGTTGATCTGGCCCCGAAATAGCAACCTTAGTATGGTGTTTGGAACTCAAGGCCCACCACTTCACCCAAAGTGAAATAAATTGGGTAGGGAGTGCAGAGCAAGAGAGATTTTGGCCATTTTAAAAATAGTAGCTCCTCACACATCATTGGCTGCTTGTATTCTATCTATGCTCCAGTGACCACAACTATGAATATTCACTCAGATGTATTAGCCAGAGTTGAGTGCTCTATGTGTTAGTGTTACAACTTATCCAGTTCATCATTCCCTACATAAGAAGATTTGGGAAAATTTGATAATACCTTGGCATAGGCTGTCGAATAATCTATCAAGTAGTGGAATTCCCAAAGTATTTTGCATTCTTCTTGCATCTTCCATACAACGCAATGCAACTCCTATTGTACCACCAAGTACAACAACAAGAAGTTTAGAATGCAATGAACGATGTCGCTCATAACTTGCAAGAAATTCAATCAGTTCTGATGCTTTCTGTAATGGAGAAAATGAAGATAACACAATATTATTAGAATACGGCAGCAAAATTATCATTCAGTCTAATATTCTTTGAATTGAATTCTTTAGTTGTTTGACAATATTATCATACCCACACAAACGAGACACATCTGGATTATGATAATATTCAAATTCTAGGATGAACAACTATTGGAACATTACAATTGGATACAATACAACCAGTAATCAGGCACATACTACTAAAAAGCCAAGGTCAAAGGCTTACCAGAATATATCATTGACAAGACAATTCATTCTACCCAAAATAATTGTCAACTCTTTTATTGGACAATTATTATATCAGCAATAGCTATACAACTTACTTGTGTAGTAATTCAATCTCTGAAAAAAAATTCAAATCACAAAATAAATTCATATCATACCGGAACAGAATCATATTTTTCTACAGCTTTGGAAAGAAATTGTTTTGCATCCAATCCACACATAACGACAGCAGAATCTCGATCCACATCTGCAATTCGTTGAAGTAGAGCGACTGTCTTTGATACAATCTTAAAAACATATAAAAAATGAAAATATTTCGTCTTGACTGTTGGGTCAAATAGAATTCATCTTCATTCTTGCTATAGCAAGACATAATATAGACGCAAAGGCATAGAGCAACGAAAAGTAGTTAGTCTCGCACGATCCAAACTGATAGCTATTTATTGCATAATACCTCTTTTAATTGTGTTGTGCTAGCAGAACCCAAATTAGGTCTCAAGGTACTTGCTGAGAGAGTTTCAATCAGCTGGAGCAATGCAGATATTGCAGCAGGTCTGTGTTTTTCCTCAAGTAATTCTGCCAGAACTGAAGTTTGTCCAGAAGAAGTTGAAGGATTAGACTCGAACATGACATATTCAATCAAATTAACACATTGCGAAAGATCGTCTGCTGACATTTTTAAGTTCATGTTGGGAAAGAGAACGAATGGAAACTGGAAGACAAGGCAATTGTTTATTAAAAGTACATGCATTGACTGTGGTGAAATTTTGAATTCGACTCCATCTCCTTATACTCAAAAAAAAAAAATCTTCGAACCCTACCAACACCAATCCTTTTTAAATCGTCTGTTGAGAACACTTAGTCAACTGAACTGAAGTTTTCGTTGTAAATTTTACTTTGATCATCCTCACTAATAGACTGTAATGTGGACTCCTAAATTGTTGTCAAGCTCCAACTCCCATGAGTTTAAGAATATAACTCCTGCTCCAAAATTTACAAGTGCATGTAAAATGATAATAATAATAACACCCAGGAGCGTGAATGAAAAACAAATGATTAAAAATTAATTTGGAGTGAGCCCAAGGAGTGACTTGTATCCTAAGTATGAATTGTTGGTATTCAATAACTGAGAAATTCCCATAAAAAAGCAACACGAAAATTTTTGAATCTTTGTCAAACATTCACTTGAATAGATTTGAATAGACAACCATTTATCACACTTCAAACTGGGTGTATCGACCCCTAAAGATTGAGGTGAAATCTTTTCCAACGTTTAACCAAAAGATCTATCAAATTTGGAAGATTTGAACCAGTACTGGGACCCCTCAATCTTTTGTGCACAAATATGCAAAAACATTGGTCTCATTAAAGGTATTGTCAAACAAAATTATTAATTTCTCTCACCAATGTGTTGATAAGTCTGATATTCTGAGCTGATTTCAGACATTGTTCATCGTATAAAACAACACATAAATGGTTGAGTATTTTTCCCATAGTAGGAGACATCTTATTAAAATTATCAGGATCAAGCAAATTTTCCAATGCATCTGTGACAAAATGAAATGAAGATAATCAAATAGCAGTTCAGACGCGAGAAAAGCTGAGGAATTTGAAACTGTAAATTGAACAAAGCCAGCTAATTTGGAAACTACAATCAAGACTTGTTAAACCTGTTGAAAAAAATTTGAAAGTTTACATTTACACTGGATATGTTGATACAGGAGTGCTGCCGAGTTAGACCGTGACAGCGAGTGGGTCTGGAAAACGTGGGTTTCAAAAAGTCTCGAAGGCCTAAAAAACGTTTCAAGCTACAAAAAATTGCTATGTGTGATACAAAAAAGAACTTTTTTACATTTTAAATGGGGTGATGTTTGTTTTGACCCGCAGCCAACCACCCACCCCAAAGGGGTACGTCCCTGTGTTGATATTACCAATCGCTATGAAAATCAACATGAACTGCATCATACCTTAGCTCCAAACATAGTTCAAGCTTACCTTTGAGTTTAGTTAAATCCTCAGGATCTATTAAGTCAATCCCACCTGCACAGGCTTTATTAAAGTTGAATAGACCTAAGTCAGCTGGTGGAGGAAAATATTCTTCAATTTTGGATTTCACCATGTTTATTACTTTGGCAGTTGGTGATGTTGACGGGGCAATCTAAATTAAATAGAAGTTGCATATAATAAATATCAAGGCTAATTGTTCGCCTGAAAAATATGGGCTTCAACTAAGCTACTTATACTTATAAAACTAGTTTTGATAAAATTCGGAACTAATTGTATTTGAGGAATCTTTCTGGATAAATATCTGATTCAAGAGGGACTGTATTTTTAGGTGGTATTTGACACTTGTATAGAACTTTTGGTGAATTGTGTTAATTTTAAATTTTTGTTACCAATTTCATGATCATCCCTGAATAAAGTATATGCTCTATTGCAAAATTTGATATTTCTATAGTCAGAACACAGAAATGAACTTTTTTCCATATTCTATACCAGGGATGGCGAACCAATGATCCGCGGGTCACAAAGTGACCCACTGCGTTTTATTCGTGACCTGCCAAGGCACGAATAGAATAAAATGAAAAATGCTGACATCTCAGTGATAAAAATTGATAAAACCAGCACTAAATTAATCTAACAATAACTAAACTATTATAATGTACCACCTATTGGGCAGTAGGGCTAGGTGCTGCTTTTCATTTTATTAGTTTCTTGCCTACAATGCCGTTAAGAAAACATTATCTTTCAGACTTTAAATAACAACCTAGAAATCTGAAATAACAATGGGGCAGTGTAAAAATGCTTTAATGTGGTTGAAAGCTGATCGAAAAATATAACACTATCAGAGTGGAATTCCCTCCGAACTCTTGGAACCGCAAAATAATTTACCGCATCATCCTAAACGTTTTTGGTAATTCCTATGCGTGTTTTCGTACTCTAATTTCATAAAATCGAGTGCCATATAAAGTCCCTGATAGTAGTGCTGCATAAGTAAAGCCCAAAACTACACCAACGCCAACAGAAGCATATAAAATTTGTTTCAGAAGTTTCTTATAGATGCAAACATTTATTAAAAATCTGTGACCAACTCTCTTCTATTTCGCGATAAAAATCTAAATTTTGACCCTTTCATTGAGAAAGGTTCGCCATCCCTGTTCTAGATCAAGAAAAACTTATAACATTCACTGTTCCAAGATCAACTTTTTGATGAGGTTTCGCTGACGGGCCTTCCTGGCTTAATTAGGCAGCTTCATTAGTACAGAATATGAGGGACACTGGTAGACAACGACCCCAAAATGAATAGTTGAAAAAGTTCAAAAATCAACTTACTTGCAATGCCCTTTTTATAACAGGCATGATAAGTTGATGAGTTCTTTTCATCAATTCTTTATGATCAGTGATTAAGAAATTACAAACACATATTCCTTCATATAATGCTCCAACTTCAGTAGTGCTGAAAAGAGCGAGACAATAATTTGTTAGATAGATAGTATAAATCAGGGGTTCCCAAACCGCGGCCCGCGTAACGATTTAAAATGGCCCGCCGAGCTTAAGTGAAACAATGAAATAGATTTTGTTTCTACCTTTTTACAATCTAGAAACCGCCAATTGTTATGTCATTATCACAGTTTAAGCTCGTGTTCATGGTAACAATTCGATTATGCCGGTATCTCAATTATACGTACCGTATTAGGATTACATAGGGCAGTAATTTAGTTATCAGCCGTTTAAGAAAGGTTAGAGATGTCAAATAATATACAAGACTCTGAAAACAAATGTTACTCCGATAAATGGCATCGTTCGTATTTCTGTATTGAAAAGAATCACACTTCAGCGATTTGTCCACTTTGCCGACGAACTATTCAAGTTATAAAACAATACGACATAAAGCGCCATTATGAATCAAACAAACATGTTTAAAAAAATGTCAAATGTGAATCCACAGAACCCCAGCTAAACCGTTGCACACTTTCGGGCACTACACTCTTCCGGCCCGCGAACACCCTTTCGATTCTAATTTTGGCCTGCGGCCAATAAAGTTTGGGAACCCCTGGTATAAATGATAGTGTTAGATATCATGAAATGAATCATGTAAACATTGAATATTTGAGATTAGAAACCTGCCTCATTGTTGTGTGCAGATCATCATGGCAAACTATATAGCTTATACATAGCTTTTTAGTATTGCATGAAAAATTTGACACTGATTGTGAACCATTTTTCATTTAGGTTAGAGGCTAGAGTGAGTGTGAGCAAGGTTTTTAAACCGCGGGCCAAAAATTTTGCTCACCTAGTCTGGTGGGCCATGTAAGTGTGACGTAAAAAAAAGTATTTACAGTATTACAAAAGCAAAAGTGGAAAACAATGGGACTCGTGCTAAAACTAAATTTAATTACTATCTCAACAAATTCCTTGAGCTATTTTTCAGCTGAAACATCAAAATTTGGTTTTACCAAATTCGAGCGGGCCAGATTGAATTACCCAACGAGGATTTGCCCCGCGGGCCGGAATTTGCCCATGTCAGTGACTCAGTGCTAGAGGCTTGTGAATCTGACCTAAAAATAACGCCTGGCATCAGTGTCAAATATGACATCCCAGGCACTACTCAATTGGCAAACATCCCTACATGCCTACATCTAATTGACTTTTGTTCACTTTTAATCTGTTGGAGCAGAATGGTCTCTGGTATGGTTGCCATTTCATTAAATGTTTATTTGTGTGTATTCTAGTATATTCCTGGTGTAAGTCCCATTATTTCAAAAATCAAACATAGAATACTAATCTAGCTGTGAGAAGATAATGAAAAGATTTCCATACAAATGATTTGTCCAGTTCCCAACCGTGTGCTTGTGTGGGCATTTAATGCTCCCAGACTTGCAATAAACATCTTCGATAAGTCATATATTTAAACTTTGCTCTCTCTTATAAATACAATAATTATCTAGTATTGTTTCAATAGTCATTCATTGTAAAACAAGCTAATGTGATAATACCTTTCGTTATCCGTCCATCTCACAGGGTCTTTTTTCCTTGGATTTTCCAATAATTTTTCAATTTCATCGATTACAAAGTTAAGCCCAGAGAAAAATGCAGAAAGTTCAGACTACATAGAGAAAGAAAACGTTCAGCAAAAAATGATCTTATATTATATTTTTGTGCATTGATTGCTTTGGGCATTTGGAGAACTAAATTCTAGATTCAGGCAAATATTTGTCGTAAAATATTTGCATGCAGTTCGCTATAGTAAATCAGTACAATACCAACAGCACAATGACATGGCATGAAATAGGAAAGTCATTCTGAAATGAAGTATTCCCAACTGATGATTGCCATTCTTGCTAGTATTTTTTGATTATGATATCATGATTTCAATATCAAGTAATGTGCATTCATTTGTGTGTGAGGAGTTGCAAAATAAAATGCATGGCCAATGACGATGATATGAAAAATATAAAAATATAGATCCCTGCTAGAATCAATAAGGGTGAGTCTTCAACCAGATGCAAAAAAATCCTTCTATTTGCTTTGCTTTAATTACTTGCTTAAGGCTGCAATGTTTATTGAATTTTGGAATAGCATCTTTTTGAGTATATGAATTTTTAAAAATAAACCTTCTGATCGTCCTCGTCATCAGAACTGGGATCCGAAGCAGAAACAATGGAATCAACGACAGCTCGAATGATTTGTGCTTCTGAACTTCTCAATGCACTTTCAGGTGTAACATGGAATCTCACAGCTTGCATTGCTAGACTGAGACACTGAAATGGACAAATTATAAATATTAATTTAAATTATCGGCATCTAATATTTTAGAATAGTATTAAATACGAAATTTCAAAAACAACTAAAAATATTCAAATAGATGATACATGTCTAACAAAATATTTTTCTGTATTGGATCATTTTATTAATTCTAATTTGAGTTGAAAGGCCGAAAATTCGAAAAAAAGAAACTTTTGCAGTTACATTTTTTATATAATCAGTCGATTTTATTCAACATTTTCATTTAAAATTTTATTTTCAAATTATTTGCTTGTTTTTATTATCAAATATAAGTTTTAAATTTTTTTCATATATTTTTATATGCCTGCTTTTACTTCCAAAATTTGAAATTATTAAATCCGAGTTTTGATAATTGTTTAAAAGATTGACTGGCAATAATTTGAATGATGCTCAAATCCTCGTGTCTAACTGTCACCTGTACCCAAATAGTCGTGCCAAAACAAGGGCACACAATCCGCTCATTCCAAATTTTTTATCCTAATATACTCTAACTCAACGACCACTAACAACTCTTGACTAGTCAAATTTGTGTCTGTTTGGGTGATTGCTTGGTTTTGCATATAATGATCAACTTTTACCCAAATCTTACCCTTATGGCTTTCATAGTTGACTCGATGCAAGTAGGAAACCATTTAAGAATTCTTATTATTCCAACCAGACATCCAGATGTTGCCACTATCACCTCTGCTCCTCGCATTTTACTAGGGCCATGCACATGAGCTGCATTGAGAATTATGCGAACACATTCCATCCAAGCAATACATAAATCCCTAGAAAACAGTTACAGGAAATATTTTGAAAAAATATTATTAAAAGCAAGAAATTAAGTATATTTTTAATCGGCATATTCATATTAACATTGCCATCCAATAGAAGTAGTGAATGCACCTGTTAGTCAGTGAGTGATAATTTATTCTCCGATAAGTGAAATGAACCCAAAATGTATATAGACAATATACTAAATGATATTGAAAATAGCAACTCTGGGTGAGGCACATCTTAAAAAAAAACCTGAATTGGTTATCGGCAACAAAGATGAGAAAACATTAAAGATATGCTTTTGATGGTGGATACAGAAAGACTATAAACCTCGTCTAACTTCTGAGTGCCAAATAGAGCTTAATCTAATTTCTGGTTGGCCAACCAATCTGTATCAAGTATGATGTCAATTTGAGTCTTCTTCCATTTGCCACTCTATTGTTCAAGTCCTACTCTATAGATGAACTTAAAAATTAGCCTGGATTGAGTGCAATCCAGGTTGTCCCAACCCTGTGTGTACCACTTATCAAAACATGAAAATAAATAATAACAACTCAAAAAAGAAAAAATAATGACTCACAAATCATCTTCTTGCGGAATAGGTTGCAACTTGAATAACACTGAATTCAATGTAGGACTTGAGAAAGGAGTTTGAAGTTCCCTGAAATTTATATTATTATTATTAATTGTATTATTTTATATACCAAATATAACTTGTTTTTATATTATAAAGTAATGATAACAATCTCACTTCATCAATATAGAATGCAATATGATAATTGCTGCAACACGTTCTTGTTTTTTAGTATCAGCATCTGGTAAATGATCCAAAACTTCATCAGATTTCGTGTCTTCTGCCAGATGATCTAACTGACCAGCGATATCACCAAACATCTGAAAATGAATATAGAAGTAAAACATAAAATGACATGCTGTTGAATATACAAAATACCAGAGAAATTTGATTTTCACATACATTATGTTTCATTTACATTTTCATGTAGTTTTCTTTTTAATTCTAGGATCATAAATATCAAAATAACAAAGCTAGAAATCAAATTTTTATCTTCAAAAGACATTTGATCCAAAACACAAATTTGTGAGTGATAATTCAGTACAATTATCAACTAGAGCAAGGTTTCTCAATTTGGGTCACAAGGGGGTTACGAAGCGGTTCTCTGGGAGCGATAAGACAAGGGCTTCCATTAGGTACCATTCGTAAACTGACTTCGATTCCTTCCTTGTTATTGAAATTGGTGCATGAAATAACAGATGGTAACATACTGGAAAGCAAAACCATGTGTTTTGATAAAAGAGTGGGTGTTCAAGAGAAGTGTCAGGAGTGTTTAATAAGAGACTCTTTGGGAGGAGCTATGAATCATGAAGTTCAAGAACCACTGGACTAGCGTAATTAACGAATTTCCACTCCGAAAAGCAACCATGTGAAAAATGGTCTTCCATAAAGACAAGAACATAGTGAAGCTTTGAAAAGTAGCGTACCATGCTTCAAAAAAAAATTCGCAACAAGTAAAATGACATTTTGCTGGTTAAGAAATCTCAAGTTAAAATAAAAGGTTTAAAGGGACAACTAGAACTAGGTATTTTTAACAATATACCTCTCGTAAGGTCTTGTATTTGACAAACGATTCCATAAACTTTGTTGATTCTCGACAGATAAACATCAAATAATCGTGAACTTTATCTGGTGCTTTCTTCTGTTCTGAAACTTCATCAACGGTTGTTGCATCTGGAAAGTAAAGTTATTTTATTCATTAAAGAGCAAATATTTTAGATCAGGAGTCACCAAACTAAGGCCCGCGGCCCAGATCCGACCCATGGCGAAATGGCGAATTTTTTTGCCAAGGGATGTTTGCCAGATTTTCGGTCGTGGTTTCCACTTTCAAACAATATCTCGTTTTCGTGATTTCGAATGCTATTCGTTGGTTTTTGGTCGAGATTCCGAAATTTAAGTATGAATCAAATAAGTCAAGCATCATTTCACCTTCTTAGGTGTTGTAGAAATAGCTGTGATAAAATAGGCTAAAATTCTCTACTGGTATGCAGCGTTTTCCGCAAAGGATGCACTCTTACACTCATGGCGTGTGCTTTCAGTGAAACTGTTGCTGTGTAGACCTACGTTTCATCGTGCTAAAATAAATGTCGAACAAGCATTTTGCACTGATAGTACATGTCAGATGGATAGTTGATACATGGATAGATGATATAGAATTTAATATTCAAGACTTCAGAAATGTAGAATTTATATTGTTGAATAAATTAATTGGATTTCCCAACTTTTGAGAATTTATTGTATTGTATTGACAAAAATATTTGTCCGGCCCGTTTCAACACAGTTTGAGTCATACCCGGCCTGCGGTCAAAAAAGTTTGATGACCCCTGTTTTAGATGATATAAAAAAAATAAATAAATACCAGACTTGAACCAGAATTGCACTAAATTGCATGAAGTATTCGAATGGGAAAACTGATTATTGGAAAAAATATTGGACACTGTGACAATTTCTTTAAAATTTTCAGTGGTTAAAGAATGTTTTTTCGCTAGAAGACAATTGCTTCAAACATATCTGTGGCCTTTATGGGATTTGTTTTTCACTACAGAGTTTTGTGTTATGATGCCATCAAAGTTAAAAAAGAGTGTTGTGGTTTTGTGATGACATCTCAGTGATCTGGTTGTCAGTTAATCGGTACTGTAAGGGTTGCACACTACTTTGTTTTGGCCATCGTGTCCATATATTGGAGGCCTGGAGCATTGCTCTCTTGTTTTTATTTCAAATTCTGTTGCGGTCAGATCAGAAATTATACCTTTTGCTGATTCGTCTTCTTCTTGGTCCTTGGATGTGGAAGCCTGGGAATGTTTTTCTGTTGATTCTTGATTTGATACAGTTTTGTCTGCGTGTAATTCATTCAATTTTTTTCTTTTGTGGCTTTTTGGTTTCAAAAATCGTGAACAAAATGTAGATTTTTTGAAGAGCATCTAATGAATGAAAAAAATGTAAGCAAGATAAGAAAAAATGGTAATTATCGGAAATGCACAGTTTTTAAAATCAAATTCGAATAGATAGCATTCTAATATTTTTGAATATTTCAACTATTAGGAAAAATCCTAATACACAATAAGCTTTTTGGACACGAAGTGTACATATGGATCGTTTAGTTATTATGATGTTGTTCTTCATCTTGTTGGTATTTTTCTTGTTGTGAAAAAATTGCTTCTTTTTAATTACCGGACCAATTGATTTGGAATTTTAAGTGGTTGAAGATCATTTTCGCCACTAGAAGGCTATTACTTTCATTTGTTCCTGAATTTTTTGCGAGAAGTGATATTTCATCTAAAATTCTGCAGTTTCATTTTTATTCATGGGAACACGATTTTATGACAGGGTTATGGTTGACTCCCGTTTTGATTTTGCTAAGTCGTGCTACGCCAATGTTGGAGATTATTTGATAGACTAGGTATGGTAAATTATTCTGTAAGGTAAAAGTACTCGGAGTAAAAGACAGGAGTTTTCTTGTTAATCTGTAGGTAAGCTTACCGGTAATGTAAAATATTTGTTTTGGCTTTCGTGTCTATATATCGTCGCTGTCTTGTTTTACTTACAAATTATTTGAATATCATGTGGCCAGGTAGGAAAAAGAATGACCTAATAACAACATGTAGTAAACATCTGTAGGATATATCAAGGTTCAAACGATATATTAGTAGTATAATGCAGTTTATAGACTCTGATAAAAATGAATAGAAATATTTACCTTGGTGAGAATAAATCAATTGAACTACCGTATTTTAAGAACCATAGGACAATGAAAAATTCGATCAAGCGCCTTATATGCGCTGCGCACCTAATGTATGAATAAAAAACCCAATCTACTCAATTTATTGACAGTGCATCCTATAACCCGGTGTACCTTATGGTCCTTAAAGACGCTAGTTATTGGACAACAATTGACCATATAGATCATTTTGCTTAATCGTCGTTGTTGTTGGTCTTGTTGTGGACCTTCTTCATGTCCATATATTTGAACACTGCTTTCTTGCTTCCTTCATCATAATATGCCAATAATTGCCTAATAATATACAAAAAAAATTAAAACTTACCTCTGCATCTACATCGAAGTCAGCAATATGTCGAATCAATGATAAAACTTGATAAGCATCAAATTTGCAATATTTGAAATCGGCGACTGTAAGGTCTTCATTTTTCATGTCAATGAGAAATTCAGAATCAGAAATCTATAAAGTAGATGGTTTCATATATGTATTCATGACATCTCAACAGATGAGAATAAAAAATATCATAAGATATCCTAGTCTATGAATGAGATTAAGTTATATATTTATTTATTTCCGCTTGTAAATTGTAAATATGGGCTCAAGACTTATGGGGATGGGGGGTTATGGGCTGCCAAAAGGGAATAATACCAAAATTCTCAAAAAGTCAGAATTCTTGTGAAACTCGTTTTGTTTATGTGTGTAATATTAACAATTAGGATAAATACGTTAGAGAGATTTCTTGAGAAAAAATTGTATACCACTAACCTCAATTATTTTTCTCACTTCCTTGAATGCTTCCATTTTTGTTTCATTTTTCAGTTTTCTCAGATAAAAGAGGACTTCCCACCATTGTCTTTCTGACAGAACTTCACCTTGAGTTGAATTTTGCAAACCAAGTTTTTTCTTTTCTCCTGATGTTTTACCCAATTCCGATGAATAAGGATGGCATGATAATTTCATGATATCTTGACCTTTATGAATGAAAAATTTTAAAAAATTTTTCAAGAAAATAAAGAATAGCTAACCTATTCAGAACAATGGTAATTTCTACATAAATTCGAAGAATTTCATGATTAAATACACATAATGACAAAATTTGAACAAATCTGAAAACCTTGGAACTTGGAAAAAACTCACTGATTCTCATATAAATTATTAGTCTTCACAATAAGAAAAACACTTGACATATTGTTTATTTTTTTCGAACAAGGCTCCGTAAAACCAGTCTAATACATAAGCAACTATTCTTTTTTGAAGGATCAGAATCTTCCCAGTTCATGAAATGGTTAACACACCTGTTAAAATTGGCCATAGTTTTGTGTTTTCTGGTGACTTGAAAGAATCTGGTAAAATTTTTGCTGCATCTTTAGCAGAAACATTCTTTTGACCTTCTTTCGTTCGACCAATAATCTGTATGTTTTTTGTGTGAATGTCACCAACAGTGCCAAGTCGGAACCAAAAAGCCTGAACAAAAATTACAGATTGCTTCGTTTAAAAATGTAGAGCAGTGATTCTAAAATTTCATGATTAGGGCTTGCTTTCAAAAATTTTTGAGCAGGACTGTGCAACATCTTTGGTCCAAGGATGAACCAAGGATGTGTAAACTGCAAAGCCAACATTGTAAGTCTAACATTTTAGCCACTGGCCCATCAGACACATATATAAATGTACTGGTATGTGCAAATTGTGAAAAAAAAGTTATAAATTGAATTAAAACTAGTGAATACTTACAACTAATCGTTTGCGTGAACTATGACCGAATCTTCGAAATATTCCTTCATCTCCTTCTTCTATCTCATCTTCATTTTTCATTGCTCTCACGTACCATCCTTGACGAATTATAGAGTTAACATATTGCTCATATTCTTCCTCAGTAGCAAAAGAGCTCGGAACACGAAAAATTGAGCTGAAAAAGAAGTGGATATATTTGAGTATCAATTTAGATGGACGATTCATGTACAAAATATCAAGATATAAAATAACCAGACAAATATGTATGATGACCTCATCGGCTGACACAACCATGCCATTCCTGCTTACTCGATCAAGGAAAGCAGCTATTAGTGATATCCAGTTTTGTACATGAAGAAATTTATGTAAATTCGCTTATGTTTTTTGTCAACTTGATTATAGAAACCAGCTATTAATAACGAAATTCATGAAACATGAACATGGAAAAATTAATTTAAGATAAAAATATAAAAACTTCAAATATATAACAGGCGTCTTAATTGTGAACAAATAAATAAAATTTTTGCGATAAAAACAAGTGCCTTGACATCTGAAACTGGAGTTTGGCAGATTTTTATTGATATTGGAAGGAGGAGCTAGAGCGGCATTTTCGATTTTCCTGAGTAGGAAATTGAAGCCAAATTTTTAAATATTACAATACTTTAAATTGAATAATTGAAGTTAAAATTTCTGACAGAAATCCAAAAAGCATCAATTTGACCAGGTTGTTATCAATTTTGGTTTTTCAGATTTCAAGATGAAATAAAAATTTTTGTCAGCCGAGAGTTGTTAGAGTGGGGGTAGGTGTAACTTTTCCCTGAACCCCCCAACCCTGGGTGAAATTGAATGCTCGCATATAGCATAAACCAATTTTTTGGTTTCATAGTAACATTAAATTTAACACTATATATGAAGGTTAAACAACATTCGTACCTCTGTCTTAGTAATGATGTATCTCTCTTAATCAAGTCTGAAAGAAGCTTATGATCTATTGCTTCTTTTTGTTTCGAAGAAAATATGCAATGAGACTTTTTTGGCGGCAATAATAATGTAGGAGAGGTCAACACACTGTCGTTCACTTTTTCCAGTATCTGAATAAAAAATTTTATGTCCAATTTACTGTGAAATAGAGAAATTTTTCTGTAGTATACTATTTACAAATATTTACAATTTCTGTACTTACTAATAATCAAGAGTCTTCACTAACTGCAAGACATATCTATTGTACCCAACATCACTCACAGTATATATTTTTCAAAATTTGCTCAAGACAATGGCAGGCGCACTCACGAAGATTGATCTATAGGTGAATTTATATGCGATGCCAACACATTTAATTGGCAAGAGCCGCCGACTCTTTAAAGAATTATGGCGTTGAATTGTGCATTGTTTTAACTACAGATTGGCGCAAAATTCAAAGCAAGCCAATACAACAGGAAAACAGATGTAAAATCTCAAGTTTCACATAGCCTACCCTATTTCTAACACACTGCGTTGGCAGACTTGTATTTATCAAAAAAATGCACCGCACCTCACCACTATAGCCACAATCGTGATTAGCCAATCTCTCAGTTTAATCAGATAAGTGCTACACATAGAGATTTCGAAAATATAGTATAAACATAGCAATAAAGGAGATCTTGTTCATGAACACGAACATGAATTCTTTTTTTTTCAGTTAATACAAAAAACAAAACTACAATCAGAAATGTAGACCTTATAATAATAACTTACAGATTCTGCAGCACCTTCTTTCAAAGTCTTTTTCAATTCTGATATAGGTGATTGCAATTGTGGCTCAGATGATGCAGCAGTACCACTGTTTTGTGAGTTATCTTCTTTTTCAATTGTTAAACCCAGTAATTCACTCATCATACTATTTTCTTTGCTATCCAAATCTTTTTGCATATGTCTCCAAAGTTCTTGCAGAGGATTTTGTGGAACGAAATCTATGGTAATAAATGATTTATTGGTTTTGAGAATGATCTTAAATTTTTTTAAATACCGTAATGTGATGTTGAACAAAACTCAAACTAAAAAGTTACATGGTTCTTGTCATTGTTGTAAACTGCTTGTCTCAGAAAAATTGACTTTGGTCAGTCACAACGTTACAGAAATACATTTGTGTTAGTGTGCAGCAGGACTCTTGCATTGCATAGAATAATAACTACCGTGTATATTTTGGAATGTAATATTAGATAAGTTGATAACAGTGAATTGAAACTGCAAAGTCTTTTTAAATGTGTTTGTATTTTTATAATTATCCTGCATATAGGATAGCAAATAACACCCAACCATAGACTCCCATTAGGTTACTAGTCCAGAACAGCCATGAGATTAGTTAGCCATTGTATTGCTGCATATTGATATGGATGGTGGAGCCAAACAAAAGTCGAATAAACCCTGTTGTGACAGTAAGAAGTCTAACAGAGTCTTCTCAAATATAATTGTCATATGAAATTCAATGAAACCCACAAAATTATGCAGGATAGTTAGTCATTGATGCAGTAGCTAGTTTGTTCCAAATGCTTAACTGGATGCACCATCAGTTATGCCCATGGCTGTACAAACTGAATCAAACTGAATATGACGGTCTTGTCAAGTAGCTAGGCTGTAAATCATGAGGTGGAAAACCTACTGAACAATTATATTAGTTATAAAAAACAGGATGATTCACCATTGTTGGAAGCCCCCATAGGATGGGATACAACCTCATCCATGAATTGGGAGAATTCTTTTTTGTATTGTGATATCACTTTTGATTTTTGCAAGGCTTCTTCAGAAGGCACTAGAAATACAAAACATAAAGTAAAACTGAAGTGAACAAATGAATAGTGATGTAACATATTCTTGGAAATATAGGACAAAAGCCTAGCAGTGTGCAACAATGTAATTACAAACAGATCCCAATAGCTCACAAATGTATCTTGAAAAAAATATTAACAGTTTACCCCGATCAACTTTAATTGTGAGTTTCAATTTAAAATTGTTTTGTATACTATTAACATCGTGCAGAACATTAGGATAGGAAATATAACTTTCATTTTTATCCCGGGGCAGAAGAAAGCCGGTAAGACAGTTTAATTATATAGTGTACCACGGCTTCTCATCCGGTTATCAGTCCATGATGGAAATGGGATTAGTTAGCCGGTTATTAGTTTCAGATGCATGAACTTGATGCTGGAGGAAGTTGTAACGGACCAGTGGATACGTGAACCATTCACAGCAAAAAGAGTCTAGTAATCCTCTCGCACACAATAATCTACCACAGAATTTGAACCTCCAAACCCACACAGTGTAATCAGAGGTGCGTAGGAAAGCATATTTCAAATCCTTATTGTGATGCGTGCATTAACAATCTATTACATGTAATTCATTTATCATTAGTCTATTGATGAAAACAGACCCATAGGTTTGGTTTTGGCTCTGGATTTATTTTGATAGCATTGGTTCAGTAATGGCATTATAAGTAAAAAAATAATATAATAACTATGATTTAATATGAGTATTCATAGCAAACCTTTGGTTGATGATTTGAGCTGATTCACAGTTATATCGTCTGTTGTTTGTTTGTTATTCCATCCCATCACTTCACACAATTCATAAATCAAATCACTTATAGCCATTGTAACTTCAAATTTGCGATTGCCAAACAAAGCAACATTTGGATTTGCTGCAGGAATTTCTTGAAAATAAATAATTTGGATAATATTTTAACAACAGTGCCTATTGCAGGAATGTATTGAACAATTAAAAAAAAAATTGTTAGTACAAAGCTTCTAAACCTTTAAAATTCAAGACACAATTACTTCCTGTAATACAAATTATACCGCATTGAAAAAACATTTTTATTTTATCAATAATAAATTATATCTAAGGAAATTTTCATACCATATGCAAATTTACCTTGTTTTGTACACATAAACAGTCATTACATCTTCATTTATTTGGTCATACTTCTCTATTTTAGAGGTAAATTCAACAATAACATTTCATGTCAAATTATAAACTCAGAAATATATGACGTAATTTTTTTGGAAATGCACTTATTAATTTGTGACGCACAAGTGCACAGGAAACAATGAGCTAGGCCTAGTACATTTATTATTTTTCAATAAATGCGAATTAGTTTTAATAAATCCACAAATAAATCAGTTTGGTGATATTATATTATCTACGGTAAATATTAAATTTTTTAGCTTCGTTTTCAATCACATGCAGATATAATAAATTGGACACATAATATATTTTCTAAATTTCCATATGTGGGTTGCAATAAGAGTTAGTACATTAGAAGAAACAGGCCTCTTGAAGTAACAACTAATTTAGTTATAAGTTATATTTGTTTTCTTCTTGTTATAACACAACTCAAAAATGAAGCAAAAATGCCAACTGAAGGACAATGTGTTTTGTGTGTAACTGGAAAAAATCAAGGAAATCAGCGAAGGTAAAAACCGCATGAAATCAGTGATTTGTTCGAACTTGAATATGAAAACACTGTAAATCAACTTCTATTTATAATATAGAAATAGCAATAGAGTTAAAGTTAAGACTCCTATAATGTACTGAAATATCTAACTGTGATTACCTTAATCAGTACTGTTTCAAGTCAATCTAAATCAGCAATTTCTAACAGAGGCAACAAAAATCCCCAGTTACACAACAATGCAACTTCCTCATAAATGATATAAAGGGAACTTCCCAAACATTGACGTGGTATATTATTACGAATCACTTCTTGCTAATATAAATAAACCAGGGAATGTGGACCGCATGCATGCATACACTCAGCGCTGGGCATTTCGAATAGGTTAAGACAAAAATTTCAAACTGCCATGCCATCCCTCATTTTTATAAAGAAGGCATATTTTCAATTTCATGATACAATTCTGACATATAACTCTTTTTTTTCTAGTGAGTTATTGATGAAACATATTACCTATTGTGTGTGAACGCTCAGCAAACTGTCTGAGTGATGAATTTATTTATGAATTTTCAGTATTTTATGTGCCTGGAGGGCCCAATACAATAAAAAGCATATACAATTGAATATATTCCAAGTAATCGAGATTCGATTCAATTCGAAAAAATATTCGATTCGATTCTGATATCGATAGGTATTCAAAAATGCCCAGCCCTGCATATATTGTGATACAAAGCAATAGATCAGTTACAAAATTTTAAATTTCTACAATTACCTTTTGTGAAACTTTTCTCTTCTGAACCAGTCATCAGCTGCATGAATTGGGAATCCATATCTAACAACGAAGTTACTTTCAGATAACATTTCATCAGTTTGAATAATGATTTCCCAGGTACCTACAAATAAAACCATATTTTGACTATGGACGTCAAAAGAATGTAAAATTTGAATGAATGATTTAACGAAGGCCAAACAAACCTGAGGAAGTTGCATGAAGTCGAGAGCTACAGCATGAGCTTCTTCACCTGACGATGTCTCAGCAAACATTTCCATCACTGTATTCCGGTTTTCAAAATCAGCATCATCATCACTGCTTGACATCTGTCCATGTCTATCTTGAATCAATGAAAGTAGCACATACGCTCTACTACCTACAGAAAAAAATTATCAGAAATGGTCATCAAAAATGTACTAGGCTATCCACTCCAGATATTCCAGTAATTTACAATATCAGCGTGCAGTTAGCAATCAAAAAAAGCACAAAAGAGCATACAAAAAACATGAACAGCATTAAAATTAGAAATATAGCTTTCTTTCTTTTTATTGGGATATTCTCAAAATATCCTACCTCCATCATGTGAAGCCAATGCACGAAGCATTTTCCCAGCATGTCTCTTTGTTTCAACTTCTTTAGACCACAATAATTCCAATATCAAGTCCAGAGCACCGGTCTGTCTAAAGACGCTAGCTAGAGATCCAAGACTGGCATATGTACTCAACACCTTGAAATAAAAATACCCATATAAATACTGCAACGTGCATAGATAAGACTTCCTCATAAAAGTTTAGCATACTTCAGACTTTTCATCAAATGCTGATCAGAATATCTTTATCAAATATTCCTATCAAATACTAAATTTACATTTCAATGTCCGTTGCTAGTTCAAAATTATTATATATTGTTAGGAAACATGTAATCAATGTAATTGTAAAAACGATACGCTTTCTCATGTCTGTCGTGTAAATATTCATAGAGCTTTTTAGAAGCTCAGAAGTAAAGCACCTAATAATAAACATAAACGTGAATATTCGAAGTTCACCAAAAAGCAAGTATAACATAAAGACATAATATCGTAAAAAATAAAAAGCTAAAAAAGAAGCAGAATCTAATAACAGCAAATTAAAAAGTAATACCTTGAGAGTATAAGAAATATTTTTAATGGGTTTATGTTCCTCATTTTCAGATTTTTTCATTTGTCTTCTGGCTCTGATAACAAGTTTTTGAACATCTGAATTGAATAAAAGTGCTGATTATTTATTTGTATACTCACAACAAAATCTATGGTTTTGATTGAGTCATTGTTCACAATATTATTAAAACTCATCAATAACAAGGATACACCTACAAAAGCACTTCAATCAGTGTAAACATTCATATTCAACTATTAGTGGGTTACTGGGCAACTTATGAGTAATTTCCAGTTTGTGAGAAGCGTAATAAACAACTTCATTGTGTCAAATTCACAATTCAATAAGCAAAGGTAGAAGGAAATAAATGATTAATACATAATAGTTCCTTATAAATGTTAATAAGTGTAGTGTATATATAGTGAAATAAAATTACTATTTTTTTAATCAATAACATAATCCATACCTAAGAATGGCATAAACCAAACAACTATTCCAAATACACTATAAAATAAAACAATTTTTTGAACATGGAATATCTCATATATTCTGATTTGGGTCATGTACAATAAAGAATTTAACACGAATTATTTAAAATTCATTTTCTGCAATATAGTAAACTGAAGTACTGATTACAAAACGTCCACATCTATTGTAATCAGGGTACAATACTACTTTGCGATTGCAAATTTTGATTCCAAATATTTTGGCTTATTACTCAAACCTCAACTGTTAAAGTTAATTAAAAAATCAGAGACAAAAATTTTCAATAAGACCCTACCATCACGCATATCTTCAAAATCTTCTGAATCAGTATCAGTAGCTGTAACTTTATCATCAGTTTGATCTTCAGTACCAACATCAGATGAAGATGGCTTGTTTGTTAAATTACTCAAACCAGTGAATCCTGAACCAAGCAGTTTACTACAGCATACCTCAACCTGGATTAGTAAAAATTATAATTCATCATTTTTAATCCCATAAAGGATGAATTAAATAGAAGTATTATCAACCAAATATTTATTACCGTAATATATTCAAAATATATTTAAACATTTTTGAAAAAAATTCATAAACAAATAGCAGCGAAATAGAAAATTATATACTTTTGAGTAAACTGCAACCAATTCTATTTTTAATTCAAATTTACTGAAAATTCAAGCATTTATTTGAAAGCTTAAATAATCGAAGGCAAGCACAAATAAAATCATACCCTTATATTCATACTAGTTAATAAATTCAATGGCACATTTAAAAAAAAACTACATTCTAGGTCATAAATTGCATGTTAAAACACCATAGCCTACTTCTTCCTGTGTCATCCATATCAAAATATTCTTGTCATTTTTGCCATCAGATGATGACAAACCATCAGAATGATTGACTGAACTATTATTTTGTGAGACAAAGCACCATTTTACCTATAAAAAGATTTAAATCAATTAAATCATTAAGTTTACTCATACTGTTGAAAAGTTCAATAGAATCAATAGCCCTGTCAAGCCAGATTCCAAGAATGGCCCCCATATTATTAAAAGACATCAATTATAACAGTGTGTAAACCCTTCTTTTACGAGACAGTTTGGGCCTCCATATCGGTACAAATCGGCACTGTGCAATGAACTAAAATAAAGCACAGTTTAAAAATGTCACCATTGGATTCCTTGGAAAAAAGTAATCCAAAATACCGAAGGAAAAAAAATTTACCGTAGCATTCGAAAGCTTTCGGGAAAAAACGCAATTTTGGTCATGTGACAGCCGATGCATTCACAATATTATTGAGACAAGCATGGCGCAATCTAACGCATCTGCCGCCAGACGCCCTCGTTCTATAGACAAATCGAGTGTTCGTTTTATTGAACTCGTTGTCGGGACATCTTGGAATCGTAGAACTCTGCCCTACTGGAATATGATCATAAAATTAAACTTTGTTAAAAAAAATAATAAAAAATAACACTCAAAATTTTGTCCTTGATTAATTATTCAACAATAGCTGAACATTTTATACCTTAATTATTTAAAATATCTAATACATATATACACTTACCAAGTATTCTACATGTTGTAGAGATGCGCCATTCCTTTGTCTCAATATTTCTTTCGGCTCTAAAACTTGATTCCTACCAACTTGTAATGAATCCTTCATGATAGCAGGATTGTAAGAATCAATCAATGTAGAACACCAGGCCCATCAGACATTATGCATTAGAAATATATTTAACTAGTATACTTTGTTTATGATTCAGAAAAAAAATTCATACAGAATAAATCACAATATATACTTCCTATACAATATACACAATTTTGTTCAACTACTCGACAAAAATGTTAAGAAGTTTACAAATATGTCATTACATAAACATTAATGCATCCATTGAATAGCTATCGTACTAACTTTATTCATTTTATAGTTCATCAATATTATCTAATCACAATTTATTTCGTAGTTCTGGAGTTATTCCAAATTTAAAGTAGGCCTTGTCTAAGTTTTCATAATGCAGTAATGAAGTATTGAAAAGATGTTAAAAGCAATTACTGTCTTCAGATTCGTTAATATCTGAAGTTTGTTTTATGATATTAGTCTATATAGACTACCTTAATGTCTGAATGTTGACTTGTGGACAACAAGACTCTTGTTTGTCAGTTCGTGGAAATAATTTTTTCTCTTCTGCCTTTGCAGCCTTGATTAGTGTCTAACCATCGATAACGATATATCTTAACATATTGCAGTCCTATATGGTTTAACATTCCTCTGTCCCTGGGCCTATAAAGATAATTTATTTGAGAGTGCGAGATTCAGAGATTAGGTACCGACACCGTACCATACGGTACCTGTACATGATTGCAGACGAATGTCTGAATGTGCAACAACACCCAGACACCAGAATTTTGTACTACAGCACAAAACCCGTCGCCGTGACGTCCACTGTATAACATGGCCTTCACATACCGGTATGCCACTATCAGACTATGTTCCTACTAAAATGATTATGTTTTCCATAAAATAAATACGTCCATACCGGTACCAAAATGGCCATCTCTCTATTAAAATGCGGATATGCACACTAATGCTATTTTATGTCAATACTAAAAGGCTGTGGCGCCTAGTAGTGGTACTTGGACATTTTAGTAGCGACATTTTTTTTTTTTTTTTTTTTTTTTTAAATTTACGGATCAGAGTTTTTTGGTCTCGGATCAGTGTCTCAAAGACACGTCATATCCGAGTCACATCGGTACTAACGCTTCGTAGTCATGTCGCGGGGTACACGACCGTCATACATATCTGGGAGCTTCCGTATATGCTATGCATTGCACGGTAAAAACTTCGACCCCGAGCTTCTGTACAAGCTATTTGCCAGATAGCATGACGTTAGCCCAGAGCTTCCGTTAATGCCATGCATAGCTCAACTTCCGCTGCTCTGGCTTCCGTACATACTGTGTGAAGACGTGTAGCGCGCACACAGCATGACATCCACCGGGAAGCTACTTTTTCATCATTTCCGTAGGGGTTGTGATGGTATTAACAGTTTTACGCTCCCGTTTGTGGGGGGTGGGGATGCAGTTATTATGGGGCTAAGTCGCTACTCTGTTCTGAAGTAGTAAAGTTTTCCAGTCTGACCTGAGTTCAAATATTTGGGCTGATCCAAGCGTAAGTATTATGTTGTCCATATATTGAGTAAATTTTAATATTACTCTTTCATATACACTTTCTATATCGCAGACGGTTCCATATCTATTTTGCCTGTCTAATTCAATTTTTAGTTGGATGACTTCAGATTTTAGTACAGAGAAAATTTTGAGTACAACAAGTTGGTATTTATCTTCAAAAGTGTTGTCGAATATTTGTTGCCGACTTAATGGTAATTTGTGGCCTGTTATAATTTCCAGTGTTTGGCTAACTGAGTTATGAAGCTTTAGATATTGGGGGCACCTCAGAAAGATGTGGGGAGTGGTATCCGGGTTTTCTCTACAGAATTTGCAGTTCAATTTCAGTGAGTGAGAGTTTTCGTTGTTTCGTAATATACCAAACCTCCACTTCCTGTGGCCAAAGAGGTACCACTCCCTCTTAATCCTATATGACGTTTGTCGTTCGGCATTTGAAAAGTGTTGCTTTAGTCGGTCATCTGCTAAGTGTATTTTTGGCCATTCACATATTTCTGTTCGGTCGAATTCATAAGACTTTTCTTTCAACCTATCGTAAAGAAAGCGCAAGGTTGCTCTTTCCCTTTCGGATTGGCCAAGGTCCATAATATAACCAATATTCAGGATATGCTGCCAGTGCTGGTCAATTTGGAGTGCATGGGGTGCCGAGTTGTTGTATAGCGACTTGTCGAAGATTCTTATTCTCGCGCCGAGAGTATATAGCGCCTCGAAGTGCCAGAATTCGGTTGGGGCATTTATGCTAAGTATTGTGGTCAGTTTTTGGAAAAGACATGCATGAGATTTTAGTTTAATATCTATCATACTTATTCCGCCCTTTCTCACGGGAAGGAGCAAAGTTTTCCGAGCGATTCTCTCTAGGTATTCAGGATACCATAGATATTTAAAAAATATGGACTGAATATGTTAAGGTATCGGGTTGGTATTATTCTTGTTTTAGCTTCCAGTAGTGTTAACGGTAGAGCGAGAGATTGTATTATCAAAAGTTTTCCACGCCATGTTAAATGACGCGACTTTGTGTTGTTTAAAATTTGGGTAATTTTACGAATCTTTTCATCTTGCACTTTGTATTTTACCTCTTTCCCGTAATAAACCCCCAAGATTTTGACGGTGTCGTGTCGGTATTTATTTAACCAATTGTCCTTTAAACGCAGTTCTGCCTCTTCATTTATACATAAAATTTGTGATTTTTCCATGTTCAAGGCTTGGCCGGTTGCTTGCTGGAAGATCCCGAATTCTTTAAAGACGAGTTCTAAGGAATAGAGTGTTGTTGTTACTAAGCTAGTGTCGTCGGCGAATTGTTCTATTTTTTCTTCCTTTTTCCCGAGTTTGATGCCTCTGATGTATATATTTTTTGTTACGGCTCTCGCGATTGGTTCGATATTTAAAGTGTATAATAACATGCTTAGGGGACATCCTTGGCGGATTCCTCTCACGATATGGATCTCAGATGTGAAAGCTCCGTTTACTTCTATGGTACTTCTAATGTCCGAGTACAGGGATTTTATTAGATTACATGTTCTTGTTCCAGCCCCGATTTTTGCTAGCAGCTTATGAATGAAATTATGATTGACCATGTCAAACGCTTTCATTTGATCAACTGTCAGGATATATGTTGGAATTTGATTTTTTTTGGAGTATCTAATTAGGCTTTCTATGTTTCTGTGAATATCTGAGATCTGTCTATTTGGGATGGAGGATTTTTGAGCCGGGTGAATTATTGATGCAAATTTGTGACGTAGGCGGTTAGAGATAATTTTGGCAAGTATTTTGTAATCAAGGTTCAAGTTCGAAATCGGTCTCCAGTTTTTGATGTTTGCTGTACTGCCCTTTTTGTGTATGAGGATGACCCTAGCGAGCTTCCAACTACTAGGCGTTTTCCCAAAGAAAAGGACGTTATTTAGTATCTGGAGAAGTTGGTTTTTGATGATTGCCCAAAATGTTATATAGAATTCCTTACCCAGGCCATCGACTCCCGGGGATTTATGATTACCAAAGGATTTGATGGTCTGGAGAAGTTCGCATTCTGTGATTTCCCTACCTAAATCTTCCACATCCGAGCTATTTAGAGTGGGATTGGCCATGAGCTGGATGTATGCCTCTTGTGCACTTAGCTCTATGGTTGATGTTGTGCCCCACAGGTCCTTGTAGAATTCGTAGATCTTATTGTTAATCCGTTGTGGGTCATCCGTTATATCGTTAGGGCTTATCTCGAGTTTTTGTATCGAGCATTGCTTTTCTCGTGCTATTATAGTTTCAAAGAAGTATTTGGTAGGCTTCTCGTGGTACTCGGCGTCTGGGACCCCTGAAACGGTCTTTTGAAATTCTTTTTGTTGGAATGTTATGTCTTGTAGGTCTTTTTTCATTTTATTTAGTTCCTCTGGGGACAAGGTGGAGACACCGCGTGCATAGTTTTTTAGTTCTTCTTCCAGTCTTTTTTGTTTCGCTATAGCGATCTTCCTCTGCCGTATTCCGTACGCAATAGCGTCTTTTTTGATTTTTGTTTTAGCATTATCCCACCATTCCAATAGGTCACTGAAACTTTCTCTCTCTTCGCAGAGATTGCTATAACTGTGTTTAATCATTTCTGTGAATTCCTGGTTTTTGTAGTGGGCCGTATTGTTTCGCCAAATTCCTTTTCCCCATTTAATTTTTTGGTACTTGTTTATTTCAATAATTGGGTATAGGATATGGTCGGATATTAAATTGGGGTGGTATGAAAAAGATTTGATTTGAGTTTCGGCGTTATCGGAAATGTACATCCTATCAATTCGGCGGGCTTGGTTTTGACGTTTTATAGTGTATAGGGGCTGATTTTTGCAGTGGTCTAAATATGGGTCTACGAGATATGCTTCCTGGATGTAGTTTTTTAGAATCATTTCTCCTTTTGTCAGCCTGAAATTTTTGGTGTTCAATACGTCTAATTTGTCCGTGACGGCATTGAAGTCGCCAGCGAGGATGAAAAGATCAAAGTTTTTTGCTTCGGATTCTAATATTGGCGTCAAAGTTTTGTAAAAGTCTGTTTGAACTTTCTTTCCTGTGTAAGGGGGTCCGTATACGTTTATGATCTTGATTGATTTGTTAAAATACTCGAGTTCCAAACTACACACGCGATGTCGAATAATTTCTTTATACTGAGTAACTTGTTCCGCAATCGTGGTAATGACCATGACGGCCGTTCCGGAGTAGTAGTTTTCTTGGTTCGAAGGGTGCTCTATGGTGTTGAAAAATATTTTATAACCTATCATGTTTGCCCACTTTTCTACCTTCGCCCGGCTAACCTTATGGACCTCTTGGAGAAGGGCCACTTCTGGTTTGTGGGTAAGAAGAGTGTATTTTATTTCATCTAAGTGACACATGAGCCCGTTAATGTTTAGAGAGATAAGTTTCATAACGTATGTATATAGTCTGTTTATTAGTGCTACCTTAGGCCTACTTTCCTTTTTTGGGTGTTGGCGGAGGGATTGACGAAGACGAAGAGGACTTCGTTTCGGCTCTTTCCCTTTTGTTTCGGTTAGGCGACCTTGCTATGGTAGGTGTAGTTGAGTTTGGTAGCACATTGTTTTCTGTACCTAAGCATGCCGGCGCGGAGGAGATGAGAGGGAAGTCGGAAAAAACCGACGAGTATGAGGTGGATTGAGGACCGTATTCCGGGATGTACGTTTTGGTGTAAGATCCAAGGTTTTGAGGCCGAAATGGAGTGTTTCCAATTGTTGATGTAATTTTCAGTTTTCTGGTAGCTACTGGGGGTGGTGTGACCTGATATTTTGGTGGAACGTAGGTTTCAGGACTAAGGGACCAATCTTTTGTTTCTTTACTTTCAACATCTATCGTTTCTGGGGAGATATCTTGGGACGAGGTGTTATTGGGCGTGGTGGTTTTAGTTGGAGTAGGTGTCGATTGCGTTATCACTGTTTCGTTTTGTGTATCGAGATTTTTCTTTGGGGTTACATTTTGGATTTGTGTCGGTTTAGAGACTACGTTGTTTCTCAGCCAAGTGGAGAGGGCTTCTTGTTTACCTCTGTTATTTTGGGGACAGTTGCTTTTAATGTGACCATCTTTGAGGCACAAACGGCATTTTTGTACAGCAGTACAGTTTCGTTGGGTATGACCCCTTTCGAGACACTTTACGCAAGTTGGTGTATAGAGCTCGGATGGAAGATATGTCTTGCAGCGCGTACCATTTATATTAAGAAAGGGCGGAAATCGGGTCTGGTTGAAATCGGTAATCCATGCCGCTATATATCCATTATACAGAGATGTTCCACGGTGGTACTGTTTACTTAAATTACGCAGCTTTCCGCAATTTGTTTTGATTAGGGAATCCCAGACTAATTGCTTTCGCACTTCGTCGGTCACGCCTTTGATGCTAATTCTGGTTGCGGGCTTTGTAGGTGGAAGGAAGCGTATGTTTACCTGGGGTGTCGATAGTATTTCAATGTTATCCTTTAAAAATTCATCGCGCTTTGAAATGTTCTCATTATCGGGGTCGAGTTGTTTAAACGACAATACCCACTCTTTGGGTCGTTGCTCATAAAGGGCCGTGAGGTGCTCGACATAGTTTCTGGTAGACGCCGAATTTCTTAGAGTTTCTAGGAAACTATTAAAATCAAGATCGTCGCTTACCTCTGCGATCACCGAGCGTGGGCGATTTTCTTGCACTGTACCTTGGTTGGATACGGCTGCTGAATAGTCCATTTTCTCTTATTGTAGTATTTCCACGAGTAGCATATAATCCAACGCCGTGTCTGAATTAGACTATTCTGCCATATATCCTCAATGAATCAAATTTGTACTTAATGCAACCAAATATTCTCGAACTGGTTCATCTGATGATCATGCGTGATCGCGGTTAACTGCCTCGTCAGGTAATATAAGGTGATATAAGCCTGCCGTTGGCTAAGCTCTGCAAAAAGTTTTCGAACCACGACCTCTCGGTTTTAGTAGCGACATAAGTAATTTAGTGGTGACATAGTCGTTCTAGTTAGGACATATCAGATATATCAATAGCCATTTTACACTACCACCACATTCAGAAAACAAACAACGAAAGAGTCGTACATTCGCATTCACGACCAATACGTGCGCGTGCGTCATGTAATGGATTTAAATTTGGCAAAAAATAAAACTTTGTACTAAAAAAAAGGTGTATTATATCATAATTTATAACCATTGGTTGGATTAAAACATTTAAGAACGGGTTCTCTTTTGCATCAAACTCACTAACAACAGGTACATTCATTACAGAAAACCACGCCAATTTTACAGCCCCTCAAATGAACGTCCCTGCGAATAACTTGTGTATTTCGTATATATTTTTTTTTATTGTTGCAATGCTTGTTTTTTGGTTGACGAAACGATAAATCTGTCTCACTCTGGTGCTGTTTCTACGTAATCTACATTATCGTGACACGCTTTACATGAATCCAATACGTAACTTTCGTAACGGCAAATAGGCAATGGACAAAAATATTGAATTCATATTGGTACCGCAATACAGTTGACAAAAAGTGTATATTGACCATCTGAGTTAAACATCACGTTTATATTATAATCTGATGAAGTAATAAATAATAATAATAATAAGTTTATTTCGACTACATAATCACCAAAACAATAAAATGAATGCTAAAAATAAATAAATAAAAACTGATTATGAAATCAGGAGAGCGAACAAAACCTTAGATAAGGTTTAAAACGTACAGAATGTATATGAGATGGGAGGTTTTGCCAAGAAGATGTGGTACGTGTTCACTCACCTAAAATAATTGAAATATTTCACACACGCTCACACGCACCCACACACACAACCAGTGATCTTGATTGATTGAATCTAATATATGTAACAATTTTTTAGTCTAAGGAATTTCAATAACGGCACATTATCATGACCCATGGCCGATAATAATTGGATATTACGGTACACCTCTGCTGCTTTATGTTTATATTCGTATCTGTGTTTCACATACGTTGTGGAACCCAGTAAAAATGTCATTTTCTAAAAATTTATCATTTCGTAAGAATATTGTCAATTCGGCTTAGCGCCGTGGGGTTGAGTTTATGACACTTGAATTGAAACTAGTTGAAATTTGCTGGAAATCTGGCCATTGTTAGTTATAAAGAATTTTTATGATAGTTTACTATACTTCAGTTTAAATAAAAAAATAAAATATTTTAAAAATAATGATGCGATTACGATCACAGAATGCAAGGATATCAAAAAAGACTGGAAGTAAGAGAAAGCAAAAATCAGTTAAGGCAACAACAAGCAAATCACAGAAATTGAATGATAAGAGAAAGGAAGATTTTTTACAAAACAAATTGTTCGATAATAGTATATCTACATTATACATAGGTGCTCAAACATCCATTTCAGGTGGTCTTTGGAAGGCTGCAAAAGAAGCTTCACAGATAGGAGCTAAAGCATTTGCTTTATTTTTACGCAATCAACGTCAGTGGAAGATCAAACCTCTAGACGCAAATGAAGTTGAGCGTTTCAAATTAGCTTGTATCGAATATGGCTACTCTCCTGAACATATCATTCCTCATGGATCTTATCTTATGAATTGTGGATCTCCCAGTGACGAAATACGCCAGAAAAGCCATGATTTGTTGGTAGAAGAGCTGAAGAGAACAGAGGAATTGGATCTTCTATATTTTAATTTTCATCCTGGATCAACACTGGGCAAAATTTCTGTCCAGACTTGCATATCTTATATAGCAGATGCTATTAACAAAGCACATAAATGTACAAAGTATTCTGTGATTTTACTGGAGAACATGTGTTGCCAAGGCAACACAATTGGTGGTAACTTGAAAGAACTAAGTGATATTATCTCATTAGTTAATGACAAATCTAGGATAGGTGTTTGCATTGATACATGCCATGCGCATGCCACTGGTTATGATCTTTCAAAACAAGAAGGTTATAATAATTTGATGAATGATTTGGAAAACATAATAGGAATTAGGTATGTCAAAGCCTTACATTTGAATGATTCAAAAGGATTGTGTGGTTGTCATAGTGACAGACATGAGAATATTGGTCGGGGCACAATTGGTTTAGATGGTTTTCGTAGAATAATAAATGATTCTAGATTTGCTAATGTTCCCATGATAATAGAAACACCAATGACTTTATCTGATGCGGAAGAAATTAAACTTTTATATTCCTTGAAAATATGATCTGACAATTCATACTTTAATTATGAACATACCATATTGTGCGAGTTTACTTCTTCTATCGTAGGAGATTATTTAACATTATGGAATTTGTATTTCAATTCTCAAAAATAAAAATATATCTGTAATTCTGTAACCTCAATAGCCTATATCATTTATTTGAACTTTTATTTAAAATGAAAAAGTTACAAAGAAAATAAATGAATTGACTCTATTCACTGGCAAGCTCTTTTCAGTACCAATAATTGAAAAATTCAGTCTCTTTTTTCATACAAGATTTAATGTATGCACGTATAAGCCAATTGTTTTCTAGCACAAAATCTCACTCAAGTTTAAATTTCTCTACCTTTCGTGTGTTGAAATATACCATGTCAAGAAGAAGCTCTCGTCTTGCAGAGAAACAACAACCAAGTTATAATGAGAAAATAAACAATGACGCTGGTGAGTCATGTAAGAATGGGCCATCACCCAGAAAGAAAAAAATAATCAAAAAAGAATCGTATTCAAAACCTAAGATTGTGAAAAAGGACTCGGAAAAGGAGAAATCTGAATCTTTTAATAGTTTGAATCAAAATGATACTGAAAAAAATATCAAAACAGAAAGCAAAGGCAAAGAATCTAAATTCTGTTCCAACATGATTATTGGTTGTCATACATCAATATCAGGTGGATTATGGAAAGCACCAGAAGAGGCAGAAAAATTTGGAGCTAGAGCTTTTGGTTTATTCACACACAATCAACAGCAATGGAAAATGAAGCCGTTAGTAACTGGACATGCAAAGCGTTTTCAAGAGACCTGTCAAAAATATGGATATGCTCCTAATCATATTGTACCACATGGGTCATATTTGATGAATTGTGGGTCTGCCAAAGATGATGTGAGGCAAAAAAGCTGGGGAATGCTTGTTGAAGAACTAAAAAGATGTGAGGAACTTGGATTGGTTTATTTTAATTTCCATCCCGGCTCAACCCTTGGAAAAATTTCAGTAGAAACTTGCTTATCTTATATTGCAGAGGCAATCAACAAAGCTCACAGTGAAACTAAATTTGTAATAACTTTACTAGAAAATATGAGTTGCCAAGGAAACACAGTGGGTGGCAAATTTCATGAATTGAGGGATATTATCGAAATGATCGAAAACAAAGATAGAGTGGGAGTCTGTATCGACACTTGTCATGCTCATGCAGCTGGTTATGATCTATCTACAGACGAGGGTTATAATATTTTTACAGAAGATTTGGAGACTATAATTGGGTTACAATATGTCAAAGCTTTCCATCTTAATGATTCCAAAGGGCCATCTGGTTGTCATAAAGATCGGCATGAAAATATTGGAAAGGGAACAATTGGGTTAAGGGGATTTGAAAGAGTTATGAGAGATTCACGTTTTGAAGGAATCCCAATGATTTTGGAAACTCCATTTTTTAATGATAGCATTTATACAAAGGAAATTGAGCTGTTGTATAGTCTTTAAACCTGTTACCCGCAAAATATTATGTTGGTCATATTGATAGTGGGGAAAATTTCAGAAATTGAAAACTCACATCGAAAGCCATTGTCACGCATTCACAAATTTTCAGCTATTCACTCTGGCAGTTCTGTTAGAAATGAATAAAATACACTCACAATCATGAGACATAAAAATCCATAAAAGCTTCAATATGAAGACCAAAATCTTTGCTGTCAAATTTTAGTTTTACCTGAAAATTGTTTGATGCTTATTAATTTCAAGTTCTTTATATTTCTTTCAGTCAATCATAATTCATTTCTAAAATTTTTTATCAATCTTTTTGCAGAAACCTTTAGTTTCTAGTGGTTTTTCCTAAGCATATCGTTCCCTCGGGAGCTATAACACGTCCCAGTTATCAACATGTTCGGCAGATCGCTAATGAGAGAATTCGAAGATGATCCTTTTTTCAGGTAAGGGCCTTATCAGAAATTATTCTTGTACAAATATTCAATTGTTGAACATATTCGAATTGTTGTGTATTTTATAATTTTTCAATTTAATACATTTGGAATGTTCCAACATAGGGATCAGCAAACTACAGACCGTGGGCTGCATGCAGCCTTGTCAAAACATTTTGTCCAGTCCCCTGCACTTGTAGAGAGTTGTGAAATTGTTACAACGACATACAAAATTTAGATTTCTTTTTTAAACTTCATTCGAAATATCTAATCTGGGAATTATAAGGAAAAATATTTTTATTCGTGTCTGGCTCAACAATGGACACTATCATAGAAAATGGGAATGCCCTTTGCAAAAAAAAAAAAATTCTGAATTTGTAAACTTCGAATGCTCTCGAATGAAGTATAAGGCAAATGAGTGTGGAAATGAAAGTTTTATGTTGTTTTAACATCAGTCTTATTCACAACTATTTTCATGTCGTTTTTACAGTGGGTACAATTCTCACAGGGATATTTTCGATTCCATGGGAAGATTTCCAGATCCATTCATGGCGATATCTGATGGAAGAAAGGATGAAAGAAAGGGAAGACACCAAAGCAAGGATTGGTATGTAAATATATCATCTCACTGTCTATTAAAGTAATCTTTGCTTTTGATTGTTGAGTTTGTTAATATTATTATTCCAGTCATAATAAAGATCGTCAAGTGGATCCATTTGGTGGAATTTTCCATTCTATGAACAGCATGATGTCGGAAATGCACAAACGTATGGCTGACATGCAGGTTAACGCTGTAAGTGGTCTAATTATTTCTTTTATTATAGTACTGTTGGTATTGTCGCTAAGTTTAATAAGGTACACATAACATACTAGTGCTTCAGGTTTAGGACATTATAGGTTAGTCATATAATATTAAAGCTTTGTTTGTCCTACAAACCATTCATAGCCGCTAACTCAGGATTTGCAAAATTGGCTGGTTGTCCCGTACTGACTCGATCAGAAGCTATATAGTCTCCAGCCAAAGCCTAAAGTTGTCTATTATGATAAATCTTGTAAATCAGAATGTTTCTGTTGATGAATCAATTTTCTTGTATTTGAAATTAAAGTTTTCATCTCAGAAGTACAAACGTGTTAGAAGCCTATCTATCACCATATTGTGTTTAATATTCTATTATTGAAAAAATGCAATGGTGATTTATTCATTTCAGGATTCTGGTGACCCTAATGTTCACAGTTTTTCATCATCTCATGTGATGAGTTACAGAAATGATGGGAAATCTGAACCAAAATATTATCAAGCATCAACATCTACAAGACATGCACCTGGCCAGGTTAGGTGAATTTTTAACAGCTTTCAACCCTAATTGAAGTCGGCATGTTGGAACTCAACATGGGTAATATATTAATACAAGCGCCATCAATGTGATCAATGAAATGGATATTTTTAATTGCTAATGTAGGCAACATTTGAAATTTAAACTATATTTTTCAGCTTCAATTTAAGAACATGTTATTTAGAATTGTGACAAACTCTATGACAATGATTCAACTCTATATAAACCCAATTTGATGACTTCTTTGGCAAACATGGAGGTTTATTGGATACAGAAATTGCTAGCCACACTTTACGCTATTCGACCATTTTGATTGATTTTGATTAAAATTTAGATAAAAGAAACCAGGAGAACTCTTCGTGACAGTGAATCTGGAATAGAAAAAATGTCAATCGGCCATCACCTTGGTGAGAGAGGAAAAGTTATTGAGAGAAGACGAAACATCAAAAAGGGAGGAGCACTCGAAGAAGAAAAGAACTATTTTCACATGGGAGAAGGTGAGTGAGTGATATTTTGTATGCTATGGTAGTGAATTGGAACATCAGTTATCAACTCATTAAGTCGTGCCGCTGACTGAGGCATGTGTAGGACTTGAAGCAAATTTGTTTTATTTTTAACCCTGGTAGTTGCATCAACTTTTTGGGGTCTTAGAACAACGATATGTCTTTTCACCCATGTACGTAATCACAAATTCCTACTATGAATATCTCTTTTCAAACTAAAAGCTAATTAATGGTAATCTATTTTTTATTCTGCACCACATCAAAATCAAACACTTTTGAGTTTTGATCATGTTCATTGTTACTTATAATATTATTTTCTATATGCAGAGGATGAACACGATTTTGACAGAGATTGGAAAAATAAAACAAGTACTTATAATATGGATTTTGGAAGAAGAACAAACGCTGTTGGTCGGGCTAAACATGAAAGTAAAGGGCTGGGTCCTGCTCCTGCAGAGTGAGTTTTATAATAATTTTGTGATCTGTGGTTAATACACAAATGTTTGTGGAGTTTGATAAAAATTTCATCAGATTCCAAAATTTGACTCTCTTTACCCAAGAGTGGACATTTAACTCTTTTCCTCGGTTTTAAATCTTATGTGTATGCAAATTCAACATCTGTATATAACTAAGAATAAGTTTTTTTTTTCAGACCAACAAAGAAAAGGGTTGTGAAAACTCCAGCAGCTGTAGCAGCCCCCAGGGGACTCGAGGCACCTCGTCCCCATGGTCCGAGTAAGAGTGGGCGAACCAGAAGCAAGTATTGAACGCAGATCGACAAGTTATGATAAAAATGTTACATTGTGATTTTCGTGTAATTTAAAAGAAAAAACATTGTGATTTTACACTCAATTGAAAGTGTATTAATTTTTCGAATGTGTAGTTGCTTTTACAAGTACTATTCATGTGTAGATTTGTAAATATTATAGATGATATTTTTTGCTAATTAATTGATGGTACATTTGACCTTGCCAATCTGTATTGTGGATTGTTGTCTTGCTGATGTGAAAAATAAAATTGAAAAAAGGAATGACACTGTTTCGTGTAAGAGGCTAGTCGGTGGGGAGGCAATATAAGCTGTTTGCAAGGTTCAGTTTAAACTTTAACGGGACCAAAACAGTCGTAGGATTGTTGTCTGTACTCGCCCTTTATGAGTAAATTTAGTTTCAACACTTGATGAAGCTATCTATTTTGCCTTCTTCCCTAAGATAAAAATTCTATGCTGATCACACCCCTTCCCGAGAATTTTACAGCGGTTGGCGCATCGTCCTAAGCGCTGGGAATACACTTTCCTTTGATCACCTTATTCCGTAGTAGAGGATAATTATGAGCGAGGGGATTGCTGCACTCCATGCCATCGTTTTTATCCTACTTATGCGGTCCGATTGTGAACGACATATTTGCGTGCGTGATAGAAATGTTTTCGAGGAGGACTATCCGTTTCCTCAGATGTCAAATACGAATACTATTTTAGGATCCATCCATCAATTGTTAGTCTAACCGCGACAACACAATTACCGGTTTGCAGCAAATGATATAAGGACAACCAAGCTTGATTGGTTAATTGATAATGTTGACATGCGTAGCCTACTGGGTGCATCAACAAAACGCAATTACCTAGTAAAAACAAAGTAGATATCGTTTCGAAGCTTGCTGAAAGTAAGAACTAGCCTTTTGAAACTAGCGACACTTCCAAACACCCTGACCCGTCTAGCAAGTAATCATTCCCCCTGATTCAAAGGAATATATTGACATCTCATTCAACATGAAGGTAGCTGGCAATGATAAATAATGACACTTAGTAATGTTTTATCGTCAACAAAAATATGTAACATTATTTACTGTCAAATGTATAAGATATTAAATAAAAAAGATAAAATCGAAAGAAGTCTGTTTTCCAGCTGACCAGCAGCAGATGTTTAGTGAACGGTACCTTAATTGGTAATAATTTTTTTTGTTGTTAGAAAATCCTAATATAAAACAATCGCAAATTAATCAATCATAAACAACAAAATGTAAAGAGAGTCTCCATTACATTGTGACTTCACAGAGGGGGTGAGTACGATACAGTTTATTGCAATATACATTGTACATTCCTGATATTTCTTTGACACCTAGGCCTAACATCTCCCTTTGCCACAGAGACACAGCAACGCAAATTGCGTCGTATCCAAATCTGTTTGTTGGCCAGGTAATAACATCATTTCCAGAAACTTTGGTTTTGGGCATCCAGCTAGAAGCGGAATCGACAGATAGGTCACTGTATAAAATTGATTTTGTTCCTGGTATCCAAACCCCGTCAATCCATGCCGTCGGTGTACTGTCGTAAGTTTTTCGTTCTTGACGAAAAACACGATAAAAATGTTTCATCACTGACCGATATTTTTCATCCGTCTGTAGGTGAGCTAGCCTGCCATTGTGGAAGTTTCTCTCGCAGTATCGTTCCGCGTCTACTTTTGTTAGTAGTTTGTCACCAACATATTTGAAGCAGCTTCCCTGGGTTCCGAAGTCAAACATCCTTGAACAAGATGTAGATTTGTCTGCAAATCACATATGTGTACATATTGATATAATTTTCAAAATACAGTTGCCTAAATTGACGCTGAAAAGTTTTTTCAGCTATTAATATTATTACTTGTTGGGTGAATGGGTGAATGGGTTTGGTACTAGGTGTAAGTATCCTACCAAGCAACAATGTTTTAAGTCAATGTATGCGACAGGACAACACAGAATTATGTTAGTTACTAGTTAGACAATTCTATAGTAACGGTAGTCTATTCACGTTACTCACCTCGTGCATCGTCATTGTAATTCGGCAACTTCGCGGACGAGCATTCCGTGACGACTATCGCCAAAAATATAAGCAATCCACAAACTAATGAAGACTCCATTGATACTTTGAGTTGCTTTTGTTGGCAACCAGTATGAAATATCTCGTTTATATAGCAAAACGAATTAGCGCTAAAACGGTTGTTTTTTTGCATCAAGTCCGCTTATATTTTTGGTCATTCGCGGCACAAATATGTGGGGCATTTTAGTTATGAACTATGAAATTAGGGTACAACCCTATATGGGGTGTTTTCAGTGGTGTGTGAACCACGATTTTTGACAAGCGATTGTTACATCTTGTAAATGTGCAATTAGACAATTCTTGTACATTCCTGTCGATTTTAGATGCCATATTTGGGGGGCGGAATGTAAGAATTTGTCACGAAAATTAGCTAAGAAAGTTGAACCGATTGAAGCAGTATATATCACTGTTTTCCGAGGATATCTTTCGATCAATCATTAGTTGGAACTCACTTCTGAGAAAGGGGTCCAGCTACGGATAATACTTGTTTACGAGCAACCAATAATAGATCAGAATTGGGCAGCATACGATCATGATCGAGAAATGAATAGGAGACGGAATGAAGCCCAAAACAAATCGCCTGAAAATGATGAGCAATTAGGACTCGATTTGACGTCAAAAATATTCGTCGTGCGTTACATTCATATCCAGGAATTTTGTTTTTGAATGAGTTCATAGAAAATATTTACTACGCCAATGCGTACATCCATAATTCGTGCAATGAGTCCCTACTAACTCGCAATTCCATAACCCCCCATCAGGGTTTAAAAAATCGCCAAAACATGCGATTTGTCGTCAGACGGGCATGGTTTACAATGAGGTATTCTCTGCCGTAGTTCGCTGTATAACTTACGTCAGGAAAACATACCGGAGTTTTATACTGTCAAAGATTCCCATTGCCGATCCCATGATGTTTTAGTTTTTAGTATAATATACCTAATTCCCACATTTATTATTCAGCCTGACACCCGCACATGGGGTCGTGATCCACATATAATTAAACAGGACAGCCTTACGACAGGGAAGGAGTGCGTCTCTATCAATAGTAGCATTACAAATGTGCCTTGAAAATTTGGGATATCCCACTGTTCAGAAAGCAGGGTATGAGACCCCTCACTATTTCCCAAGAGGCAAAACATGTACACACGCTTGTGTAATCAGGCCAGAAAAGAGGAAAACAAATGAGATAGCTTTATCGCCCGACGAACAACGATCTTTGGTTCAATTCCCCCAATTGTCATATATTCTACAAAAGTTTTCTTGGTGTTACATTGGCATGCGATCTCCGCGATTTTAGTAAGGTTAGGAACTGAATTCTATAAGAATATCTTCATTGCATTAAACTAATTGAGATCATGTTAAATAAGTCATATTGTATACCAAAGTGTTAAGGTTAGGAACTGAATTCTATAAGAATATCTTCATTAGATTAAACTAATTGAGATCACGTTAAACAAGTGATCTTGTATATACCAAAGTGGCACTGTTGTTTTTCAATATGTCTGAATTCATGATTTAGCAATTGATTATTTTTGTATCATTTGACAAATAAAAATGTCAATGCAGAGAAGGCTGCTCAACAATTCATCCACGCGCGAACACAACTTCTCTCTAGTAATAAATATATTGAACCGCACTTTTTGAAATTACTGTTTATTTACACGATTTTCACAACCAAACGAAAACAACAATATTCTATATCAGTTCAAATACCCATAAATCGGAAAGACATTGAAATTGAGAGCAAATCTTTCAAATCAAAAATCAAGTACAGAGACGGACGTAAAACAAACCACAAGCTTCATTAGCATGCGGGTCATTGTACTCCTTGCCCTATTGGGATCTTACACAAATCTTATTAAAATCTACCAAAATGAGTTTGAAATTAATATCTGAAACCAGGAGAATGAATTCAATGTATTTATATTCAAACATCATTAACTTGAAAAAACTTGGAAAGTAATCCTAAAGGCAATTCTTGTTTGAGAATACGTAAAGTAAAATTGAATTAGTGAATGTGGGAAAGTAACAACTATAAACAAAGGTTTAGGGTTTAAATACATATATATCACAATAATGAAAAAGCCATAATCGTATTGTAATGTTATTTCAGTTGTTCACTACTGGAGTTGAAGGAGAAACATAAACATGAAAAGCTTAACTGACATGTATATGTGATAAAAATTGTCCAAGATGTTATAGTTAGTTGTTTAAACTAATTTCAATAATATTCCATCATCATCAAATTAGAACAAACACGATATAAGTCCCTTTTATCCCCTGATGGCTGATTGAAACTTATAAATATAATTTAGACAAAGAACTGGAATTTCTTATTTCTTTTAAAATTACTATTGATTCAGCTTTTCCTTTCTTCAGGAACATCTAAGTACTTGTGGTTATCACTTATATTAAAAACAAAACAAAATACCGCATAGCAACAGGTAATTTCACAACTCAGTGTTGTTGAACAATAAATAACACTTGATTCTGAAGTGATGAAATATGATAATCCTGAGATTTTAAAAACCTCAATTTGAAAGTTAAGCTGTGGGTGTTTGTAAAAGGAAAAACCCATTGTTTCATCATAATACTTTCCAATACTTGAGTTCTATTGTACAACTGATTTTTAATCATGATTACGCTGGGATCTTAACGGTACAATAGGTAGGTATCTAACAGGCAATTTGGCAACTGAAACGGACTGGTATGAAGGGGACTGCAATTGTTAACAATCAAATCATTCATTATAAGGATCTTTTCCAGCAATCTTATCGAAAAATCTTTTTCATTTTCCAAGTTTCCAAATGTCTTGACAATTTTCAAATTTCGAGAATGTACCTTACCAGACAGAGGTACTGAAGATAATTAAGTGTTCAAGTCAGGTTTGTTGATCATGTCTTTATAATGTTTGATTATATATACCTATATATATATATATATATATATATAGCAATTTCAAGTGCAATAATTTCAAGCCATAAGATTGCTATCTCAAAGTACAAGGGGTTAAATTGAATTATAAGGACATTATTGAGATTAGTGGGAAAATAATTATTCATGCAAAATGTTAAAAACATGATAGAATATATCATAAGTGTTATATATACGGAATAAAATTAGGCATGTTATTTTTTCAATCAGTGAGATTTGTACAATGCTATTGTGAAGAATATATATTTTTGTTGAATAAAATGTAGAGACTGCCAAATCTGCTTATCATTCACATCATAGCAGAAAATTAGAAAACTATGTGATGTAATGTAATTTAGGGAATGGGACCACCAAAAAATATGTGATAATGTCCAAACCTAAATATGATAAAATAAATTATGTGTTACTTAATTACTTAATTTGGATCAAAATGTGAGTAGAATTATGCTTCTATCGAGTCACATTATTGAATTCTATCGGGATTGCTGTTTAATATTATCAATATTCATGAACAGGAAATGGTTTATATATCAACTCGGAGCAAAGAGTGCGAATATAAAATACAATTAATTCAGACTGTTTTGACAATTCAAACAGGCTATTCATAGGTAATTGGTACTATTACTATTTCAATAAAGCAAAAATGTCATGAAAAAAAATATTCAACTTATTTTAAAGACTTCTGAAATCAAATTTGATTTGCATCTCTTAGACATCAGAAGCTCTTGCTGAGAATTTGCAGTTCGAATGCCAAAATACCAATCAAAACTACCATAAGAGTACTAAAGGTATGTAGTACTAGTAAGTAGGTAACTAAGAATGCATTTTAAGCATCCAGGAGAAATATCGTGAAATGAAAACAATAATGGCAGAGAATTAGTAAAACATATGGCTACATTAACAAAAACTTATAGGTCTGCACACTTCAATCAAAAGTTTATAATTGTAGTTCGACTTTAAATTTGTTGACAATAATTAATCATGATATGGCTTCAGCTATTTACAGATCCAGTTTTTTCATGAGAAATTTTCAAATTATGGAATTTGCCATAATTCTTTAACCAGGAAGCAATCCGGGAGGTGCCTGATCACTGTTTTAAGTGCAAAATCATGATATGTTTTCAACTATTTACAAATCAAATTTCTCCAAGAAAAATGTTCGAAACATGAAATTTGTCATAATTCCTTAGCCAGGAAGCAATCCAGGTGGTACCTGAACACCGTTTTGGCCTAAAGCTGGAAACTCAGTTGTGTCAGCCATGAATTTGCGACAGTTGGGGCATGTACGCTGTTTCTTCATCCACTTGTTGATACAGTCATGATGAAACCTAAAAGCATTTAAATCAGAAATTTGTTACGCAGCTCTTAAATAGCGCTGAGGGGGAGTCCACTTAGTAAGTCAATACTCTAGGTACCTTTTTCGACAACTCGATGTGACTCAAGTAATCTCAGCAAAATTCTCAACTCGTACTTGTATGATTGCCACAGAGACCTGACTTTAGACTTGAAGGATAATTAAGGAGTCTTTGGAATAGCGAAATTGACTCTATGAATTTGCTGGGACTCGAACTTGACTCAGTGGCCTGTGACTTGAGCTGACTCAAGGCTTAGTGACTTGTATCAAACAATGGCTCTCAGACGAAACCTTTGAAATCTTTTGACTCAATCGGTAGATAATTAAGTAATGTTTAAATGGAACCAAGCTACTTATGCAGTAATATCACACCAACCCTAACGAAACAAATCTTTCATTTTTCAAGTTTTGTAACAATTTTTAAATTTTAAGAATATGCCTCATCAGACATAAGTATTGACTAGACAAAATAAGTTTCGAAGTCCAGTTTGTTTCAATTTTCCACAAAATGTTATATGTTACACATAAATACAGATGTCACACAAATGTTACACATAAATACAGGAGGAAAATTGGTAGTGAAAAAAAAATTGAACTTCAGTTTACCACATTCAACACGCTAAACAGTTTTATGATTTGATGTAGATATACCGGTAACTATTGTTTATTTATAATACCACAACACACGGTGTTCGCCACTGTGAAACATAAATGAACACTAGTAATTCAATTTAATTGGTTGTAATTCTCAACAATAAATAAAATGAAAACCATCAAAAGTGTGTGGTTGTGATAAACAGTGTCATATGGTAATCAGCATTTTGCATGGTGGCAGAACCCTAACCCTTCAATCTAGGTGCACATAATTATCTCTAATATATGGTAGTCGCCTTCAGTAAAAACAAAATTGATCCCTACTTGTGTTGACATTCCAATGTTGAAACTTTTCCATCTTTTAGTGGATCACAACATATGGGACACATTGACTCTTCTTCTTCAATATCCAAAGTCTCGAAATCCTAAAAAAGATTGATCTTAAATGATGAAAAGCATATATGCACTAAATGAGACTTTAATCTCAAACAAAAATATGGAAAAAAATTTGTCATATTCTACTCGGCGGTATGGCGCATCGCGCTAAGCGTTAGAAATACTCTTGCCACAGCACCTCTGATTACCCTACATGGGTTCACAGGTTCGAATCCTGTGGGACATAATTATGTGCGAGAGGATTGCTAGACTCCTCGTCCGCCATAAGGTAGTTCACGTAACCACTGGTCGGTTACGGTTTACTCCAACATCAAGTTCATGCAGCTGTAAACAAATACCCGGCCAACTAATCACATACCTGACTCGGACGTGGTTGCCATATCTTAACGGCTTTCCCCTTCCCCGGGATAAATATGTAAATCCTATCCTACTTCTACATTAGCTTCATGAATTTCATTATGAGCCTCTATGAGTCAAAGTCTAATGTCTCAAGCAAAGCATAAAATACCTATACCTTCATTTCTTTCACAAAATAACAAGTATATTTATAAGTTTTCGCTAGATGGCAGTCTAACTTCTTCAGACGAAACAAGAAAGAATGTAATCAAACAGAAAACATAAAAATATAAAGAATGTAAAACACTACTACCATCTTGCTTTGCTAGAGGAAGAAAGTTAGAAGACGAATCTTTCAATAATGAGATGTGATTAAAAATCGTACCTCTCTTTTGTAACCCAATGGTAAGGATGACATATTCCACATGGCCAATGATGGAGAAGAATGTGATTGAGATGATGATGCCTATGAAATAATAAGTACATAAATAAGAATAAATGAAACTTGTATTAATGTACTAAACAGAAAAAATAACACGAATATGACTTGTCAGTGTCATGGAATTGTCCCCAGTATTTCATCGATAGCTCATAAGCAGATTATGCACAAGTAGATGATGATTCAATTACTTTATAAAACATTCTCAAAATTGCGCAACTGATTCTTGTATTGCCCATGCTTCTGGAACGACTATGATGCCTTATAACCAGACAAGAGGGTATACCTAAGATAAATTTGAGTTGAACATCTTAGGATAAAGGTTCCCAAACTTTTTGTTCATATGACACAAAATTATCAGGGTGCAGTCACAAGAAAAAATAATTACTGCCTTTAAATTTTATGATTGTTATTGTGTAATTTATGCTTTTTAAAGTTGGTAAACAACAAAATAACATAATGTCATAATGTTTACACTTATTTATTTGAGAGAGGTGTGCGACTGCTGCGTTGAACACATCTTTTCAATTATTCAATCATATATATTAGTTTTGTTAACACAACTGCATTAATTTTTCGGTGCAATTAGCAATCACCGCGGCGCACTAGTTACCCCTTCTTAGGGGAAGGCTGCAGAAAAGACAATTTCTCAGTAACTTTTCATTAAATTAGTTGATGATTGTCCCACCAATAAAATCAATGTCTGGAACGTTAACTAGTAGGTACTCTCCTGTACAATATAAAGTAGAAAAGGAATGTGTGTCCAGTATCTACCATAAAATGAACCTGAATTTTAATTTATGTTTATTTAAAATATATATGACATCTTATCTAATCACAGTTAGAAAAAATCATAATGATATAAACAAAGTGTAAGTTGAATTTCCTCCATATCATTTGCTTTCAACTAAATTCTCACCGGCTGTCCAATGTTGCTTACTCCAGCCATCATTTTGATTTTCTGTTCAATTTCTTCATAATAAAATCCAGTCAATCCTTTGTTATCAGCACGAATTTTTTGAGCATAGCGTTCTATCTGTTCCCTGCAGTGAATAAAGAAATATAATATATAGATTTGAAAACGATTCAATTAAATGTACAAATGCATAATGAATTATTCCCAAGAAAAAGAAAATTTTTCTCACTGAGGGAGAATTCTTCCCCAGTTGGGGAACACCGGGAAATTCTAGTCCATCGCGCCAGTGCTCTCGGCATTATAGTGACTGTGATTCACTTTGTTTAATTATGAGTCAGTTTCCTTTACTTTTGAGTGAGTGTACATGGTTATGCTTTTAGCAAATTATTTTTGGAAAAAATTATGCCTACTTTGTCAGTTGGGGGATGTTGTTGGATAACTTTTCAAGCAGAGTTTGAAAATTGTTTCTTTTTGGAGCTTTCGTCATTTCTGAACCAATTGGTGTCATCACAGCCTGAAAAACAATTGAAATTGAAGCTCAGTTCTTGCTTGTAAGCAAAAGACTTGAATAAATCATAAAAAATGCAAACATTTCAAAGTGAACAAACAAATTATAATTGATGATTATAATAGCTGTATTTACAATAAATAAACAAGACTTACTGGAGAACGTGAAGCAGATTGAGATTGGATTGATGAATTCTTGGAAGATGATGAAGACATTGGAGATGGACTGTTCGCACTGACAGATACTATGCCAACAGGTTTGCTGTGAAGGTTGAAACAAATAACAGTTCAATAAAATGCATTGAAGGGAAATAGTGACTTAATAATCTATGTTTGGGTAAATTGAAATGAACACAGATTTAAAACTGTGCAGGTAGCTTGCTGAAATGGTTTGATAGTGGCTACAACTGAAGGTGCAATATACACATACTACAGGAGTACCAATCTGGCGCTTCAGAAGAATGTGTACCGATATGGGGGTAACTAATTTTGTTCGCCTACTTTGCATCAAGTTGTGTGAAGGGAATGATAACTCATAGAAGTTTCATAAACAACAACAGTTATTTCAAAAGTGACAGATTCATGGAAAAATATTCATTTTAATTTAAAAAACTGGGTCATGATTTGTTCATTTTATGACTTTTCAAATGACTTTGCGGTTTCCCACTTGCCATATGTCCACCTTTTTAGCAGACTCAACACACTTGACAAGTGTTAAAAAGTGAGGTAGGATTCATGCTATGTTTCGGGTCAGGATAGATATACAGTAATAGATATTTCAGTTAGAACATCAGAGTAAGTATTTTGTTAAATTCTCTAGCAAAACAAAAAGTGTATTAAAGAGTTTAAATAGAAATAAATTCTTACTTTTTGGCACCATTTTTAGCGGGAATTGTTGTAAATCCACTAGCGGATTGACCATCTACACTAGCATTGACAGCGCCATTGGTTTTGTTTGCTGCATTTGCTGAATACAAAATTGTAACTTTAATATTATTTCCCAATTCATATCACAATTCAGTTTGATTGTTAAAATTTAGTGCCTGGTATATCGCTAAAATTGAATCATCATCTATTAATGGGTGTATTTTATTTATTAACTCAAGGGAGAGGATATCCCGAAAGATAGCTAGATTATAATATGGTGAGGCGAACTACTGTGTCTTGTCTGGTTATGAGTCTGTATAGTGTATGGAAAATTTTAGCCACGTATTCGCTTCCTATAATATGTGACAACATTTTTTAATGGCCAAGACAATAACACAACAAAATGGAACACAGGTACAACTACTGTACTATGAGTTAAAAAAAGTCCATAAAGCGATACAGAAGTGCTTGGTGCAACTCAAACCATGAAAAGCTTTTTTCAAACTAATTAAACTTTCAAAAACAAGAGGGCAATGCTCTAAACTAGGACACAAATGTCCAATTACTAACTATATCATGGGTAGCCTAAGTGTCTTACACTGAAAACTGTTATCGGTTTATTCAAATGCTTCAAATCCAAATTTCAAATCAGTCCTATTGCCCGGTGCATCGTTGCACATTGGTACAGGTGAGACCGAAGCTGAGCAATGAGCTACACCAAAACTATGGCAGACTGGTCTGATGTAATGCAACGCCATGGCGCAATATTCGTACAAATTGAAAATTTTAAATTGGTCTCATATGACTTTAAAAAAAAAAAAAAATAAGTCCAGCAGCTTCAACTATGTATTGACATACTGAAAATTTTTTAATTGATTGGTCCAATAGTTGCAAAATTTCCCAACAACAAGAACCACAATAAGATAAGCCCAGACAGCAAATTCAGCAAAACAATCCACATTCAGTGTTCAATAACTTACCCAAGTTGTTTCGATGTAACTGCATCATTAGTTGCCGAGGAGTTGGACAAGGAGCAGGTGGTTTTAGATCAGGTACAGGTGGTAATTCAGACAAACAACGTCCTGCAGTTATTTGATCTATAATACTTGTATAAGCTGCCTGTAAAACAAAAGTTTAACAGGAATAAGTGGCAAAAATATATAGGAAATAAATTGATCCCCAGATTGATGTTTCCATGTTGGATAATCTCGATCTCATACAGAAATCCCTAACTGGATACATTTAATGAAGTCGAGACTATTGGAGGATGACAAATGTGAAAAAAAAATTAGGATGGTCATCATCGCTCCTGAAATAAGTATTTGTGAATCTAATGCCAAATGCTCTTCATTGCTTCAGATGATATATTAACATAGTATAAAATATATCAAACAATCATTTAGTAATCAGGTATAAGACTTCATATAATCAAATTTATTAGCGGAAAATTGCAAGTTCGGGGAATTTTAATTGAAATTTTTTAAAATAAAATTTCAATCTGTCAAGCTAACCTGTATTGGACTATCAACCCCACAAGACTGAGTTGCCAACTTTATTTAAAAAAATTTAAAAATTGAAATTGTAAAACTATACAATTACCTTCAAGGTCTCGATAGTTTTTCCGCAAGTGATTGCATTCGCTGCCCATTGTTTCTGAGCCAATCTGAAGTGTTGCAAGATATGTTCTGGCATTGTGACGGCAAGTCTCGAAATTTCAATATCAAATTCTCTGACAGCATGTTCACAATGTGATTTCACTTGCATGTGTGCAGTGACATGATAAGCTTCTTTTGTTTTCATCAAGTCAACCTGAAGGAAGAAGTAAAGAGAAAAAATTATGGGTGAAATTCAGAGGAATTTTATTCACTTGCATACATGAGTATTCATATCTTTATAACAAGATGAAAAACATGATTTAGATCAGGGTTGTCCCAACTGCTGGAGCATTCTTGCTGCATTGGCAGTTTTTTACCAGTAAGTTACTAACTAGCTGTTTTTATTTTCCCAGCAAGGCAGAGCGTTTCTCAGAATGAAATCACCACCACAATGCTGTGCATGTATGTCCAGATAAGGTGAAATCGAGATATATCTAACTTGAACAGATTAGTTTTCCATTTAACTCGAAGCGATTGATTTTTAGGCAGAAACATATTTTTTGAATTAGTTGTTCCTGAGAGATGGACAATTGGATTTCTACAAAATGCAATGTTGGTTGCAGCAGAAATAGGAACAGAAATTTAAATATTTTATTCACTCAAAAAAATAATGACAATATTATAAAAGTAAATATCATCCAACCTCCGCTTTTATGGCTCTTTGTTTTGAGTCAGTGTCACCTTTCTCTTGATTTTCAACTTGTTGACGAAGCTTCAAAATTTCTTTCATATGATCCTCACGATCTTTTTGCATTCCTTCCATCAATCTTGAAAGATTCATTTGAGCTTCACGTTCTTTTGCTTGAGACTGTCAAGTATTTAAGACAGATAAAAAATGAAAATTCCACAATTATTACCTTGTATTATCTTTTGAAGAACACAGATAAATTGAATTAAAAACTGTAAAAAAGCTGGTCTTTGCTGTAGTTTTACTTTATATTTAAATTTTAATTACTTTTCACATAAATTTTTTTTTCTGAACGAATTTGAAATGGAAATTTTATTGAACATTCAAGGCTCAGTAATAAGGGTAGAATGTTGTAATATGAAAAGAAAAAGAAGATATAATAGCATATATATATAAGAGATGCTGGGGTCTCCTAGGGGAGTCTGGTATTGTGGTAAGCTGAATTCCTGAAATTCAGTAGATCTCTTTAATCAACATAAGGGCATAGTTCGAAATCAAATGGAAGACACCTCATAAATATGCTTTGATTCACAAGAAATCACAGACTGATGTTTCATCTCATCTGGATTACTTTTTAATGAAGAGAAAATATGTAAAAACTTAGTCTTTATGACACTAGTAAGTAGCTTTTGAAACTTTAGTGGTTGTCGGTAACTTCACTCAAGGATCATTGCCCTTGTTTCTGAGTGAGTGTGAGTGAATTTGCTTTGAGCGAATTGTCTTAAAAATCTGACACTGTTTACAAAATCGAAATGTGTGAATGTGAATATCTGGTTAGTGTATTACTTTTAATTCATTTTCACCTGTTCAGCCCTTGATTCAGCTGCTTGTACTTTATCTTGCGATTGCTTTTTCATGCTTGATACTTTCGCCAGCTCAGAATCGGTATATTGCTTCATATTTTGTTTTTCTTGCAGAGCAATCTTTTCTCTTTCTGTCACCTCTTCCATTTGCTTCAAAAGAGACTCCTCACGGGTTTGAGATGTTATTTTCAACTTTGTTAAACTGTCTTGCATTTCCTAAATTAATGCAGAGAAAAATGAATTAATGTAGAAAGGTTTAATATTTTAACTCAATCTTTTGACAGTTAAAATTTGCAAGGCAGAACTTGGTTTGGATTAGCTTTTTTTAAACATTATCTCTCCACAATGTCAGAAATTTAGTGATACATTAAATTCAACTAGCCCATTTTAGACATTGGACCATTGTTATAGCTCGGCGATGTGGCGCATCGTGCTTAGCGGTCTGATTACCCTGCAGGCTGGGGGAGAAATGATGTGTGAGAGGATTGCTGGACTTCTCGCTGCCATAGTGTGGCTCACGTTACCGCTGGTCGGTTACAGCTTCCTGCACCATCAAGTCCATGTATCCGATACAAATAACTGGATGTGAGGGAACTTTTAGCACTGTGTTTTTATTGGATAATACTTATACATAGAGAACAATATAAAACATTACTAAGATCACAATAGGTGGAACAATGAATTGACTAGCAATAAAGAAGGGATTTCTCGCCTCCAAACGTTCTTGTAATCTGGCAACAGCTTCTTTTGCTTTTTCTGCTTCATCTCTTCCTTCAGTTTGTGTTCCTGCTTCTGCTGTTGTGACAACAAACTTTTTCTTGCCCTATAAATGAAATAAAAAATAGGTTTACAAAAATTAAATCTCAAGCAAAATTTCTAAGGCGAATTTACGAAATTCCAAGAAATGATGTGCCAATAGCATAGGCACATAATCACTAGGAAACCTGAATTAACGCAAAAATAATAAGAAAAAAATTGCTTCATATGATATAACGGTATGATTCACCTATTTACGATAGGGAAGGGAAATATAATAAGACAGCCCAATTATATGACTAACTATGGTCTCTTGTCCGTTACCAACCCATGTCAGGAATAGTTAACTAGTTAACTGTTTCAGATGCTTGGACTTAATGGTGGTGGAAATGGTAACAGACTAGCAATTACGACAAGTACAAAGCAGTCCAAGAATTAGCACATAATTGAAACCTGTGCAGGGTAATCAGGGGTGCGATAGCAAGTGTGTGTGTTTATCTTTACTTGCAGAATTGGTTCCAAATGTGAAATAGATTAAAAGCACAAAAATCAGAATCTTGTAAATAATACAGTTCTGAACTGTGTAGTTTTTCAGTGATCAGACTGAAAAAATCAGTTTTCTAAACAACATGAACTTAAGTAGAAATAAAATTTGGAGTAAAACAATGGATCCAGACAAAATCTAAAATAAAATGGAAAAATACAGCATTCTAGAAGACATATTAACTACTGCAAATTAAAGAGCAATGGGTTAAAGAAAAAGGCATAACAACAATTTATTAAAATGATCTCAAGATTCACTTTGGGTTTAAAAATCTATAAACATCTTGTAAAATCAACAGTTGACACAGAAACACTAAAATCAAAGAATCCTACCTGTTTCTTCATCATCCCAGTACCAACATTGTTTGTTTCTCTAGATTGTGGGATATGTTTTGTGGATTTCATTGAAACGACTGATTGCTTGAAAATCTGTTTATCAATATCACAACTGGCTTGACTTCCTGTTTCACTACGCTGCTCCGACAAATCTTTTAAAACAAAAATATCATAACTGGAGCTTCGCAATATAGAAATGATTTATAGATTGAGGTTAATAGTAGTTCTAAAATACAGCCAAAGATTTAAATACTCTATAACTACAACTTTATTAAATTATATATCTTTAGACCAGTAAGTTCTCAAATTTTTTTCTTTCGTGGCCCATTTTCGTTGCTCAAAAATTCTGTGGCCTACAGTAATCTCCTTCCTCAAAAATAAACACTTTTATTTAAATAATCAGAATGCAAATTACCACTCAGCAGCAAATATAGCATCATCATTCATAGCCACTACAATCAAAATTTAACTACAGGGACACAAATAAAACTAAATTTATTAACTCTTGCTATTTTCATTGGGTTTGTGGCCCATTTGAAAATATTATTCCAGCAATGGGTCATGGCCCACTGGCTTAGAACCGGTGAATTAGATCAATCTGATATACTTATTTACCTTCTAAAGAATACATGCTTGAAGTCTCTGAATTTTGGCTTCTTTTCATATGTGGTGAATCGTTTCCATTGAATTGATCAAGTTTGTTATCCAGACTACTATTATCAGACCCTCCAATCAAGTTAATTATATCAGATTCTTCTGCCAGAGCTCCCATATAAAATTCTTGAGCAAATTGGGACAATCCGATGGCATCCAAATCCGTTGTAAAATCATGATCAATTATGGAAGATGAACAAGAACCTCTGTCAGTCTGAGATACAAAATAATATTAAAACATACCATTGCTATAGGGCAGTGATTTTCAACTAGTTTTGTGTTGAGGCACATCATTGAGGTATAAAATTTGCTGAGGTAATCATAGCTATAAAATTGACGAATGGCAATGAACTTGGTGGAGAAAGGTACTTAAAACAATTGAAGTGCTGGTATAATATTTGACGACAGCTTTTATTGTGGAAAGTGCACGGAATTCTTATACATATTGTTTAAATACAAGGATGTCTGAAACTCCTAAATTCTTGTACATGATTCTGTGTCCTGAATCTGATATTTGTTGTCTTTGATCAAGGCCAGAAAAGTTTCTGGCAATTGCGATGTCGCTGTTTCACAATATCACTTTATGTTGTACATCTCGAACACCGCGAGGATTAAGTAACACAAATGGAAGGATTTACAATAAGGATGTACAATATAAGTTTAATTGATATTTATATTCAATTTATATCATTCGGATTTTGCCATACTTTGAGAAATGGCGAATCACCGAAAAAACTTGTTGAGTCACATCAGTAATTCATCATCTCTGCTATAGAGATAAGGCAAGTAAAATAAAGTGATATTATTCATCACTTGGACTTTTATTTTGTAAATTAAAATTTGTGACATGAAGTATAAAATAGCTAGTGAATTCCCCGGATGTATTTTTTATATGTCATTTTGTCTTCCTCACTCCACACTCGACTCTCGTACAATTGTATAATCAGCTAGTGATACATAAAGATATATAAGCTCAAAATACTTACATGTTCGACATAATCTCCAGTGAGTTTCCTTAATTGAGCATGATGAGAATGAACACCAATATAAGGCGGAATTTGAATAAACCTAAAATTTTTAAAATAACAAAAAATGAAATCCCATAAATTTATTGGACACAATGTTTTCATTCACTTTCCATTCCGAATAAGACTTTGCACAAGCCATAAGGAGTTACTATATTTAGAGAAACCATAATCTTTTCAGTTCAGAATTGCCTAAAAAAGTTGCATGGGATTTGATCCTGAGATTTCACCTGCAATGCCAATATAGTCCAACGCTTACCCACAAGACGCTAAAGATACTTTAAAAAAGCAATCGTGTTTAGGCAATTACATAAGTAATGAAGAAATAGAAGTATGGATGGAATGGTAATAATGTTATGGAAGAAATACTTACAGAGGGCTTGAATTAAGAAAAGCTATCAGTCCTCCACATTTGTTTACAATTTGTTTCATATCTTGCGGTAATATTATAAGTTGACTTGAAAATAATTCATCATTTGTGTCGAGAGGTCCTTTCACTGTGAAGAAATCTTGAAAATATCTGAGAAATAGGAACAATAATTGTAATTCATCAGAACAAAAATGAGGTTTTTGCTTTATCAAGAGAAAAAAAGGTGTTTGCAACAAAAGACAGTAGAGGAAGAGATAAATTTCTTTTGATGCTTCATTGACTTTTGTTTTTGCACCCTTCGAAAATTTTTAACACCTGTGGGCCACGGCCTATTGCTTGAACAGCCTTACATGAAAATATCTACCGGTAGTTTTGCTTGTTACCACGTTTGCATCAATTATTTATTAGCCACATTCAATGGAAGATAAAGAGCCAACAAAGGACGGAGTAAAAGGATAAATGCATTAAGGAAAATTAACAAATCCAGGTTAGCTTACTCTAAATGAATATGGTCATTGCTAATGGCACTTTGGGAAAGCCGTTGCTCATGCCCCCAGAGAACTGCCCCATGGGTGGTGCAAGAGCCCAGTTTGATCTAACAAATCAGGACTCGCATCCTGTGGTGCATTAAGTAAACCTTTTGAATCTTAATCATTCTTGAAAATACAATGATTGCGATGCACTTTACCCACAACTGAATGAAAACAATCTTAAAAAGCCTCGGTTTTACACAATTCTAAGTAAACTTCTTCAATTTTCAAAATATCCTTAACATAAAATATCCTTTTTCGTTTAATATGAATGACTAACTATATTCATTAGTTTCTGATAGTCATTAGAGTCAATTGCGACTTACTCGAACAGAAACGGCATTTTATATTTCTCATCATCAGTAAAATGTACATTTTCATCATTATGACTCAACGAATGTTCAAATTGATCAATTTCTTCACGAAGATCGTCAGGTAGAAAGAACGAAGTACACTCAACTTTCGCCCTGAAATATAGAAAATTGGAATATAATTTTCATGTCATCCACAAAAAGATGAAAGCCTATAATAGGACTTAACCATAAGAATAGACTAGGCTCTGTGGTGGAGCAATTCCTCCACGTAACCGCTCAAGTCCATGCTTCTGAAAACAAATAACCGGCTAACTAATTCCATACAAGACATGGATTGCTAACCGGACGTGAAACCGTGATTCGCCAAATGATTTAGCTGTCTTATCGTCTTTCCTCTCCCCCAGAATAAATATGTAAGTCATACCCTAGTAATGGCGGAAATATGTAAATCCTAATAGTGGAGGAAGCAGTGGTAATCAACCAACATAGTCTAGTTTTTCACATAATCATCACTAAGTAGATTTGACTTCGTAAGGGTGAACCCCATCTACAGCACAATATTGACGACATTTCTAATTTTCTTAGGTATATTATCTTACTATACTATAGTATCAAAATCTCAAATTATATAATGAAACAGTATATAGTTTGAAATATCTGTGAGTTCAACTAACTTATCATGTAATACAATGAATTATCAATCCCGGAAATCTATTCAAAAAGATAGGATTAGGTAAAGTATAAAATCGAGTGAATACCATTCCTGAGCAATGTCTGACATCAGTGACATGGGATTTTAAACAGTAAAGTCATTACTATTGAAGAAACAACTACCGTAGTTGTCAGTCTTGCAACAGATAAATTTTTAGTTAATAATTATGACATCACAGTAGGCAATGGAAAAAGGTATTCGGTAAAAGCCAATGAATTATGGGAAAATAGTAGATTCACATTTCAAAACAATCATCTCATTCATAATTAGAATAATGTCAACAACATCCAATAAGCAATATACATACTTATCAATTGCTTCGATGATTTCCTCTATACTCATATGTCTACGATATCCTGGGAGAGATGAACAAAATTGTTGCAGAGATACGGGACCCATTCGCTTGTTGTTTCGATTTCGATTTCTAGAAGCCTGCACCTGTGAAAAATTTTTGAAAAAGAATATATATATATTTCACAATATGCTTGAATAAAGTGAGAATGAAAGCATCTATGTTGAATGAATCTTCGCGAAGAAGTCTTCTCTTCTAAACCAGTAGTTCTCATTTTTCATGACACATGGCCCTCTTCCAAATACGCTCAACACTCCTGCTTTTCAATGAGAAAATCTAGTTTTGTTTTTAACGTTTTTCCTCAGTTCAATATCGACATAAAAAAGTCAATAAATGAAGGTAAAAGAATGAATGCGTAATAGTCGAAGAATTAAACAAACCACAATCAATTTGACGTAGTCATCACAAATGGCAGAAGGCCTTTGCTGGTGGCCACTGTGAACTGATCTGTGGCCCCCTGAGTGGGTACAAAGAGGGCACAGTTCGAGAAACTCTGTTCAATACTAAAAAGCAATCTATGCTTAGCTCAAAGTGTTCGGAATGTGCCTTCGAATGAAACGCGGTTCAGGATTTGAATCCTGTGGAAGATGATTATGTGGGAATAAGTTGTTGGACTTATTGCTATTCTTATAATCATGATAAGCTCAGTTATTTCAATTTTATTCAAATATAATGAGACACAGTCTGACTTCACAAAAGCCTAAAAAAGCCTACTTTTTGAGAATTGTCAGCACCAGTATTCTTCACGTAAACCTTCGCATCTGTGAGATCCTTGTCTGCAGGGATGTGAACTAAAAATAAAAAGAACAATTTTTGCTGATATTGTATAAACAAAGCACAGCGATGAAACTCATATATTTCTGTAGCTAGCTTAATAAAATGCAACATGACAAAATCTGGCAATTTTCGACACCATGAGATACAAGACAATGTAAATTGTTTTGTAAAGCTACACCATAAAATATGGAGAGATTTTAGATATTAAATTTGGACAATTTCCTTCCTTCATAATAAGTTTCTGCTTTTCTAGAGACTACTTTGGAGTGGAACAACACATGTTACAACTGTATGCATAAAGACTATTGAAATTAAATTGAATGAAAGCAGTACAATAATTTTAAATTTCTTACCATTTGAAAAACTTTGACGAATTTTATTTTTTGTCGATTGCTGCAAAAAGTAGAAATATATTTTACATTTGAACTGGCATAATTACCGTAGTAGCAGATCCATTTGCTTTTTTGCCTCAGAGAAAAGGAGTCAATTAGAGACCACGAAATTACCGTATAACGGTAAACTATTATCATAATTAAGTTTTAAATCACTGTCTGGGTATACTGCTGTCAGTGGAATAGTTACAGAATATAGTTACTAGATGAATATGAGTTGCAATAAACTACCCTATAAAAAGAAGCTTTTAACAAGCTTGGCCAATAAAACACAGAGCGTATATGGTAATTTTTATCAATGAACCATGTATGAAAAGATATAAGAGATCAATAGCTTTCATGTATACAAATACACTTTTCATGAAAAGGTTGAAATTGCATAATAATGATGGATGAGTCTGCTTACAGAAATAAAAATATTTTGGGTCGCTGCGAGAAATTGTTGAGTAAATAACGAGCACATAATGCTTTTCTTAAAATATCTAAGTGCTGCACGAAACGTCATTGGTTGCAAATTTATTTTCAAGTTATTGAGACTTTCACATCAAACTACCGGTACCAGAAATAGTTTTTTGTTAAAGTGACTAATATTCTTGAGTATGCCTTGTTCAGAGTAAAAGACAAAATGTGGCTTGCTTTTTTTATTTTAAATACATTACAGGGTGACTCAGAGAAAAACAGAACCCATAAATGTATTTAGCGATCAAACTTTTGCTTCTCGTAGCGTTGCTCGTTAACCAGCTTTGGATCAGCGCGACTTCCCTTCCCCAGTAAAACTGTAAATTAACATTTTCTTCTAATTCTGTTTCTGGGATACATTTTTTACTTGTCAAAAATCTTGACTTGACCTGGACAACACACTACAAAAAAATTATTTAGTCTTCAAAATAGGTCACCAATGACTCGGGTTTTCTTATTAATAAATTGAAACTTAATCTTGTACTAATCTTAACTTTATTTCACTATTAGTGTTAACTATAAAAAAAATTGTATGAAAATCAAACCAAACCTTTATATTATGAAGATTAGTGTCATCTGATTTTCGATATGCTCTTCTTTTCTTCTTTTTCGCAGTTTCCGCCTCTCTATATTTTCTTAAATTAAATTCACTCTTTGATGTTCGCCGATCATATTTCGTCCCTTGAATTTTGTTTTCCTTGCCTCTACTTTCATTAGGTAATTTCTAGGAAAGAAAGTAATATTAGAATCAGTAAATAATGCCAAATAACATATGTACGATATATTATTTGGGCAAAATTGAAGAAAAGGTAATAAAAATTGTTTTCTGGTCGGTCTATAATCATAAGTAAATCTTACCAGGTCTTTCTTGTATGCAGCATTTTCATCAAACATTTTAATTAAAATAATTTTTCCGTGACAATCTGGAGTGTAGCAATCTGATCCTAATACATCCTGTAAGAATAATCAAAGTTAAAAAATAGTTAAAAAAAGAAATCAATGTGATGGTACCCTAAAAATAATCTCGAAGATAACTTTATAAATTATACTCTACAAACATAGAGGTGAACATCCAGAAATTTAAAATTAATTCTAGCTAAGAGTATTGAGTGTGTGTTGAGTGTTGCTGAGCTAGTGAAAAACCAATTTCTTGCTTATTAACAGTCTTTTTACATGACTTTTGACACAAAGGTACTTTAGCTGACATATTAGTTTATATACACAAAATACCATCTTATTATTTAACAAAATTGCATGGTATTCAGCAAAACATATTTTGACTTTTTCAGTAAAGAAACTTTTATCTTTTTGAGAAAGTTTGCTGATATCGAGTTCACGTAGGCTTATCTTATATAAAAAAAATATGTAATCAACAAAATGCCAAAACTACTGATACTATATGAAAATTATGATTCTGGATTATACAACAGTAACTAGGTTGCCATGATACTTGAAGCAAGACAAGTCAATATGAACAAGAAAAGGGGCTGTGAGGTAACTTTCCTAAACAGTATTTTGGTTATTTCAAGTTTGATTAATGATCAGCCAATTGAGGTATGCCAAAAAAGCAGCAGCATACTCTAACCATCACAATTAATTTTTAAAAGACAATAATAATTAAATTCTACAACCCATAACCAATTTTATAGATGAGAGAAACAAAGAACAAATTTACTCAGAGAAGTTCAATTTCAATGAGACAAATATTCATAATATTTTACATACCTTGTCACCACTCACTCTGAGTACTTGATGTTTGAATTTTGACCAACATCTCAAGTGATAGCTCAATTTACATGACCAATCACAAGAAATTGCAAAGTAACCCTGTAAGAATATTATTATTTCTGATTTTTTTCACATCGGATCATCCATATCATTTAGGAATACGAGTTTCTACATTAAAGTAAGTGCAGGAAAATAATAATAGTGAATTACTTACATCGGCAAATCGAATCATCATAATGGTGTTTTAAAATGTCAAAAAAACTTTTGCATAAAATTGAATTTTTAAATGACATTGTCCTAGGTTAAGGGTACGATGAATGCATAATAAGCACAACAGTCGGGAAAAGAAGGGTGGGGTATTCCAAAGACTATATTATATGAACAATGAATCAGGTTAACAAAAGAGTTTGGGCAACAAGAAACTACTCATTTAATATAAAAAGATGTCACGCAATCCCATAATTTGAAACCCCATTATTTTCTTATCCATGTTAGATATCTATTAACTATACAAGAACTCTTGATAACAAACCTCAAAATCCAGATCATTGACATAAATAGATTTTCTCTGATAATCTTTCAAACATGCTTCATATTGACAAATAGCAGTAGGTATAGGAGGAACTTTGCATTGTTTTAGTAAAAGACAGATTTCTCGTCTCAAAAATCTTTCATTGGATTCAGGGATGTATTCTGTAGTGCCTGTTGATATAAAAAATGACACGATGACCAAGTTTTAAAGCAGATTGATATATTAGGTTAGAGATCCAAGCTTCTTTCATTCACAGATTCACACATCTCATCACTTTGGTAGGTTAAGCTGATTTGTATATAGTTTCATGGGTGTAATGGTCTAGCGCTTGGGTGGGCAATTACTTTCCTAAGTTGGCCACTCACAGATAATAGATTTGGTTTCTGGGCCTGACGTATAAAACTCAATATGAAATTATGAATAAAAAAAACAGTTTATTTACAAATAACTAGTGTCGGTAACAATCACCTGCCTGTTCATTTCACTGATGTAATGCAATAGATATTTGAGCCGGAAATGCATTAAATAGTATTGGAATTATGGAAAGATTAGAAAGTGATGTGAGTATAGACAGAATACTGGAATTTAAGCGCTGAAATTGATGTACTGGCAGAAGGAAAAAATATGTTGCAGACTTGACTGTGTTGGCATCGCAGGATACATATATCAGATCCAAATCCGATTTTAATCACCTCACTCAACTTGTAATAAATTGGATAGGCAACGCCAAACCAGAAAGATTCCAGTTTTTCCAAAAATAGGAGTTCCTTACATATCAGTTACTGCTTGCTTGTTCGAAGAGAAATTTGTGAAAAAGCGACATATAAAAAATACAGTTGAAATGGGAACCTGATAGCTTGTGTTTTTGATTTGTTGTGGTTTATATTGGAATTTTATTGAGAAATATAATCATCTCAACATACAGAAGAGAGATGAAGAAATAGACAATGTACCTGGCCAACTCAATAAACCATTGACTGGAAATTTGTTCAATGTCTTCAAAGCAACAGTTCCTTCCTTCAATGCAATGTCAAAGCTACAAGAACAAAAATAAAAGATTAATTACAAGTCAAATCTATTTTTCCGTAAATACAAGGCTGTTATTGCACACAATTAAGCGGTGGAAACAACCCGATTGACTGGTGAAACACCAACTTAACTTCATATTTATGAGGGTGACCCATAGATATGGCTATATTAGGGTGACCTAAAAAAAGCCTGCAGCTTATCCCAATAAATCAACTCAATTTGATTGAAACGATTTGATACTTTTTCCACACCAGACATGCAAGATGCAACCATATCAAAAGCAGAGGCAATGGTTTGCAACATGATTATGCTATTCTATTTTCTAGGCAACATAAATATATAATCATTTCTATCCTGGTACAACACCATTGTAAAATACTTTACATTCCAAAACTCAAAAAAGAAAAACTGCAACTTACTCATTCAATAGGTAGATTGATTTTGCATCAGCAAATTGTACCATGCAGGTGTGAGAAAATGCTTTATGTTCAGTAATGATTCGACCAAAATATTTTCTCGAAGTATTGATGTCCAATGGAGTACCTTGTCGCTGTGATGACATTCCACGAGAATACAACAAAGTAGCAACATCATTGTCATTACACCCACGAATCTGTTAAATATTAAAATTTATTAAGTCGATTTCTTGCTTTAGCAAAGGGTGGAATATCTGGATAGTTATGTATTCTAGAGATTTAAGTTTAATGCAATTTCCACCATTTTGATAGCCATTTTGATAAAGTATATTGAGGAAAAATCATAATACATGTCATTTAATACATAACATTGACAATTTGTTTCAGTCAGTGGGATTCATTGGACATCACTAGTTAAATCTGTAGAATGACTGAAAAGCTATAGTCCACATCCACACATAACGCAAACTAAATTGGGAAGACTCGATTTCTTTGATGAAAATAGCATTTGAAATAAAATAATTTGAATTGTGATTATCTAGCGAACATAGGAGCATATTTATATGCAAGATTTAGTCTATTAGATAGTTTCGTCTCCTTAATTACGAAAAACAACATTTCCTACCACGAATGTATCAACCTATATTCTGCGTTAATATCCAAGAAACTTTTTGAGCCACTTTATCATTACTACTTTCAAACTTTACATTGAAACACATTTTACAACTGGGGGTATCGAGACATCCAAAATCTGTCATTCTATCATTTGAGAAATACTCATAGAATAGAAAATTTCGGCCACAGCTGCACAACAATCTGTTATATCTCACTGATAGTGGAAATAGCAAATAATTGGACGAAATGATAAACAAACCTCTTTGTGTTTTTCCACAAAATCAATGGCAAGTGAATACGATTTACATGCATCTCTGTAACAATCTTTGAGAAAATAAAAAGTAGCTTTTTCCATATAAGATTCAAATTCCTTCTGAATTTCTTTTTCTTTTCTTTCCTTTTTCTCCCTCTAGAATATTAAATAGAAGAATAATAAATAAAAATAAATGAATAAAAAAATATATATATAAATTTAAATCCATTCAATATTATTGAATTACAAAATTGGATTCTAGATTTGACAAACTATAGTAGGACATTCAAAGATTCCCCCATAATAAACTAAAATATATAGTTCTGAGTAATTTCTAATATTCTTAGAAATAGGCCATGAAAAATTCAGAATGAACTCAAAAATTAGTCTAGCAATGCTTCACCACATAATTACCCCAACAATAGTAATACGATAGCAAGTTTATTCGTAATGCATTACAATGCATCAATGTAAATTTGAAAAATGACTCAAAAATTGTGAATCCAGATGCAAATTTTTGCATGACGTTTTGCATGTGAATAATTTCAAACAATAAGGTTTGGTTTTAGTGTCAGTTATTACCGTAATTATGGTATCAAGTATAATATCATACCGACAACAATAGCTGTCTTCTTTCTTCGTCAATCTTTTTCTTTTCTTCACTTTTTTTCTAAAAGGAATTAATTTGCTTTAAAATAATCAGTACATAGTACAGGCATATGTTCAGAAAAAAACAAGTACAAATATTGTCTAATAATTTATTTAGAATTTTGATATATGGATATATGACAAAGTGGTTAACAATGTACCTAAGTACATTGGTACGAAAGGTTAAAAATCCCAAATTCTATGTATACAAAAAGTTGACGACTCGATGCAAACAAGTGGCAGCATAAGACCGTTTTGAGGCAGGAGCGAATGCAATGGCGTCCCTAAATACACATACATTGAAAGGGTCACGCAGGTTGATATTTTCCACTAAGTCCAACTATAACATTTCGGTCGAATCCATGCTGTACTCTGTCAGATTTAGCATATATGAAAACAGTTCATGAGCAATTTATCAATCTGCAAGTCAGTTATTGAATAAACTTAATAAAATTCTAAATTCCACACAAGCATGGGAAATGTTTCCTTTGGATGACAGATTAGCGGTTATGTTTTTTTTATTTATACTCAGACAAGCATGGCCCAAACGTAGAGTAAGAGTACAACATAACCACAAGGCATCCTTGGTAAAATCATTCAATATCAACTTTAACGCTTGGAATAATCGGATTATTTGTAAAATGTATTTTTCACATAATACTGAGCAAGATAAAGCCAGAACCACGCCTGACTTCTGGTTTGATTATAGACTAAACACGATTGGATACGGTCTGTCGATATTATGAAAATTCATTCATAAAGTCACATTATTTAGTCACGTATAAAACATAAATCTTCAACGGGGATTCATAATAAGACATCAGCTCTACGGCACAGGTGCACACTTGTCACTTTTATTCATAACAATACGAAACTCAACGCCTAAAAGTACTTTCCCAATTTCCGCTCACATAAGTTTTGAATTGTAGATTAACCAAGAAATTGACGGATAGCACAAAAAAACCGCAAAAACGGTAAACTAAGGCGAAAGTTGCAAATGATAAAATTGTTTTTTTCTCAAAAATTTCAAGAAAAGACTGATATATCATTCGTGGTAAATTATAAGAATTCTTGTGAAATGAATGGTTATTTCCATGACCGATGTGGAAATGTCACGCCCGATATTGCCATATCCAATCGTGCGTATATATCGACAATTCAAATCGTCCGAAGCCGGGTACAAATTGAATGAAAGAAAAAACGATCTCGGAATGGGATTACGTATTTCGGACAATTGGATTTCATTATCGCAGAAAACAAGCTTTTATTAGTTTGGGTCATTCACCTTTAATCTCCGTGGAAATGATGCTTCGGGATGTTTTCATTTTCTTATGCGAGATCTAACTTGTGTTATTGATAAATTGGTAATTTTATGTCTATTTTTTCGTTGGCCGGTGCTGTCGAGAAAGTGATAACGTACATATCAATGCTTATACAAACATAGTTTTAACGGAATAAATTAGTTGATGGATGGAACGTATGAACGATTGTCCTTAATTAGATGTTTTGATGTTAGAACCACACACGTTTGGATTAAATTGTTTTCTGCATTACTACAAAAAATGAAATCCCACTGCGAGTCTCGGGACATATATGTAGATTGTTTTGTTCAGTACGTTGCTTTGTTGTTCTACTACAAATGATGTTGTTTTGCGCAAAACATGGCGGGATTGAGTTTGAGTTTGTTTTTTACCGCTGCTCAACTGACAATACAATCAACAGAAGAAGTCACATGCGAGAAAGCAAAATTCCATTCTACGATATATTTCATAAAAGGTGCATTTTAAATGAAGAAAAATTAATGGCGTAGTGAATTATTCAGAATGAAGTAACATCTGCTAATCTATTCTATTCATGTTGTTCAAATACACTTTTACCGAGAAAAGGGCAAATCATGTATATACATATTCCATTAAAATTCTTAACGTGCTATAAATTTTCGTATGCAATGTGTGGCATCGCGAACATTACCAGGCTGTTTTCAAGGTGATGATCTAAGGAGAAACAGCTTCAGAATGCACAAAATAAAGATTGATTGTAGAAAATCGACAAAATCTATAGACGTAACGCCGTGTTTTCGTTCAAATCGGCTTAACCTGCATATTTTGGCAAATTGGTCGTCGGTGACTAATCGACGAGTGAATGAGCCTACGTGGTTTTAGCCTACGGTATTTTGGTATGAACTGCTCCTTTTGCTGAACTATTGGTGTGAATTGATTCTTGGGGGGAGACGTCAACAGACGTCTGATTTAACAGCAGTTGTCATATAGTAGAGAGGAATGAAATGCGCTACAATCATGATTTTAAATGAAGATTTCACAAAGGATTATTTCATATTTATCCCGGGAAGAGGAAAGCTGCAAAGAGCAGATAGCAAACCACGACCCCTGGTCCGGTTAGCAGGTCTTGATACATGGTCTTCGATGGTGGTGGGAGCCTTTAACTAATCACCCGTTACATTAACAACTCTGTGATGGAAAATCAGTTCAAACATTTTCTCCTACAAATTTTCCCATCATTCGATTCCGCGAACTCACGCATGTGTAATTAGCGCTGAGATGGCAAGTGTGTATATTCTGAATACATAAGCCAAAAGCTTTCTAGGATTCACATCGTGTGTCGCATGAATATACATATATACACCAAATTGTGGATTTAAGAACGGAATAGGAATTGTTTATATATACTACTTTTAAATTCATTTGGCGAAATCGACATAATCCATGATTTTGGCGAATCCGTTAACAATACTCAATCAAAGCGAACAATTATTCGAATTCATTATTATCAAAAAAATCGTGCAAATCGTATCGATCGAATAGCGCACGTCGCACACTAGCCATAAAAACGAATAAGGGATAAGTGCGTCTGTCCGTAAGTCGTGACGTGATCTGTCCATAAATAATGCTTATATTTTATTTATTGCCTCAGACATTATTATTATCTCATCCGTACTGCGCAAATATTGACTATGGAGTGTCAGATATGGTGAAGATCGTATTGAAATCAAAAGTGAATCGATATAGTTCCACGCTGGACAATGAGGACCACCCGTCCTATATGCAATAACATATAATATATCGTTCGATAAAGTAAATCTGCCAGTGTTTGATAAAAGAGGTTACCTATTTATGTCAATGGTTAACGTCGCAGCGTATATCATCTGTATCGTTTGTACGAAACATTTTTTCAAAACGTAAAAAATTCTATATTTAGTGTACTGGAAAGAATTGTTTTCCAGATATCGTTTTTTCTTATAAAAAGAGTCAAGAGTAATTTCTTTAAATTGTGCATTTCAAGAATGAAGATTATATTGCAATTAGTGATTTGTTGTCTTGTGTGATCAAACCTTATGCGCGAACCAACTTTAATATGAACCTGAATTTCAAAACTTACTCCAACATGTAGTTTTATTCCCATCTTCGCTCAGAAAATATCATAAAACACACTTTCAGCGCTTCAAACAAGCAAGGTTCCGCGCTAAGTAATAGTCTCGCCTTCTCTTTCTTTGCTTTTGATTATATTCGTATTATCATATTTTCAACACTCTCAGCATTTCATATATCATTTTTACAACACAAATTAACACATATCTTGACAAAGTCATCATCATGGTAGTTAGTATGGTAGCCCGACATGCCGTCTATGGAGGAGGCCATATTCATTTGGCGACCAGAACCATGTATCCATCCATCTTCCTATCTTTCGCCATGTACACATGTTGAAAATTTTACCTATAGTTTGTGTTACTTCATATATGTTTCAAGACCAAATTGTTACATATTCTAATCTAAACGATCCGATTGGGTTCGGCGGGCAAAATCTACGATGAGGAGACATGCGCAGTTTGGCCTTACAGGGAAATGACAGTGAGGCGGTAATCCCATTAAATGTCAAATAAACAATGATGAAGGATAAAAATAATTGCGACCAATTTCCGGATAAGTCTGTTGTTTCTATATCCGGGTAGTATTTTGAAGCTTATTAGATTTGAAATAGCTTACACAGCAATGGTGTTCACCCACATCCGCTCCGTGCGGTTATTATCCGATTGTTACGCGGATTATAAACAAACTCAGACACAAGAAACTTTTCCCAACCAACATAAAACGACTTTCGCTGAAAGAAGAGCGATAAGTTTGCCACCAGTTACCGCGAGCCAGGATTGGTCTGAAGATGAAGACGCCCTAATTACCAAATCTATATTTCATAGTCCACGTATGGACTAAATCAAAAAATTGGAATTGTTTATATTATTTCTATATCAGAATATATTGATGTTGAATTTCAGGCAATGCTATTCACTATGGTATGATGAAAAGTTATTTTGGCAATATATGAGCGATAATTTGACAATTCCGATATTTCGATACTCACACAAGAACAGTCTACATTCGAAAGATAGGACAGTATAATTGATATGTTACGAATAACGTATTCCTGAATTTTGGAAAGTTTATATTTTCTAGCTTATTATGTTTAGGATAGATATAACTAAGGATATCCAAGCTTCGAAAATATTATAAATTTAGTAATAATTGCACAAATCGTTGTAAATTCTTAAAATTGAAGATGGTAATGCAGAAATCAGCGTTGTTTCGGTTCATTTTCTTTTTTATGGTGTCAGAAGATGGATGAAATCTATTTTATTTTTGTCTATAACATATACTGATATTTTTGAATATCGCCAATTTCATATCTATATTATATTCGATTGATTTTTGATCTTTGGCATTAACTGCGCTTACAATGTCCCAATAAAACAAAGGGTAGTTATCACGTCGTTAGGGAATATAATGATTCTCACACATGAGTGATCGTTTCAGTTCATACAGATACCTGATCTTTAAAGCTAATTAGTCAACGAAAAAGTGTTAAAGCCAACCAAATAGGGGTCAGCACTTACGGATCGTTGAAATGTTGATCCAAAGAAATACGAAAAGATGGGTATAGGAAACCGGCCTAATCTTATTATCGTTTTTACAAAAACACATTTGTCATTTGTAAACTAAAACAAACGAT